TTCTCCTTGTGTGGTTGTGGGCCTATTTAAGCGTGTGGTCTGAACAATAAATCTTTAGCTGCATTCCGAGTTTTGTGTCTGTCCGTCCCTTTTTGTTCCCTCGCTCCATAATTACCACAGCTATCCAATGCTCTGCATTTGTATCTGTATTCCGGATACTTTTTGGTGTTTTGGTAGAAGTATCTCAAGAATACCCCGTTACGTACCGTATTTACTCGCATTATGAACACACTTTTTTTCTAAAAAAATTGACACATATTTGGGGGGTGCGTTCATTACGCGGGGTAAAATTTTTGCATTTACGCACTTTGCGCGAATGCCATTTGGGTGCCAATATGACATGGCAGGTGGTCAGTCGTCGGCAACTTATTTTGCCGGAAAACCGGCAATAGCTAGTGTTCGCGTGGTCAGTTTCCGGCCGGCGCGCACCGTTCGGGTGGTGGTTCTTCAACAAACACCGGAAACTTTCCGGCGCTTTTTCCGCCCGAGCTCCAAGCGGCCGGGCGAACAGGCGCCATACTGCGTCCGGTGTCGTCACTTCCGAAATGGGAGAGAAGGTCAGTGAGAAATAATTAATGAAATAACGAAACTGATCTGAAGTCACTTCAGCAGCCACTATTCGAGTCAATCCAAGCCGTTGGGACATAGGTGACGGCGGCGATAGCCTCTCGCTAGCGGTGTCGCGTGGGCAAGAGGCGAAGTAAACTGCCACCGTGTGGCGCTTCGCGTTCGGGTGCTGAGGGTCACGTGGTGTGCCGCCGGCGCGTTTCTGGTTGCCGGTTCCGCCTCGGTCTCGCCGGCAATTGACCAACCGAATTCGCCATGTGGCACGTCTCCTCCGACAGGGGCGCACCCATTGCTGGTCGTGGGCGCGCCACAGTAACCGCGTTCTTTTTGCCGAAGAAGCTCACTCAGCACGGAGAGCGACGCGACCGTTCTTAGGCCTAACTACTTTCCCAATATCACTGTCCGAAAGCGGATCACAGACGATGGCATGTTTGTTGACATCAATGCATCCGATGGACGAAGCACGTCCGGGGCTGGGCAATTTCTCGGCCCCAGCTTCGTTAGGCATGTGTGCCGCTCGGTTTCACTGTTGATCACTTCCGCAACCATGCAATTGCAGCCATTACGAGAGTGGCTTGGCTTGACTTGGCCTGGTTGCTTGGTGGCAAAAGAAAATTGGCTTGGCGGGCTTGGTGGCTAGCCAGCTAGCCAAGTTGGACGCAGTTCAAGACTTGCGAAGCCGAAAATTAAAAGTGCATTCATTTCGCGAGAAAAAGAAGTCAAAATATTGATGCCCGATGTGTGTGTGTGTGTGGGGGGGGGGGGGGGGGGGGGTTCGTTCATTACGCGAGTGCGTTCATTATGCGAGTAAATATGGTAAAAGGCAAATGTATCTCAGTATCTGTATCTTGGTCTGAAAATACACATATCTCACTATTTATTTCCTGGAATACTTTTTGGGGTATCTCCACCCAGCCTTGCTGCAGAGTAGCATAGCTGTTTTGCTCTGGCTGAAAAAACTATTGAACACAATCAACTTATAAGAATTTGTATCAATCTTACTTCACTCAGAGAACTGAGTAGATAACGTCTCGAAAAACGATAGCTTATTTTCACACGACAATATATCTTTTCTTTTTGTCGAAGCAAGCGAGAAGTATCGAGAGTTAAAAATGATGCGGGAAAGGCGCTCCCAGTACAAATGGAGCAATGCATCGTCTGCTCGCGTTTCTGGTGAAAGTAGAGTAATCCCTCACAGTATTTGTTTAGAGTTGACAAATCATGATTTTGTGATTCAAAGTTAACAAGACTGAATTGGGGAAATGTACTTTGAAGTCGAGAGTTGTAATTTCCTCGGAAAGTACCAGAAAAAATACTTTAAGTAAAGTACATACTCAGAGAATGTACTTCAAGTACAAGTTTTCTAAACCTACTTGAAGTAGTACTTCAAGCACTCCCCAACACTGAGTGCAGCACAGTGTACAATTGGACGACAGCAGCTTTGGTCTGCAATAAATTTGCTCTAAAGTGGTTTCTTGTTATGATAATATACTGACCTTAGCCAAATGACAGAACTAGTTAAAAAAATAAACAAAAGTTATCAAGCTAATTGCTCAACCGTTACACAACTGGATATTCAAGGATATTGATGAAAGCCCTAAGTACATTTCCCTATGGTGGCCCACTCTTTCAAAAATAAAAATGTCTGAAAAACTTCACCTTTTGTTTTTATAAACTACAGTAGAGCCTGGTTGATAAGTTTTCCCGGCTGTTACGTTCAAAAATGCCAGTCCCGTTTTACTTCCATAGAGATGCATGTATTAGTTTCCTGCTTGTTACGTAAGCGCCGTTCACATATGTGCAGCCGAGTAAGACCGAGAGTCTTGCGATGGCTCGTTCACACTTGTGACCGAGTACGACCGAGAGACCTCTTGCGACGTCTTAGAACCGGATGCGCTGCAGCGGAGCTGGTCCTAAGACGTCGCAAGAGGCTTAAAAAACAGTCTGGTCTCTCTCGGTCTTACTCGGTTGCATATGTGTGAACGGCGCTTAAATTCCCGGTTTCTAGGTCCAAAACTGTCGCCATCGCGGCGCCAGGCTGCCACGCTGGCTTCGAAGCGACGCAAAGCCGAACCATGCAATGCGGGTCGCACGGCACGCACGCAGATGGCCGTCCTTTCCCTCTCTTTTCTGTCCCTCTGTCTCCTTGCTGGGCTTTGCCGAGCTCTGCCACAGCTTCCCATCTTGCCCGGGTATGACCTTGGAGCATTGCTCGGACGGGGAGCAAGGCTGCAAACGCTCGTTCTCTCTTTTATCTGTCCCTCTCTTTCTCTCGCACAAGGTGCACCCGCATGCACGCTGCGCTCCTAGTTTGTTCCGTTCGATTGCGTGAACCATGGTGTTTCGGTGTACGTGCGTATTTTTTGCTCATTGACGGCGGTCATGGCATCGCGAAAAAGGAAGGCACTCTCTATTAAAAAGAAGTGATATACTTTAGACGGTGGATCGCAATCCCAACCGGAAAAGATCTGACATCGCAAGATACCTCGGACTTGCGCCGTCAACTTTGAACAGCATCATTGCCAAACGAAAGGAGATCGAGGCGAAAGCTCTGAACCGCTGAGCATAGCGGACACCGTGGCCGACCTCACTGCTGCCGACAACGAAGAAAGTGATGAAGATGGCGAGCAAGAAACGGACGATTACGCTGCGCCCATGTTTGCGGGCACGATCGTTGCGTTGGACACCTTGCGCCGCTACGTAAATGTTCACGAATGCGCGGAGAGAGAGTGAGATGACTGCGGCCCCTGGAGAAACGGCTTTTACTGCTTAGAGGCCGAGGACCAGACTTGAGTTTCTGTAAGGCAGAATATCTACCTCACCATGGGGGAGAAGGAAACAGGCAACTGTGGCAACACCTCGACTGTGGACAGGGTAGAAAGGGGGAGGAGGAAGTTAGGGAAAAGTGGAAAGAACGATCTGGTCGTCGGGGGACTTGGCCTGAGGGTCAACTTTTGAGCCATTCCCTCAAACTGATTCAAACTTTCAGGGTGAATTGAACCCCATTAGGATTAATGACATCTAAAGTTTTAGTCTTGTAGGCCAATTCTACAACATACTATGATGCTTAACAAGCTCCAGAAAAAAGTTACTTTATTAGGAAATGTATTTAAAATAATTATAATTGAAATCCAAAAAAATGTTTGGTTTAATGTGAAGTAGAATAGCCATAGTGCAAGTTAAGGTAAAAATTAATTATAGAAAATGCGATTCTAGAAAAAAAAAACATCCAAAAAGAGCAAAAGATTTTAACAAATTTCTGTGTTCTAAAATATTCAGTTTTTGCCATGAAGAATTTAGCCTTCTCAGGTTATAAGTACCTTAATCTGTTCCTCAGGAAATTTCAGTCCAGGACACCACTGAATGAAATCTTTACACTTTCAAAATGTCCAATGATACATTTCCTCATACTAAATTTTCTGCCAAAAAGTGAAACTGAGAAAAATGCATTTGAAGTTTCAACTTTAGGTTTCTTTCTATGAGTCCAAGGTAGGCAAAATTCACCTGGGGCACTGTTAGCACCTTCCTCTTCAAGACTTCTTTGTTCCACTGGCAACAGATACCAGTTTGTGTCGTTTGTAGGCAAGCTACCTTTTGTAGCAGGCATTCCTTGACAGATAAACTGGCAAGAACTAAGAGGCAAATCATGCTAAGGAAGAGCAGCAAAGCAGAAATATGATCTGAAGTGGAAGATACTGTGAAAGGGTGTTACTGAAGATGGCACAATATCACGTCACCAGGCAGGATCAATCGTAAACCCCGTTTCGGGTCTCAACCATTAAAATTGCTCAGACCAAATTTTCAGGATTTTTTTCTGTTTGGATGTGCAGAGTTTTCCTGGCCATTGATACGCAGAGTTTTCCTGGCCATTGATACTTCTAAACTTGGAAAGCTTCTACAGGCTAAATCTAGAGTAAATGATGCTTCCAATGAGGGTGAGATGTTCCGGCTTAGTTAAACGAGTATGAAGCAGTGCTAAATAAAAATGCAAAAAACTTGCTCCCTGCTGACTTAGAGGGCTGCCGACATGAAGAAAATAATTTATTGTGAGATAAATCTTGCACGTTTATAAATGTAAAGTTCTGAAACCATTCCTTGGAAGTTAATAAACATAAGCATATCATTTTTGAGAAAAACGTTTTTTCTGAAGAATTTGGATTCTGAGCCCATATCCCCCCTTAACGTTAATTTGAAGCGGCAGGCGGATATTACGCGCTTTTGCGAACATGTCTGAGTCCTCAACAGTTCTGCAAGTACACATAAAATAAACCATAGTATAAAAGCTGCTTTCTATCTCATGTAGAGCCCCCCAAGTGCGTTATCGGTTATGTTTTCCCAGATGATGTTTTTTTTTTCGCAGCCCCCTGAAAAACATATTAACAAGGTTCTGCTGTAGATTAGAATGAGCAAACACCAGCAAATCTGGCTCCTAGTTATGAGAAATAAAAGCTTTTATTATCAGGTGGAGATCTTTGCATAGCCCCTACACAAGGCAAATCTGCGTCCAAAAGCTGCATAATGAAAGACAGAAGTGCAAGCATTCCACCGCGCCAAACAATAAAAAACTTTAAGTCGGGATCCGCTTTTGGTTGCTGAACTGCTTGCCCTTGAATGGCCTGTCTTCCTTCCTGCGGAAAAAAACAAGGACAACAAAGAAACATGATTGCATGAATTTCGACGCATGTGTGAACAGTGCAGCACACAGCAAGGCACGTGGCCCACAACTGTTATGTTTGGACGCAGTTGTGCCATGTTGTGCAAAACACACATAAGGCCACATCCCAGGATTATTTCATGGTCCCTTCGACTAACCAGCAAAAATAAAAGCAAACTCACTTGGGGGGAACGGGCACTGTGTTGACAGGAGGCTTGAGAACAACCTGCAAAGCAAAAACGAATGCCAGCCATTCAGGCAACCACACAGAGATACTAGATATATAGCTTGCCTAAAACTGAATTGTGCCACTTTCACCTAGATTCCTCAGCCCACGCATGGAAAAGTCTGGTTACAGTCACTAGAAAGTCGAAAACAACAGGACCTTGGCACAGCCAAGCTGTTGTCCTTACTCATATCAGTATTCCATAGTACAGCATCTATACTTGGAAATAGCACACTTCTACATTGACGCAGAGCCTGCGGGGACTAATCATTGGGACATATGGAAGCAATCTAAGGAATGACGAGACAAAGAAAATGTTTGAATCCAAGAATGCGACCTGCGTTAGGACGCCGAGACGTTCATACGCTCAGAATCTTAGTGCAGACCTCATTTCCCTAATCATTTGCTGGGCACCTTCAGTAAATCGCAATAATGACTGGGTTTTCATGTGTATATCAAAAAGTTATGCGAGCAGGCCTTCTTTTTAAAAAGGTCGACCTACATCTATGCAAATATGATGCACTTGCTTGAGAGTGCAATGAAACACAGACACAATTACAATTACAAGCAGATTGCTCTCAGAAGATACCCAACCAACCAGCAGATTTCAAGATAATGTGCATGCATTATCTTGGAAGTTTATGTGTGGGCTGAGGAATGCTACGGCAGAACGTCTCCATGGTAAAATCTTTTTTTTCAGGAAACGATCAACCATACATCATCGGTGGATGAGAGCCTCAAATGCCCGCACAAGTATTGCAAGCTGACTCAAGCTTTGTTAACATTCAGAAGGGTTGACACCATTCAATACATTCTTTCATAAATACCGCAGCCTCATTCGAGGTAATGGCAAAAGTTGAAATACGACAATGATACATAAAGAAAACAATAAAGAGGAGCAAACAAGTACCATAGAGAAAAGGAAATCACCTTAATAACAATGCATTGAATATAACTTTTGCGGTCGTACACCAAACTAGGGCAAGTACAACAATTTCTGAAATCAAAGCATGACACATACATTGAGGCACGTTGACATTATTCGTTATGCACAAAAAAAAAAATTGTTTCGAAACAAGTAATGTGGGAACCGAAATGGAATGTCGTTCAAAAGGTAAAAGCATCCGATGCACGACGTGTCAGAGAAAGGGGTACATTTGGCACGCTCAGGGCCACTACCCTCGTTCACAACTCCACGCAAGAATTCTAGCTGCTCAAAAGTGACCCCGAAAGACGGCATCTCAAGCTCTAAAGCCGGGGTCATGCTGCTAATACGTCGTACAAAAGACAGTCTGCGGACACGTTCAAAGCATACAAAAGTATGAAGCAAGCTTGCTTCGAACATGCCAAGTCGTGTCCGCTGATAATTCTGCCATCACGTCTGCGGAGAACACCTTGTCCTTTGGATGACGAACAACCCGTCTGACCGCAGCTTCAAGTTGTCACAGAGGTTGAAGAAACAAAATTTCAGCCTCTCCACTGGTGAAGAAGGAAGACCAGCGAAGCTGTTATCTTTACGACGTCTAAAATAATGCCTAGAGGACGACGTCTAGGATGACTTCTTGGACGACCTCAATACGACCACAAGGACGACTTCTAGGACGACCTCGAGGATGACGCCTCGGACGATGCCTAATACGACCTCAAAAACGACTTCTAAGATTTCCTTGAGGACAACATTTAGGACGACTAGGACAACCTCCAAGATGACGTTTAGGACTACCTCAAAAATGACTTTTAGGACGACCTCGAGGACAACCTTTCTGACGACCTCAAGGATGATGTCTAGAACAACCTCAAGGACGACTTCTAGGATGACCACAAGGATGACCTTGAGGACGACTTCTAGAATGACGCCTAGAGAAATTCAGCCTTTCCACTCTGGTGTAAACCAGAGTGGAAAGGCTGAAAATGTTGCCGCCATTTATGAGTGACGGCAGCAACCAGACAACTGGCGAGCCGGTTGACAATCATACCCGTTAAAGAGTAAATCGGATAGCTTCAGCCTGTTTCGAATTGAGCTGGCCGAGGAGTCCCCAAAAGGGTAGTCCGCAGCAGGTTCAACGAGTTTGTCAACCACACGTGCCCGCGGCAGGGCATGAGCTCTACCAGTGGCATCACCTGGTACTTGAGGGGCTCCCTGGGCATGGCGACGATGACGATGTCCACCAGCTTGAAGACCCCAATTGTATCGGTGACCTCCGACACGCCGTCTGCGGACTGGTAGCGCAGTTCGATGCAGTTTCTGCCGCCTTCCGTCGAGTGGGAGAAGCTCTTCACACCCAGTTTCTGGGGGGAGGGGGGGGGGAGCCGTGCGGTACTCCTTAGGCTTTACTTCCGTCGTTGTAGTGAAGGCACAAGGCAAGGCCCACAGGTAGACCCCAAATGCTCCAAAAGAACTCTGCAGTGGCAGTTTTTAGTGCAGTATGTGCTAGTCTAAGCGTGCAAATGCAGCAGAACAGCTCTGTTTGTGCCAACGGAATATCCCGATAGGCAGTGGCCACTGGTTCCGTAGCAATGATGGAAAAAAAGGCCCGATTAGTTTGTATCCCACTGAAGTACCCCTCCCACTAGTACAGACGAGTTAGCAAAAAAGAGTAGTTAGTTTGGCTTCTCAACGAGAGTATACATAGGTTTAATATATTCAACATCACTTTTATCAATGTGCAACTGCAATGGAACCTCTGAAACAAAGACTCGGCTACTTGGGGACAATCGTCTGAAGTTGATAGGTTTGCTAAACACCAGTGTAGTGCAATAAACTGTACTTATTTAAGAATAATGAAACCTTTTCATGGACAAAGCCCCGTCACCTTTGTGTAAGGGATGTGAAGAGGAAATCATTGCAATTAGCAAATGGTGAAGCAGTGATCACACTTGGACCCTAAAAAAGGTAATCTGCACTGGGTAACCAAGTATGACATTTGCATGTTCAAAATTCAAGCGCAGGTCACATTCTTGGGTCCAAATGTGATCCTTGCCTTATCATTCTCTTGTCTCCTGTTGTAAAAAGTGCAATATTTGGCTCTCCACATGTTGTGCAGAAAAGAAAACATTCTAAGTCTGTTCATACGCACATGCACATAAACATTTATTTCAGACAAAAGTTTTGTGATATGGCCACAATATTTAATTCTGATGTAGCCAGGTTCAGAGAAAGAGTATCAAATTACTTTATTTGATAACTGAAAGGTGATGGAATTGAAAAAATTCCTATCACTAGTAGTTCTATTTTACATCCAGACATGTTTTTACTGTCGTTTTGCAGAAACTCCCCTTTATTTGTAGTTTCCCAATCAACTACATCACAATATAACAAGAAGACTGCCATGAGAAAACGGTCTACAAAAGTGAATACGGCATGCCACAGAATGAATACATCCCACAATTTCCATTTTCCCTTTGCCGCATACATGTGCCACAGGTGTCACTTTGCTGCAGTGCTCCCGTGCCGTGAGAGGAACCGCACTCAGAGCCGCTTCCCCGCAGTGCTCCCGTGTCACGTGGCAAAGTCCACTTGAGCGATCTCGACCCCCACAAGCACAGATACAGTGCAGCGCTGACCTGGAGCTATACACAGCACTGACTTTCCGCAATATCAGCACTGAATCAGCAGAATGTGACCTCGCCTCTTCCTGCTTATACATGCAATGCAGCACTAACTCAGTGCTAAGTTAGCACTGACAGTAGTCCTAGTGCAGTGCTGACTTTGCACTACTACAGCACTGTGCTGCATGTGTGAACCAGACTACAGTGCAGCCAATACTCAGCAATGAACCGAAGGAGGGTGACTCACATCACAGTAGACTCTCTTGACCATGCCCACGCTGAGGGACAGCACGTCAAAGGCGTGCTCCTGGACGGAGGTCACCATGGCACGGTCCTCAAACTTGCCACATTGCTGGTCGGGAAAGAAAGCATACATGACCGACTTGATGCACACGCACAATGTGGACGTATCATTGGATGCGGCCATGTCTAGGCACATCAAGCACTCGTTCAAACAAGAGACACAATGGTGCTTCAGACGAAATTGTGAGCTAACTTGGCAAGGCACTCGATATGAAGTGGATGAAAAAAAAAAAAAAGCTCCCTGCATAACCAACTGAATGTGAGATTAGTTAGTGGCCATTCCAAAGCAAATTTCTTGGCAAAAGTCACAAAACATAAAGTTTCATTTCTTTTGGTAAGAAAACATCTTTGGCTGTGACATGGGAGCAGATCCATGAAACTGACAGGACGAAAATGTGAAATGGAACTGCCATGTCATCTACAAACGTCGTCTACAAAGATCTAGCGGTACCACGGCATATGCGAATCGGTGCGTGCCTACTTGTCGCTGGTAGAGCAAGTACAAGGTTTCGTAATTTGCCCGCACGCTAACATCTTCACAGTTTGTAGAACGATTTCAAAAATTTGAGCTCCAGTCGATTCATCGTGTCGAACACCACAAGGTTCTGAGACATGCCAAAGACTCCCAGGAATGTTGGGCTATGCTTAGAAGAAATGTTTGAGACCTTTCAAGGCTCTAACGTCCAAAATAGAGTCAAAACTCTATCTAACGAAGTCGAAGGGAACCGCAAATTACTTCGTTAAATTGGAAACTTCGTAATATTGAGAAATAAATTTTTGGACATTTCGCTAAGTAAATTCGAAGTCTTAACGCAGCAGCATCATAAAAACTACCATGATATCGATTTTTTTTGTGTCCACGCACTGAAATTTTTAACAATGCACGAAAAAGTCCGCGAAGGGGTCACACTGCTTGTGCATGTTAAAGGGAAAACAAGAAAACCTCAAAACTCAGGGGAGATTTATTTTTTAGCGAAGAAGCTCATTAGCTTTGCCTGCATGCGCTTTGTCAGGAGTGGACGTATGGACTTCTCGTAGCTCGCAAGCGACTCATCCAAGCTTTAGTGTTAAACACATACTGTGCGGAAAGTTTCCTGGCCCCTTTAAAGTACCATGGCTTCTCGGTTTTTCCAATGACAAGCGGGACACACTTGTCGCTCCCATCCATGTTAACACAGAGCAAGATGCTAAGCATTTGCTTGCGCTGTTTTTCTCCGTGGAAAGGTTCCCCTTTTTGCACATCTTGCTTGGTAGCATCTGGTAGAACAGCCCACTTTCGTCCGCATTGGACACATCCTCAAGGGTGTAACTTCCAAGAATGTCAAGAATATTTTGTGCAGGGTGGTCTACAGGTTTTTCTTCCTGGACGGATGCCCAGACGAAGTGGCACTCAACGTTGTGGCGCTTGTGGCACTAATGATGGCGTCCTTCGATTTCAAGATTGACGCAAGCGTGCTGGCTGGTATGCCATGCTCTACTGCGACTTCACATTTCTTCCATCCGCTCGTGACAGCATGAATGATATCCGCTTTCTTTTCAAGGGTCAGCACTTTTCTTTTCTTCTTGGGGGCTCCATTTCTCAGCAATACAGAACGTAGCGGGACAGATGTTGTACGCAAAAAGAACCAGTGACAAGCAATGAAAGAAAACAACAGTCCTAACAAAGAGCGGAGAGACTGAGACTATTAGTGCCATCTGTAGCATGTGACACGAAGCAACTGCCGCTGCTACCGTTATCTAGTCGATTCAAAGCCATGCGGAGAATCCGTGTTCCGTGCAGTTGCGTTTTGTAGGGTACCTCTGGTGGGTACCTGGATTCTACCGCTGGCACGCGAAAGGCAAGCTTCAATCCATTTTGGGCGAAATAAATGAAGAATAACTTCTTTTTGCATATATTTTTTCGGAAATACTTCGTTAAATCGGGTCTGAGGGGCAATTTACTTTGTTATTTCGAGTTCATATAAGCATCAAGCCCTATGAGAAACTGGGAGAAACACGATTTGTTTGTTAGATCGGGAAATTCGTAAGATTGGGGTTCCTTAAACCGAGTTTTGACTGTAGTAAACCTTTTATTTTGAATCAGATAAACATACCAAACAGCTATGATGTTTTCATGCAACGTCTGTCAGGAGTTCATAAGTACTTGTGTGTTGTTCCTTTTTTTGACATAAAATGGCTAAGATAGGGAGTCACACTCGCTGCAGCAACTCTTACGTCGGGAAGTGCAGCAAAGAGACGATCACACGCTTTTAATTACCGTATTTGCACGAATATAACGCGACCACGAATATAACGCGAGGGCAGGTTTTGATGCCCTCAAAAAGAAAAAAAAATATTATTACTATTATAACGCGAACCGAGGCCGCGTCAATTTCTTGCACTCGGGGGCATGGCAGATGTGAAAAGTCAATGGAAATAGAAGAAATATCAGTTTATGTTTTGACTGCACTGATCCTCACAGCTCAGGTCCTTCCGTTTACAGTCCACTTGGCGACTACGCAGGTAAGCAGCAGCACGGCACCTGCTTGTCTGGTAGTTCCTTTTTCTTCTGTGCGAGCTCCTCGGCAGCCCACAATCCAAACAAGGCAGAAGCAGAAGCACAAACACACAAACACCGGATCACTCTGGAGCAGAAACTAAACAATGCGCAGCAGAAAAAAAGACTGCTGAATCCTATACACGGTCATACTTCTTGTTATGGTCCCTCTGCATAAACAAATGCCTCGTGTTGCACGACTGCGTAAACCTTGACGTAAACGCGGTTAGTGGTCTTGGCTTGGCTTGTGTTGACTTGACTTGGCCCGGCTGGGCTTGGCTCAAATTGGCCGGTGCCCGCATTCCCGCATGGTGTGTGCGCGCGCGCGCGTGCTGAGTTTCTGCGGCGTGCGCGCGTTGTACAAACACAAAAATGATAAAAATGCTTTTTTTTTGTTTTCTATTCGTCCCTTCACGTGGCCCAATAGCTAATAAATTCCCTTCCACACCCCCACTTCTTTTCCCACCGGATATTTTGCATTGAGCCGAAGGGATGGCTTTCTCCTCTGGCTTTCTCCAGACTCGCGCGCCTCGTGGCTGAACTCGATTCCGAATATAACGCGAGGTGCGTTTTGGAGCACGTAATTTCGGAAAAAAACTCGCGTTATATTCGTGCAAATACGGTATGCAGTATTTGAAGTTGATGTTTGCTCATCGCAGGGCACTTGGAACATGACTGGGAAGAGTTTCTAGGGTTGTGCACAAACCTGTATGAACACATAGAGGAAGAGCTCAATGCTGAGATCCTGGACGTTGCGCGCCTTGAACTTCTTGTCGTTGCAGTGCTCCGCGATTCCCTGCAGCTCTTTGGGACTTTGACGCAGGGGCTCGCTGTAACCTGCAAACAGGGTGACAACAGAGCCGTGAACCGAGAGAAAAATAAAATTTGCCTTTTTCTAGCACTATTGTGGCCAAGGCAGTGGTAACACAGAATATATTGTGTGTTGCTTTGCGATGATCATGCACAGATGAACTTGGTACACATTTTCTGCTTTTTCGGCTCAAACGTCGTCGTGCACGGCGTCTCTGAAAGAAAGCCCTACCAAAGCCAGCGTTTGAGTAACACAATATCTGAAGTTCTCGCTTCTTGACATCCCCCACCCCAGCTTTGACCCCTCCCCCCCTTCCCCAAAGCCGGCATTCCAGTGGCACGGAATTCAAAGTCTACTTATTCTCGCGGAAGCGCGCCTTAGCTTCGACCCTGTTACTCCGCATCTCCCAGTTTCCTTCGACGCACACGCTCCTCTTCTTCCCTCTCGTCTCCTGCACACTCTCCCACCGTATGTGCGAATGCACTCACTCAATGCCTCCTATGTGACGAGGCTGCACTGCTGAATGTTCTGTGTCACCTACCAAAGGCCGGCAACAGTGGACGCGACTGCTATGTCAGCATTTGGCTGGGACTCCAAGCAGTGATGAGATGAGTTCCAGCTGAACGCTAACGCGGCACTCCTGTCCAACTTGTCCGACACACTCGAAAGTGCATTAGAGCGAGGGTCCTCGAACTTTGCTATCTCAAGAAACGGCAGTCTTTTTTAAATGGCAGCAGAGGAACTCCCCCTGGTCTTGGCATTGCAGCAATAACACGCAGCAGAAACCCACAGACCATGTAAAGATGCGTGCACATACTAAGGAATGTTTGCCACATAGCTATGTGTCAAGGAATGGCTCAGGGTTTCTAAAATAGTGCTTGAACTGCGTGAACACTCTATTTAGGGGCAGAGATGGTCAAGGAAATTTGAGAGCTCGAGGAACCCCCGGGGTTCTCGGGGAACCCAGTTCGAGAGCCCGTGCGTTAGAGGGAGCTGCCAGGAGCTGGCCACATAAGAGATTCTGAGCTAAAAGACAAACGAGCGAGTCACTCACCCAAGGCGGCACCCAGCAGTCGGTGGACCATGATGTCCGCGTAACGTCGAATAGGGGATGTAAAGTGTGTGTAGAGAGGCACGTTGAGGGCGTAGTGCCAAAACGTGTCCGGGTCATCCCGCCTTCCTGCGCAGAAGTAGGTGGCCATCTGCAATGCCAGACGTTGCGAGTGAGAACAAGACGGCCAGAAAAAGAAGGGGAACAAAGAACCAACGTGAGCGGAGGGTTCGAGAAAAAAGAAAAAGAGCAAGAGAAGTGAAGATTGGTCAAAATGACACCGTCAACTGAGCTAGGTTTGAGCTGGGCAAAATCTAAACTGTCAACAGTCGCTCGAGTATGATGACAAATAAGACTTTGGGTCACCGACAAAAAATGGTAAGAGAAACATAGAGCCTAGGAAAAGATGTTGAATGTTGACAACATGAAAAGACATTGATCAAAATACAGCGAGAGTGTGGGCTAGCTGGTGACGTTCCTTTTCCTGTGTCCTTCTTCTACCAAGTTTTCTATCTTTTACCGCAGTCTTAGGTAATTTTCAACACGATCAAAAGACATTGCTCAAGATCGCTTACTCTACATTTTTCAGCCTACGGCCAAGGCTAAACATGCGGACTAAAATATGTCCTACCGTAAAATACCGGGCAAGCGCCCGCTCAAAATTAAGAGATAATCGCGAAAAAATGGGGGATGGGCGCTTTTCCGGTCATCAATTTTGCATATAAATGTACTGTGCATATTTTTTCATATCTTAGAAATCTGGATATGGGTACTTAATGTGGAATGGGCGGATGCGCGGTATTCTATGGTATATCATTACATTGCCTTCATCGATTCGAAGAATGGGTGACCATCCTGCGTTTTACTGGCCAAGCACAAAACACACTCTTTCAAAGACTGATGCTTTTCATGCCTGTATGCTCCCACTGTCACTAAATTGTCGCATTTAAAAACAGCATCAATACCCTGCTAGAAAAATACACAGAAGAGTGACATGCTTCTTTTGAGCACATTGTCACTATTTGGAAAGCGTGCCTTTGGCGTATGCGCCACAGGCGCACTATTACCGCGATATTAAAGAGAGATCTGAAATGAGTATGTCATCCTTCTATGCATCACTTTGGGCAGGACTTGCTCTGCTTCTTGTGCATCCGGTTTCAAAATTAAGCGATAAAAATGCAAAAATTTAATACTGAATACTCAAAGCCAGTGGCCTCTTTGCAAATGGCATCAATTGATATAGCCTCAAAAAAAAAAAACTTCAAATGCAACATGACCATAAAACCAATATTAAAAAGTTGATAAAAAAACCTTACTTAATTAGCCTGCGATTGTGACAGTAATTTTCCCATATAATGTCTGCCGAACTGATAAAACACAGTGAATAAAGAGAGCGTCTGCAATTTTACATATTGGTCACTCCCCTTTGTTTAATGTTCAGTTTACATTAAAAACAAACACCATGTACAATCATAGCAATAAAATTTTTGACAATGCAACACATCTTACCCAACTTTTCATGGCATAAATTATCCTGTTTGTCGAAGCAAAAACGAATAAAAGAAGGGGAATCCCAGGCACATCAAAATCTGGGCAAGTTTAGGTTATGTATAAGTGCCCAATATAACCAAAATCACTATAAGAGAAGACAGAGTCTAGGAAATGCATAGCATGAAAGGGACCACGGAACTTACTTTCATTGGTCTGGAGAGCAAGTTGGTAAGTACATTGAGCCTGGCATGAGAAGCTTCGTCCGAGCCCAAAAGCTGGTTCAGCGACCTCTGTAAAAAGGCGGTTCATCTCGGACACTGCTTTGCGCCGGCACTCTTGCATCAAGTTTCACTACTTTGCACCAATGCACGCAGGGAAAGATGCACCGTTTTGTACGGTAGGACTACGATAATTTAAGGGGGGACACTACCCAAAAAAGTAAATTTTTGAACCACTCGTCTGATTTAAATTATATTTACAGGGCTTGTTTCTGTTGATGTTGATAACATTTCTGCCAATTTTTGTTAACCTGGGAGAAGTACAAAAAAAAATTGCAAACGTTCAAAGACGAAAGTGGGCGTGTCTGCTTAGGAAAACTATCGCTTTGAAATTACTTATAAATTTGGTGTTTTCATGTGTTACATTGCATTAGGACAGTTCAGAGATAACTATGGAGCTATATTTCTATGTTATACCATCTTTCATGACAAAAAAGCCACATAAACACAAATACAGTTTTTTAGATTTCCATCCTTTGTCCAAACTTTTAGTTCTTGAGCATGAAAAATGACAAAAATAAAAAATACAAGCTCATAGTTATCTTCCCCTTAAAATTTCACCCCAGAAACACTCAGTTTTCCTAAAGTGAAACTTATGCCAAAAAGTGGAATGGAGAAAAATGCGTTCAAAATGCTCCAACCTCTACCTTTTCTTTAGCATCAGTGGACCGAAAATAATTTATAAAAAATTAACTATGCAGTGTAAACTAATGAAACTTTCTGGCAATACTCTCTAGATGTTGGTGGATGTAAATATGACATTTTTCAAAATCAACTTTTTTTTGCAGAAATTGTTTTTTCTGGGTAGTGTCCCCCCTTAAACCCTGATACTTCATACTTCTAAATAATTCAAACAAATTTAAAAATTTTGGTTGTCCCACTATGTTTTTAATGTATTCATAAGCCACTTGGTTCGAACGTCATTTTCGTGTAATTCATACACGTTGTTCTCACGGCCCCGTTGAGTGCGCTTCTTTTCGAGCACCAGTGCACTGCAGCGAGGCAACACCTGCAGAGCTTGCTTTCGCGGGTGTTGCTTCTCTGCAGTGCAACGGTGCTCGGTGAGAAGCACACTCAACGGGGTTCAAGCAGGGCGCACATTAGCTATAAAAATGGGTACCACGCGGAAATTTCCATAGCAACTTGTACGGAAGCACTGACGAGATGGCAAGGCATAGGTCCACGTCACAACGTCTGCGCAAGCTGCTATGAAAACTGCCGCGCGATGCCCATTTTCATTGCTCGTGAGTTCCCTGCTTAATAGTCCACATTAGACAACTTCTTGGCCTGATAAACAAACTTAATTTTGTTTTAAGTTGTCATGTGCTGTCTAAACAGTCCATGATATAAACAACATTTTTGAGAGAAAATAAACTTGTCATACATTTCACACATGTTTCTTGTGTGGCATACCTGCTATGATCAGCAGGCCCATGTAGAGGAAATCATCAAATATCTGCTTTGTATGTGTAGCCATTCATACGGCAAATTATAATTTTATTACGCATCATATTTAGATGAATTTCTGATAATTCAAACTTCATTTTATTCTAACAAAATTTGTGGCTTCCTGGAGTTTGAATTAGTGAGTCGACTGTACCAGCTCCTCGGAGAAGCAGCTGATGCAAAGGAGGATCTATGTTAGATTGGAGAGCTCAGAAGTTTGATGGGGTAGATGCTTGATACTGTATACAACTAAATTTTGCAAGGACTCAATTTTTGCAAACAGTGAGACTTAAAAAAAATAGCGAAAAATTGGTCTCACAATATGCTATACCACGGTAGCAAAGGCATAACATATCACTCCAAATCACGCAATTTCGAACCTGCTGAAATAAAGTCGTTAACAGTTTGTACTTTGCATATGTTTTATATGTTTCAAAAGTAGGTGGTGGGCACATATTGCAACACGGGCGCATGCTCAAAATTTAACTAAATATTTCGCCCCTCCTCTACCATGTAGCATTGGCATTTTTTCAGGTGTTGTGCACGTGCATACTACCGTAAAATACCACGGGAATGCCCACTTCGTTCAAGCACCCGCTATTAACATTTCCCAAATTTGAGAATCCTGAAAATTTTACGTTAAGAGTGTCATTTGACTGTACAAGTGCCCATGTCTAGATTAACCCAGCTTTCATGAAAGTTGGGTGGGCGTCCCCTGGCACATTATGGTAGTCGAACTTCAGTCAAACTTTGTCAAACATCCCGATGAAAGTTGAAAAAAGTTGAATTGGGTTAAACTCAAACCTTCTGAGGTTCGCAACGTCCTCGGTCCCAACTATGGTGCCCAGAACGTGTACCCGACTGGTGCATTTGGCACGTCCCAAAAAGCGGCCCCTAGATTTCCACCCGACGACGTCGTACGAGCGTTGTGTCATCGTCGGCAGCGATCTCGATCGCATCGTAGCTGCGGTGGTGAACGAGGTATGTGCCCGTTCTGCTCCCGATCGCTCTACAGCTTAGCAGTTAGCGGAAGCTTCGGCGTCCGGGAGTTGGGATGTCGTGAAGATGGCAACGCTCGCATTGTCTCCTGCTTCCTCCCAGAACTTCTTCACCTGACATAGCGGGAACTCCGGCTTCCGTGACATTGTTCGTTGCCACTTGGCACGGAGGTAGGAAGCTTCTGGAGATGACATGATGCCACCAGAGGTGAAGCCAGAAGTGTGGAGGGACACAACCCCAACGACAGCCAAAACCAAGAGACACTATTAAACGAAAAGGAGAGCCGACTCAACAGGACCAAAACAGCTCGAGTCGGCTCTTGTTTTCGTCCAATGGAGTCTCCTGGTTCTGATCGTCGTTGGGGAGTGTGTCCCTCCGCACTTCCAGCTTCACCTCTGGTGGCCTCTAGAAGCTTCTCACCTCCGTCGCGGGAGAGGATACTAGACACGCCGGTCGAAGACACGTTTCGGGCACTGCAGTCCAGCCACTGACCTGGAGGGCGCCGGCCGAGCTGGTGTCCAGGGAGATGCCGTGGGCGGTGCACAAGGCCGTCACCTCGGTGAGCTGGGCTTCGTCTGGGGGAGGGTGGGAGCGCAGAAAGGCCTGCTCGGGGAAGGCCTTGTACAGCCGGTGTGCCACCGCCATGTTGGCCAGCAGCATCAGCTCCTCTATCAATCTGCACACGCGCACAAAAAAACGATGATTGGCTGCGTTGCTTCCAGCTAGGCACGTGCAAATAGTAGACTTTGAGTTCGAAGCGAATGACGATTTTGGCCGAATATTTTCGATTTGAATGTCGAATAGTTTCTCTAGGCTTTTCACTACAGTGCACCATGCCAAAACTAAAACTCGGCTGAGCTTGTGAAGCCAAGAAGAATTGCTGTTTGGGCAAGCTGGTCTGACATCTTATGCCATCTTGTCCTTGCGCCTTGCTGTGTCCCGTTCTCCCTTTTGTCCTCGTCCTTGCTGCGCACAAGATTGCATAAGTTGTGAAGGCGGTTCTGAACCTTCCACTTTTCCACTTCTAAGCTCATTTAATTTCAATATAACTACCATGAAATACGGGGGAAGTGTCCATCCCACTTCCACTGAAAAGTGGGTCAATCTAGACATGAGTGTTTGCCGAGTCAAATCGATGAAAACCAAGATGACGGCCAATAGAGAGCTTTGAAGGCAGGGTGAACGGAATCGAAGAAAGCACATTTATTTTCATCTGATATCCCAGTCATCTCCATTGGCGTTCTCATGGCAGCTGCAACGGGCTAAATATTTTCGGCTGATGCTGGCACTTTGGACGGGGTGGGCATTTAACATATAATTTGCAGAATTCTCAAGTTTGAGGAATGGTAATAGTGGGTGCTTTTGCGATATTTTACGATATACGAACTGAAGTTCGTAAAAGACAGATTTGTTGCAGCTATCCTAATCGAGGGGACTTTTAAATTGGCTTGTTATTTGCATATATTCTTTCTTCTATTTTTAATTTTACAAAAAGAAAAAAGGCAGTTTTGTGCTAATCTACAGTACAGTCACAGCGATAGCTGCAACACGTCACGGCGAAGTCGTTGGGCATCGGTGTCGCGTTCATGCATCGTGGGGAAACATTGCTAGATGAAAGTCAGTTGACAAGCCTCCTAGAACGCCTGGCACCTTCTTGAGGCACATGCGCTCAGTGGCGCTTGCTACACTATCAGCCCGCCCAATGGACAGAAGCTGCGGAATTGGTGAGACGTTAAATGCAGATTATCTGCGATGAATAGGAATTTTTTGGGGTGTTTTATGGTAAACATAAAGTTTCCGCAAAAGTCAGCGCAAAAAGAGCGTTGTTCGAAAATGGTTCTTCTTCGTTGTCCATGGTTGACACCAGGGGCGCTATGAACACTATCCGCCCGCACCTGCTTGTGTGCAGGCAACAAAGAAGAACCGATTTCGAACGCCACACTTTCGCGGAGTTTGTCAACTGATAGATCTAAGAATGTTGTCACGGGGTGCGTGAACAGAAGCGTTTGGAACAAAATGAACATTTGATGATTTTGTTGCAAAGGGGGATCGGTGGCCGAGTGGGCTAACGCATCTCAGCATGGAGCGAGCGAAAAGCTTGTGCTCCAGAATTTCCTGGGTTTGATCCCTACCCCCTGCCCGTTTCAATCTGGACGAGTTTTGTACCGGCACGCATTCATGTAATCACTAGTGCGTGGTACACGTTAAAGACCCCAGGTTAGCGGTTGTGCTGCACTGTCCAAATTTCACATCTACAGATAAGAGAAAAGTCACCTGTTGAGGTGTACTGGCATCAAGGCTGTCTAAACATACAAGCAACACAATTCTTTTTTTTTTTTGAACGCTCTTGTTTCTTTTTTGTTCCGGAGCACGTGAAAGTGTGTCTCTTGGCACGAGCTCTAAATGTTGACAGTGCTAAGGTGACATTTTGTTATCGGCTATTTCTTTGCATTTTTCCAGAGAGCGCATGCAGTGGGCACTGCATACTACAAAAGTAGGTTGTTAATGCTGTGGCGCAGCTCAGTGGTAAAACCTTCGCTTTGCACGCAACAGACCCAGGTTCGACTCCCGTGGGTGGTGGGAAATCTGTTTTAAGGATTTGGCAACACTGACGACAGATAGCCTACGCCCTACTACGCCAACTACACCATAAACAAAATAAAAAAAACTACATCATAAACAACTACAGCGCCAACAACAGACGCCATTTCCAGTGGTGGGAAGAACTCACAACACCTGTAAAAAGCATGAATGATGAACGTTGGCTGTCGAGAATTGCAGCAGGTTCGCCCCGTTGCTCACCTGCGGAGCCTGTGAGCTCGGTGGGTATTGCTTTTCCGCAGTGCACGGGTGCCTGGTGAAAAGCGCACCCAACGGGCCTAACCTGCTGCGATCAGCACTTTGACAACAACGAATATCGCAGTTCACCTCGAAGTGAATGTCAAATAGCCTATTATTCAAAACCACTAGTATTATAAAATTTGAATATTCACACAACGCTACTTCCAACACGAAAATCAGTGAGAAGACAAGAAAAAGGACTTCTGTCTATCCAGACCTTTACGCAATGCACCACTACTATGGTTGCTGACGGGATTAATGACAGAAAGTCGTCCTGCCGCCAGCGCAAGTTTCATACCCTCGATAACGTCTCGGCGTCTCACAAGCCTCAAGCGTGCATGGACAGCCAAGTCACGATGAAAGGAAATGAGTGCAAGCTAAAGGGCTAAAGGAAACATCCCAGTGTCAGTGCTCTGGTCAAACATTACAGTAAAGTAAGCAGAAATCTTCACTTATCTCTATATATTTTCTATTACTAGCAGCTAGATATTTTGGTGGCAACCTCGTGTGGTTTTTACTGGTGACATAGTGGCTAGCAATTGCCTCAAGGGGCATGATCCTGGCTACTCGTCACCAATTGCGAACAACGAGTTTGATGATACGTGTAAATGGTGGAAGCTTGTAACCACGGCTCTACTCCAACGTCGCACGCATTTCCGTCAACAAACGCAAAATAAATCCCACTGAAGGAATCAATCGAGCTCTTGGCTAATTATGCAAGGCCGGTCAAAGCGATGCTTTTGGCCATTCAAATTGCCAATATTATCGGTACCTAAATGACTACACCAGTAAGACGAGCATACTTTAAAGATGCTTTAATACATCTATACCTTTGCTCTACCAGCCTTTACTATTTAAAGATTCTACCGTAGAAGTTATTACCTTTTTTATTATTCGAACATGACTAAAGGCATTGTTCCTTTTTTGTGAACAGGAACTTGCAAACACGTTTCAGTCACATCTTCACTGAATAGTGAGTGACGTACAGTTTTGGGTTATGTCTTTCGAGGAGCATTTACAAAGTCAACCTTGTCCGAACTCCTCCCTTACTTGTGCCACAGCAAAAAAGTGCCAAAAGCAGAAACAGGGACGGGTGCTGACAAGGCTGGATGGTATGCCGCTGCACTTATTGCAGAATGCACCAATTCTGTCCTAATGCTAATCACCTCTGTCAAGCCTCCGAGAAAGCAAAATGTTTGTTTGGTTGACCTTTCAGTAATTTGTTTTACTTTTCAAGGAGTGCCTGTGTCAACATCGGTTGCTGGTTACCATAGCTTGAAAGTCTAGAAAAAAAACATTCCTTTTAAAGGCCCGTTCACACTCTTACAACCGAGTACGACCGAGAAAGACGAGACCTGTTGAAACCTCTTAAATTTCTTAGGACGAGAGGACGCACTGGCACTCTGGCGCTATCTATGCGGTAACCGTGGAACTGCATTGCACAAGAACGAAGGTTTTGCAGGATTTTCGAGGTCAAATATACGTAATAGCTATAAGAAAGGCTTGTTTATAATATTGACAAAAGTTTTTCGAGCCAAGAAAGAAAGGATGATGCGTGAGAGAAATAGAAATTATGCCGGACCGCCAAGTTTATACTGCTACCCAATAGATGGCGCCAGTGTGTCCTCTCGTTGTAAGAGATACTAAGAGGTTCCAAGGCACTTGGTTCTAAGAGGTCGCAAGTGTGTGAACTGGCCTCAAGACACAGTAACAGCCAACAGATTTATGGACAAATGCCACCAGTTGTTGAGGTGCATAGGCCCAAATCTTAGACTGAGCATGTCGTTCGTGCTAAGCCACTGCTCCATCTCCTTTGAGAGCGGCCTCTGAGCAACAAAACAACCAACATGGCCGCCTGTAGCGGGACAGCCACTTTTCCATCGCCATTAACTACTTCTGACAGATCGAAAATGTTCCAGGGCTACACATGATTCCAGTGTGTTCGCTCATTGCAAGTGCTCACAATGCACTCAGTCACACTCAAATGCAAAAGTGTGAATAGCTTTTTAAGTCGTGTTGCGTGGCATACACGGCCACGTCTGTCCCTCCACCCAGTCTTTCCGACACCCCCGTCTTCCCTCCTCCCACCTGTGGCTCTCGGTGTGCTCGTAGACGGAGAACCCGACGGGCTGGAAGTCCTGGTTGAGGGAGAAGGCTACCCGCACCTGGTCCAGACGCAGGGCGCCCCCATCGAAGCGACGGGACCGCATGGCCCTTGTCATGTCCCTGAGCACGGCCAGGGCCTGTGCCACTTGCGCCCACGTGTGGGCCCCGTGCAGCTCCGGCAACTCCCCCTCGGGATGCTCCCGGTCCGGGTCGTCCATCAGGTCCTTGGATGCACAGCGGCAAACGGGGTGCGTCACACACGAAGTGCATCACGCACAAAAACAAATCCCGGTGAGGAGAGACGGATCAAAGCATTGCCTTGTTTTGTCTTTTTTTTTTTTTTAGGCTTGTTTTGTCGCTCGTTTTGTGCTACGAGGCCGCTCCATGTTTACATGAAAACAATTTTTACTAATAAAGTCACCGACAAGGTGAGAACTTCCAAGAGAAGCTCCAGTCGTTTCGCCCCAAACGCAGGCTTCCTATCTCCGACAACGTTTCGACATCCCGTGCACCGCGAGCGCACATGCGCAGCCAAAGCACTGCTAAAGGCAACGAGCGCATGCTAGAAGGTCAGGCTTTCGGAAGGCCTTTCTCATTCTGTCAGTGACTAAACAAACTATAATCATCAGAAACAGGTGGTCTGCTTCCAGCACGAGCTTTCTGCCATCGATAGTGCTTTAGCACATGCACAATTAAAGCCTCAAAGGCTTTTGGAAAGCAACGAGCGCATGCTGGGGATCTACTGGGTTTATAACCTGATACCGACTATAAGGCCACTAAATACTTATACGCTTAACATTATCGACACTCTATTCCCCAACTGGTGCCGCCACTTTGTTGCCTAGTGCAGAGCAAGTGCAATAGGCAATAGTTACGATCAGAAAGTGCTACTTCCTGGGCTTTGGATAGAGTGACAGGAAGCTAGGGTGATAGAGTTTTGCTCTGTCGCAGACTCTTTAAACATTTCTGGAAGACGGAAAAGTGTCTCCTGCAGCTCCACATAAAGCTTCAGATAACTGGCAGCAGTGACTTTAAGCAACAAGGGCATAAAGTGTTGTTACTCCAAAGCGTACCTTATTCATCAGCTCTACTACAAACCATTGAGCAGAATGTCAACACCAAGAGGTGGGGACTGTGCACGGCATCATTACAGTGGACTCCTCTTAAACGGAACTCGAAGGGACAGAAAAATTTGTTCCGTTTATCAGAAGTTTCATTAAAGCAAAGCACATAAAATGAGTGAAATATGACTTTATTTCACAAGCATGATGTCCAGCTAATGTAGCTGACTAGAAAAAAGAGGTAATGGTAGTTTGTTTTGCATTTTGTAATCGCTTTTTGACGAAGTAGGTGTGCATGCCTTGGAGGTACAAAGGTTTCTGTTGACTGCTGCACCTTCCCCAGAAATAGTCTTAAAGACTAGGCCGTGGCGCTTTTTAAAACGGCTGAGCCAACCGTCGCTCATTTTGAAGTTATCTATTCCCAACTGAGACGCAATCTCTCCAGCCTTTTCTTCGAGGATGGGGCCGCTGATCGGGAAATTAGCACTTCGCGCGCGCTTAAACCAGAGAAAAAGGACGTTCTCTATTTCCTCAAAAGGCGTCTTTCGCATCCTCCTTCGGTCGGTGGCAAAGCTTCCGCGCTTTACAGCGTCTTGAATCTTTTCTTTGTCCTTTGATATCCTTGAGAGTGTAGACTTCGGGATATCGAACTTCCTTGCGATCTCCGTCTTCGAGAGGTCACCACGATCCAGCTCTTGAAGGATCTTCATTTTCGTAACAAGCGAGATCGCTTGGTGCGGCCGCTTTTTTACCGCTTCCATCACAACACGGCAAGCGGACGCTGGTTTGTGTACTCGATGGTAAACGTGACGCGCAACAGACGAGGCGCTAACCCTAATGGCGGTAGAAAGACTGGATTGGATTGCCTTAATATAATGGCTTGGATGGATGGATGAATGGCTGTACCGTACCCTTTGTAACGAGCGGCACCTCGCGTCACCTAGCCTAACAACTTTTTTTTTTTTTTATAATAATATTTGTATAAATTTTGTTCTAACACAACCCCTTTTCCTTTAAAGTGTCCTCAGTCTTGGCTATTGCGTACTCCATGGTTGTGAGACTGCTGTAGCTATTTCCGATGTCCGCGGTCGCCATAGGTAGTTTCGGTTTCGGTCCCGTTTAACCGAAGTAAGCAAAAAGGGGGGTTCCGATTACCCAAAGAATTTATCATTAAATACATAGGAAACCAACCGAAACAACCTTTAGAGTTCCGTTTATCCGAATTTTCCGTTTAAGCGAGTTTCGTTTAATGGGAGTCCACTGTATGTTGTTTGATGTCAGTGCAATGAAACTTAAAGGGAAGCTATGGAGCTTCTTGGAGAAAATGAGTTAGAAGTGAATTCTAGTGTATTTTTACCCCGTGAACCCGAATGCCCAAACCATTTGCTGCGTAAGTATTTTTAAACGCGAGAAAAACGCGAAAGACAGTTGCTGTCCGTGACGTCATTGACGGCTCTTTTGGCTGCCCAAGGCTAGGGGGGCGGGGCTTCAGCCCTATTTTGAAATTGCTCTTGTGGCTCTCTGGCGCGTCGCATTGAAATATAATTTTGATATCTGTTATTCTAAAGGCCAAATGAACGCAATTCATGCGTTTTTTCTCAAATGTAGAAGTGCCCCATCTTCCCTTTAAGAAGTTGTGCATACCATGTGTCTAATGGTGCCTAATGAATCCTCATACCCAGTACCAACTCCCCGCCCCCCCCTTCGGATGTCATTGAGGATGGCGTACCTGGGCGTGCTCGTAGCTGAGCTTGGCGCAGGAGCGGATGACGGAGCGGCCGAACCACTCGTCGAGCACCCGCCCGTCCCGGGTCATGGTCCAGACCACCGAGAAGGTCAGCTTGTCCTCCCCGGGATGTAGGCTGCACAGCTGATCGCACAGCAGCCGGGGAAGCATCGGGACCACCTGGGAGGGTCACCCCAACTCAACACACGTGCGGGAGGCAATGCCCAAACGCCCATCATGACAACCTGTTTTTGCATGGCGGAGTATAGCCGAGCAGCGATGAAACAAATTGAGGAACTCCAAGAATGCCTGGTGCACCGCACGTGCAAAAGTATTGTCGTCCCTGGCACGTGACTGAAATGAATGTTAAACGCACAAACCGGACAAAGAATGCCCAAAACCTTTTTTTTTGCCACGAGCAAGAACAGCAGGCCCTAAAGCGCTTCTCAAGCAGGTTCCTGTCACACCACCTGCTACCAATAATTTCACCGTCGAGCTATAAAAAAAAAAAAAAAGTGTCGGATTTTCATTATTGTTGTTGTTAAAGCAAGTGCAAAGAAACTGAAACAGCTATTTGCACCGAGTTCTGCGAGTGCTCCCAACGTACCGCGTGCCCCATTAGTCAAAGTTGAAAAACCGTTTGAGGGCCCCTTCGGGTGGGATAAAAGCCCGCACCTGTTGCACAAGGTAGACGCTGGTGGCCCGGCGCAACGCCACCTGGTCGAGCTTGGTGCCCGGGAGCACAAAGTTGGACACGTCGGCAATGTGCACCCCGACCTCCCAGAGGGTGCCGTCGTCCAGTGGCCGGCAGGACAGTGCGTCGTCCAGGTCCCTGGCTGTCTTGGGGTCCACCGTAAAAACCAGCTCGCTGCGGAAGTCCCGTCGCCGGGAAAGCTCCTCCTGGAACGCAGGGAAGCCCCAAAGTGAAGACACGCTCAATAATCGGCATCGAGACATCCAATGTCCGCAGAGATAAAAGTGTAGTGACCAGTCTATAGCCAGTGACAGAACCCAGTAATGCTCTGCCTACAGCGTAAGCTTTCTGACTTTGATAGCACTTCGTCACAGCACAGCGGAAGGCGAGGATTGCATGCAGGACTATAGCCTCTACAGGATCAATGCAGCATTGAACACGAAAAATTTTAATTTGCAGTAAAAACTTTAATTACATTTGCACACCTCTAGAAATTAGTTACACTTACACTCTCGCTAGGAATACATGCCACAGAAAGCAGAATCCAGTTATCTATCGCACATTTCATCGAGCTGTGTTTCTGCAGTATAAATCCTACTCTGCTCAAGGAGCAGACCCTTGAGATTTTGCGGTGGTGTAGCAGTACCTCTGGCACCTTCCAGCTCTGATCCAGGTGTGCCAGAATGTCTGGAGGGAACTCCCCATGATCCACCTCGTAGGACTCCAGGATGGCCTCAGTCTCCACCTCCAGGTCTCCGGCCTGTCCAAGCAGACGCCTGAGCTGCCTGCAGCGACGAGAGCGGCCATCTTAGTGCACCCGCTCGAGATAATACACCTGGGATGGTGAAAGTAAGCTTCCCGCATCATTTCTGGGTTACCTGAGGACAGTGTACACTACGCGACACTGTTAGCGCAAACATGACATTGGTACTTTTCTGCATTTTACTTCAATGGGTGTTGGTGGGCAACAAATTTCACCACTTAGAGTAGTGCTTAGTGATGCAAAACTATTGATAAATTGACTATCAATAGTGTTGCAGAACTATAGATAGTCGACTATCGATAGTACTAACGATAGTTTTTTTTTACTATCTATAGTCTAATTTCTGGTGACTATCGATAGTTTTGCACCACTAGTTTGTAGTTGTGTTCGCGTGAGCAGCGAACACAGTTGCCGCACCACCACTCGCCTCCCTTTCTTCTCTTTTCGGCCAAACTCCCGCCTTTGTCATCACTGAAAGCTTAACCAAAGTTGGCATGGTAAGTGCTTGGGCTAGTTGGTGTTCCATTTGAAAAAATTAATCGAAAAAAAGAGAAGAGGGAGCGACGCAAACTACCAGTGTCGCAAAACTAGTAAACCGTCGACAGTACTACCGACAGGTTTAGGATAGTCGACTATCAATGGTACTATCGGTAGTTTTTCTATGGTACTAGTATCGATAGTTGTTTGATAGTCGCCTATCGATAGTGCTATTGATAGTTTCTCGATAGTACTATTGATAGTTTTTCAATAGTACTATCGATAGTTTTTCGATAGTCGACTATTGATAGTACTATCGATAGTTTTTTTTACTATTGATAGTCAGATTTCTGGCGACTATTGACACTATCGATAGTTTTGAATTTTTTGTAGAGATTTAAATGAGCACTTTCTACAAAACTTGTAGAGTTTGTCACAGCCCTTCGATTCTAAGGGACAGACAACAAAAACTGGCGATGACTTGTTCATGCTTACAGTGCCACACCGAGCACATTTGCACACACCTACCATATTAATCTGGCAGTATCTCAGGGCCTGAGCTATTCATTTCAGTGTTGAGTAAACTATAACTTTTGGCAGAGTTTGGTGTAAATGGCAAAGTAATCCCATACATTATTTATATGCCAGCGCTTTTTTTTTTTTTATACATTGATATCAGTGCTTTTGCTGTATTATGCTTATTTCTCTTTTATACCAGTTTTATTTGACGACTGTGATTAAGTATAACTTTTCAATTGCACACATATATTCACTCACAATTTTCGCTGGCTACTCGTTGACTTTAAATTTATTTCATGTGCTTTTCACTGTTGTTGCACTTTGGGAGCTTGGGGCCAGTCAAGCTGTTTCTTACAGGTTTTAATCCTGGTTCTTCACCAACATTGTATTTTTGGTGAGAAATAAAGAATTCTATTATTATTATTGTTAATACCACTGTGACTCTACAGCATTCACATACCCCTGGGCAAAGGTGGAGTCAGGAAGCCACTTGGTCATCTCAGCCAGGAACAAAGTCTGGCTGAAGTCGGCTGGCCTCTCGAAGAATCCTATGTGAACAGGCGGCACTCAGAATTGCGCTAGCCCCAAGATAGATACTCACATTCACGTACGGGTGCTATGGTGGTTCGGGAGCTTCCTTATTTTTAACATTATCATATTTTTTGGACTGTAGTCCATGGGCTCTACATGTGTAGAAGTTTAAATTGCTTGCGGTGGAAACCATCGACAGGTGAAGACTATACAAAAATTTGTCCTCTCTAAATCATTCATTATGATGAGCCATCACTGATTTTGCGAAAGGCAGAGTATGGGGAAGCCACGGAGCTACTAGAAAAAAATGAGTTAGAAGTGAATTCTAGGGGATTTTTACCTTATGAACCCGAATACCCAAACCATTTGCTGCGCAAGAATTGTTAAACGTGAGAAAACGCGAAAGGCAGTCGCTGTCCGTGACGTCATCGACGGATCTTTAGGCTGCCCAAGGCTAGGGAGGCGGGGCTTCAGCCCTATTTTGAAATTGCTCTTATGGCTCTCCGGCACGTCACATTGAAATATAATTGTGATAACTGTTATTCTGACAGCCAAATGAACATAATTAAAGTGTTTTTCTCAAATGCAGAAGCACCCCATCTTCCCTTTAATGATAATTTATGTATGATACAAGTTTTGTTGTGAGATAATAAAACGGACATTTGTCAAGATGTGCTTCGTATGAACATTTTTTTTAGGAGCAGACTATAGGTACTGGGTGCACCCCGTGCCTATAGTCTAAGAAAGATTGAAGAAAAAAAGGTTTCTTTTTAACCAAATTTTTTTCATGCAGACTATACACCACGTGCCGAGTACAATCCAGAAAATACGGTAATTCTACAGCGTCGCACCTAGAAAGGTGCAAACCTAGATTTTTTCAGGAACATAACCGCCGTGGTCCCAAGTGTCAAAATATATACCTGCACCTCAAAAAAGATTTTTCTTTTCTGCCAAGCCCAGTTCTTTTTTAGCTTGGAAGCATTTGAAGAGCTTTTGAGCGCTGATTTGAACTAAACAATTGAAATGTTCTTATCACTAGCATCTGCATGATTGTACACTAAAGCAGCGCACTTGCTCGCACACATCTACTGTTTCAAGGACACCGTTTGGGGGACGTAAAAATTTTGGGCTTCCCTCCCAAAGTGTTTAAACAGTCAGCAACAGAGCAAAATGATATTGCCAGAGTCTACTGACACTGCACCTAAAGATGACGAAGCTGCATTTTTCAAGTGCAACTATCGCCAACTTCGCCCACTCTGCACTAGACAACAAAACGGGGGTGCCCATAAGACAGTTAGGGAAAGTCGCAATATACTCTAGGCCATGATTAACTTTTCTATCTCTAGGAGTGCCTAACTCTCTTGAATGGGAACGAAGAATCCATCCTGGTCTTGGCATTGATGCAATAAAACACTACATAAGTATACAGACCTTGTAAAGAAGAATGCACATACAGTATTTATCTAAGTAATAGACACACCGTTTGTGAACAAAGCCAGAGGGTCCGCTTTCCCACATAGGACACAAATAGCCAATCACCACGATCGACAGAGTGGTGCCGGCGATTTATGGGATAGAGCCAACATTACCGCGCGAAAATGCTATCTGCGCAGTTTGTGCTTTTGTGAAGAATCGTGTCGACAACCTCTTTACTCGCTATGCTTTTTTATGCAGAACGCGGTTCTGCAAGAAAGTAGATGCAAGGGCCTTGTTCGTAAATAGCACATCCATTATGCCAATAAATAAGGTATGGTGTCTGGCACGCAACTTTGCATCAATGGATGACTCAAACCTTCCAAAATGATGCTTAAACTGGGAGAATGCCCTACTTTGGGGGCCAGGACCACCAAGAAAGTTTGGAAGCTTGCGAAACCCCCAAAAATTCTTGGGAGAACTCCCGCGCTTCCAGAGATACTGGGCGTTCCCCAATCTTGCAAATATGTTTGGTCATCCCTGCAGCAAAGTAAACTGTCCTCCCAATTTAATAGGATGGATGCTCGGGCGAGTTGGTGAACCGTATCCTACAGTGAAAGCGCAGAGAAACAATCATACACCAGATAATCAGAAAGACAAGCAAGTTCAGCGCGTGTGCTTGTCGTTCTGAGTATCTGGTGTGCGACTGTTTCTCTGCGCTCCCAATTTAAGCGCTGTTTTAGAAGAACTGAGTTGTCCATTGAAGCATAGCTGCGTGCCAGACATTTCCATGTACGTGCGTTATCTTTTTCAAGGTCTCGAGACTTCTGCAGTGCTTTATTGCATTGACGCCGGGTACCCAAGAGATTCCTCGGATGTCGTTCGAAAGATACGAGTGTCCTTAGTTCTAGGCGTAGATTATTTGGTGGCTCCAGCCACGTCACATCTCAGGACCGCGACGAGGGGTTCGTGCGCTGGCGTGCCCACCTGGGGGCGCCTGGGCCGAGGGTATGAGCATCCTGGGGAAGCGCGAGTCCTTTGGGGAGAAGAGCAGCCAGGCCGGGTTCCGGTCCTGGAGAAGACGCAGCGTGCCCGCCGCCACCCGGGAGTTCTTGGCTTCCAGGATGTGCACCACCTGCACACACCCGTCCCGGAAAGGGGGGCAGCACATGGTTTGCATACGGTTACAGGTCCCGCGTGCATCCTTGCTCGATGTGACGGCAGCGGTTTTATTTCTTACGTCTTACAGCGAGGCAAAGTTCTCACGTCAGTAGTCACCGAGTTGCTTTTTCTTTTTTATGGCGATAGCTGTTATGGGTTCTTCCAACCACTGGAAATGACGTCCGTTGTCATTGTAGTATTTGTTAAAGTTGTTGATGTTGTAGTTGGCGTAATAGGGCGTAGGACGTCTGTCGCAATATTGCCAACAGCTCGAAAAAAGATTGCCTGCCGCTCTCAGGAATCGAGCCAGGTGTGCTGAGTCCGAAGCAGGAGTGTTGCCACGGAGCTACGCCACAGCATTGGCAATCCACTTTATTATACGGTTTTTGTGGAGCAAACAAGAATACGTGCCTCGAGTAGTGCCTGTGAGATGACCGCAGTTGCCGTGACGGCACGACAGAAAATTTTATGATATTCTTAATACTAAATTTAATAGAAGTTAATTGTTGAAATTAAAAGCTTTGGCTAGGCGACGCAAGCTGCTGACCGATTAAAAGGGTTCAGCTGTATTCATCCGTCCGATACCACCTAGAACAAAAGCCCAAGCATTGCGTCGTCTTCATTGGATTCCAGACCAGCCCCAAGCAGCAAACGCGCTAAATCGCGATGAAAGTACAGCACAAGGCAACAGACGCGGGTGTCTCAACGTCTTCGACGCGTCTCGCCATTTGTAGTGGGGAGAACTGGGGGGCTATGCTAGACGGTGGAACAAAGGAACCGGGGCATCGCCGCCTGCTGTGATTGGTCAGCGCACGTGCTGACCAATCGCAGTAGGAGGTGATGTCCCGGTTCCTTTCGTTCCGCCGTCTTGCATAGCCTCCCTGTAAGGTGCATGCTCGTAAGAACGAAGTCAATTGGGCCAATGACTTCACTGTGATGTGTCGCAGCTTTCGCTGCAACTGTACGGTAGATTACTGCAGCTCGTGTTTTTCATTCTCCAAATCCGACTCCGAAGAAGCATTTTCTCCCTTACGTAATTCTGCATATGTTGACCTACAGTGAAACGAGATACGCACAATTGGCACATCTATTCTAAGGGTGTTGCTTCTCTGCAGTGCACTCGTGCACAGTGAGAAGCACACTTAACCAGGCTAACTAACCCGCTTGAACAGTAAACAAACATTAAGAAAAATGGCGCAACTCCCGAGCGCTGTTGGCATTGGACGCGAGAATGAAGTCAAACAATTGATTAGCCGAAGCGGTAACTGAAAGCTTTAAAAATTTGCACCAGTCTACTGGATCAATCTGACAGTATTAATACAGTAAACCCTTTCAAAAAACATTAATGCAAATTTCTCACATTTTCATAAAACATAGAAGTGTGTGGCAGGATAAGCGCTTTGGCACAGTTTGGTGCAGCAGCCACATCACTTACCCCACTAAACTTCCAAGTGTTCTTTCCACATCTTTGTACTCAAGCTTCGTAACATCATCTTCTCTAAACACTGACCTATTTTCCGAGTTACAAAATCTTCTGCAGAAAGTTTATGCTGCAATATACGCAGCTATAGTCTAGCTCCATATAGTATTGGCCTTTTTACAAAATTAGTGGAAAAAAAGAAGTGCATGTCTTTGGTATATTTTAAGGGCACCCAAATGTAGAGCACTTATAGGTCCTGTGAGGTCATGAGATGTTACGTAACGTGACCATGTGACATCAGGCCACGTCACGTGACACCATGACATTGCATCGATGTCGCGCGATTTTGCGGTGTCATACAACGTCACCAGCGTGGAAGTTGCCCTGCAAAATTTAGCCAGAAAAGGAGATGTGAGCTCTTACCAAGACTCACCTCTCCTTTTCTCCATCGAGACTACATCCCAAGAAAATGAAAACGCCAAGAGCTGACCTCACGAACGGTACGCATTTCGAAACACAAAGAAATCCGATTTAGGCAGCAGAAGACGGGGCAAGGAGGTTTCCCACGTGAGGATAGGCAGGCTCACCCTTCCCGTGCACTGGACGAAGCGCTTCCACTGTGGGTGTCGCAACATGTCCGCTACGGTGACATGCTCGTACTGGCTCTCCTTGCGTAGGCTGGCGGTGCCTCCGGAAGAGATTGGTGAGCCCTGCTTATTTTTCTTCTTTTTCTTGTTGCTACGCTTCCTGGGGGTCCTACTGGTTGGCACTGTTGTGTCGGGGACAGACGAGGCCAGGGGCACGGGCAAAGCTGTGGGCACGGACGAGGCAGGAGGCACGGGCAAGGTTGGAGGCACGGGCAAGGTGGGAGGCAAAGGCTCCTCCTCCAGCTGCAAAGAGAGTACAAAAATAGCCTCGGATACAGAAAATGGTTGCCTTTTTTAATCAAAAACATTCTTAAACACAAGGGGACTTGTCGTTACTTTGAGACACCACTCAGGGATTTTGTGGTGACTTCCACAATGTTGTCAGCTAAAATAAAAACAATACTGGCAGATAGTTGATCAATCTGCTTGCACTGGTGTCATTTCCTCCCTTGTCACTCTCGCTTATCTTAAATTTGGACTATTTTCAAGAGCTGGGGTTCAGAAAGAAATGTGCGAGAGGAAACAATGATGACTACTCTCACATACATTTTCTTCCTTCCCTATACTCTGTTTCACGATAACTTGGCGAACTGTGGAGGTTAGGTCCCCGCGACCCAATAAGAGCGTGGGAGCGAGGCACGTGACCCAATGTCATGGAAGCGTTTGTGTCACCACACCAGATGCGAGGCGCGAGGCCCCGAGAAATCGGCTGTCGTCTGCTAGCCAAGAGTCGTCTGCTCTGAAACCAACCAACTTTGAATGAATGTCCACCGCAGCAACGTTTTCATCCACAAGAATAGCGAGTATTTCGGGAACAGTTCATGAGACAACCATATGATCAATTTAGCTGTGAATTTGTGACGGGTGCTAATGCCAGGGAACAGTACAATGTTTTGAGTGGAAACGGCCGATTACAGGGCTGCGATCGTCGGCGAACGCCAATGGCCACGGCGCTACAAGGAGAAAAAAAAATTATGAGCGGATACGGATGTGACATCACATTTTTGGTTTAAATATAATTGGAACTAATAAATGTGCGATTATTTGTTCTTTATACCTTCTCAATGGAGATGGAAGTACACGAGTTTGATTGTCGTTGAAAGAAAAAGAAGCTTAGAACTAGCTTTTGTCGCGGAAGGAGCTGTTGCTGTGGCAGTAATGAGGCCCCCCGTGACCTCGACCATGGAGTGTTATCACATGCCTTGCTCCGGCGCTCTTATTGGGTTGCAGGGGCCGCAGCCTCCACAGTTCGCCAAGTTATCGTGAAACAGAGTATAGCACTCTAATTGCGTTGTCCGACATTGTGACACACCGGCTTCAGCGACACATTTTGTTGCCAGTTTGGTACCGTTTCCGACGTGCAAGTGGCACAGGATCAGGGTGTAAGATGGACGGCTAGAGAAACGGCCACTGAAAACTGCCGCAGCGGTGCGACCGGATTGTGTCCTTCTGGCGGCTTCTGCTTGGCAGGTACCCCCGCCTTACGACAGATGGCGCGGCGGCACACGAAAGGCGAGGGACTCGGATTTGTATGGAACCCTGCGAGGGAACACACCGTGTCAGCGATACTTTAACTTAAAGCACCTCGCATTTACTAAATCTTGGCAAATTTCTTAAAAGGAAACTCCGGTCAATTTTTTTAAAATTTGGGATTACCTAAGACTGTTTTCAGCTAAGGCAGTGTTCCTAAATTACAAGGTGTAATTTATTATTATTTTTTTTTCTCGATATTGTGCATAGTTTTATAAATATCATGGCTCAAAGTTTAGTTTCAGGCGTCTACGGCTACACCTAAATTATCTGCTAGGGGGATGGCAACACTGATCATCAGCCATATGGCCGTGATGCAACATCATCATGGTGCTACAGTACGCGATACAACCAATCAACCGCAGCTCCACTGCGTCGTGATGTCATGAGGGTGCTGTGGCAGTGTTTTTTATTATAAGCTAATCTGCTTTCCGCCCGCTAGAGAGCAGCTGGTCGCATCTTTAAAATCGGTCTTAGTGGAGTACGCAACTACACTTTGATGTATATTTCGGCTGTGAACATATTTCGTGCTACTAAAGCAATACCAGTTGTTTATTTTGGTTTTGCTTGCGACCAGAGTTGCCCTTTAATCTTTAATGCACTTTCCAGGTCGCGTTGGCGGCTGGCAATGTGAAGTACAGGTTTTCCCGCTCATAATAATCCAAGTGCCAGCTTTCTTAATCCGAATGTGAACTAACCATGTCAGAACTGTTTTAGAGGTCTGTGGTGCTTGCAAGTCATGAATGAACTTTTAAGTAATACAGTTGAACCTCAATTTAACGAAACCCGATTTTACGAGTTTCCCGTTTTAACGAACAAATTCGGATTCCCCGCACAGCCTATCCTGAAGAATGTCTTTCTCGACTTTACGAAGTTCCCGATTTAGCGAAATAATTAGGGGGTCCCGGTGACTTTGCTAATTCGAGGTTCAACTGTATGCTCGTTTATCGGCTGCTTTCTTATATTCTGAATCCATGCACTTAGCGGTACGCTTGGCCATGTTGCCGTCTAAATGTTGGACGTCGTCTGCTTCTTTAAATTGTCTGCAGAAACCTGGTGGTATGCCTGGGCCATACCGCGGTTGCAGTTGTTAACACGGCAGTCTCCGTTTGGTTGAGCAGTTGAGTTACGGTGACTCTGTCGTGTTGGGAACAGTGTGACCGCAGTGTGGTGCGACGGCTCACCGCTGGCTTCAAATCATGTTGAACTAAAACTTACCTTGCTTGAACATAAACAGCGGAAACTTATAAGCTGGATCACCGAACACATCCGCAGGCGGAGTGGAATCAAAGTCGTCTACGCATTCCCGACACACCTCATCTAACTTCTTAGCTCGCCTTAATTTTTTCACGCTGCATGCCTTCTTGATTATTTTAGCTTGCAATGTAAAAGTATGGGCAAAGAATAACCTATATATTATATATATTATTGTACTTGTACTTGTTTAATTGTATGTGCGTGGCTTGTGCAAAGTTTACGAAATAAATTGCCAGTGGGTCGCATTGTCTGCAAAATTAATGAGGATATTTTAGTTTTTTTCTTCTTCTCTACGCGGCGCCACCTATGTGGAGTACTACGAGCTTTCTCGTTTTCCTACCCATCTATCTTACACAGGGTGCCATATGCAACAGTCAGAAATGAGCACCGGTCACCTTTCCAACAGGGAAGCGAGCGAGGGTGAGTTGCCGCACCTGCGCGTCTCCGTCGTTGTTGTTCCGGGCGTCCTGGGAGGCCCTGAGGAAGGCCATGTCCTCCAGGTGCTGGTCGAGCGTGCAGCTGCCCGTGCTGCCGGCCTCGCTGCCGTCCGAGAACCAGTCTTCGCCGCTCAGCTCGTCCGGGGCCACCACGCGCGCCGCCGTCTTCTTCCTGCTGCCTCGATTCCGGCAGCTTGCTGCCACCTCCTCCTCGGGCACCTGAAAAAAAGTGGGTAGTCTGCGTCACGCACGCAGCTAACATGGAAAGCATTGGTTCGCTCGTGCCATTTGTGTGGCGCGAGCAACCAATACCGCCCAGGCTGTGTTCCGAATCTTACTCGAGAAGAATGTGCTACAAGTTTTATACCTTCGGTAAATACCGCTTAGACTTATTCCTCGACATTCATGACTCATGAAACATGGGTTAGTGTTTTCTTAACGCAATAACAGTCGCAAAAAAATTATTTTGAAAAAAAAAAAAAAAAAAATGAGCTGCATTTCTCTTTTCAACTTGCAGCCAGAACAAGCGGCCACGTGATCTGAAGCTGATGAAATGCCACCAGTGTTTATCATAAACATGTGCTGGGTTTGGCAAAGCACAGGGCACGCACCAAGTTCCAGACATTGTTAAGGTTTGGCCATTCCCATCATTGCAGCGGTTGGGCCTGGGGCACTACCCGAACGCACGTCGAGGCATCGATTGTCACGAGCTCCAGTCGAATGCTCACGCAGTTTTGTGTCCACCGTAGGAGCTGCGTTTAAATAGCGTTATTGCAGGGATTGTGAAGCTTGATGACGAAATCCTGGGGATCGCTTTGTTGACAACGACAGCATTGTGATCCCCACAACTTTGCCGTTACGAGAAGGAACCCAAAAGAAGCCAGAGTTCATTTTTCTGAAATGGTGTACAGTATAGACCACTTACAACGTAACCGCTTATAGTGCAGGACCGGGTATAACGCGGTTTTTTTAAACCACCGGTTCGCCTCCCATAGAACTCCATGTATTTACATACCGCTTAAAATGCAGGCGCGCGAAGGGAAATACCGGCTATGGTGCGGTTTTCGGCACAGCCCGCCGACCGCGCCGACGACCGGAGCAGCGGGCACGCTTCCCTGTGCGACACTAGATAACGGCGCTGACGGCGCGGGGCGAGGACGTTGCTCGAAGAAGTGGGGAGAAGCGAAGAGAGAGGCTTCAGTCGCCGTAGCAACAGAGGGACGCACGCACGTGTCGTTCACGTGCGTGCGTCCCTCCGCTGCGTTGGAAACAAAGAAACAAACAACCGCACCGACAGACCAATCGCAGATCGAGGAGAAGTGTTCGCGCGCGTTGCGTACCAGTCGCGGGCCGGCTGCTTCTCCGCAAACATGGTGTCGGTTGTGATCGTCGTCGTAGACGGAGTTCATCTCATCGTTCTGCGTAAAAGCGCTATCCTTGACTGTGAATTTTCGTTGTGTGTCGCTATGATAACCCAGCACGTACTAGAAGGGAAGATCCACCTACTCGTGCGGCGATGCCGTGGCGGCGCTCTCAAGACGGCAGAAACGCCCGTGTCGTCGTGTTTGTTTACTTCGACTACAGTGGTGATTTCTAAGCATTTGTGACCTCAAACATCGCCCGGATTTCTTATTTGGCGCATTTCATGCGTGTGCTAAAGTTCAAGGTATTACTGGCGCGTACCATATGAAGGATGCGAATTTTCACGCGTTTTCATCTCCGGAGAAAAGTGATTAGGGTTAGCAATCCTGAACGCTCGCAACGTCCGTCCGCAACGCCGCTAATTTCTTTCAAAATGTGTGACACACTTGAGACATAACTGTACTAGTCTGGTGAAATAAAGACTTTCCTCAAACTAAGCTTTATTTTTCATCTAACATAAAATAAATTCTTTTACAAAGGTAAGTTGTCTCATGGCATGTATTTTGGCCTGAAAAATTGATGTTTTGGTTATAACGCGGTACCGCTTATAGTGCGGATTTTCGCGACTCCCGCGACATACGTTATATGCGGTTATTTATTTTTAGATGCTCGATGTTCGCCCGCCTTCAAAGTACTCTCCACCTAATGCAATGCACTTGTCAAGGCGTCTCTTCCAATGCCCAAAATAGCCTTTAAATTCATAGATTTTGATGCCTTTCAGTGTTTCAGCCGCTTTTTGTTTCAGCTCTTCCACATGAGCAAACTGTTTCATTTTGAAAACTTTTCTCATCCGAGGAAACAAAGAAGTCACGTGGCGTGAGGCAGGGTGAATAGGTAGGGCCGGGCCATTTTTGGTCAAAAACTGCCAAACACTCAGCACGGTGTGCACAGAAGAACGGCCCGAGTTGCGGCAAGACTTGTTTGTTCACCATGACAAGACGCCTGCCGCACCTCGCTGAGCATTGAGCAGTTTTTGACCAAGAATGGCACGATTCCTATGCCCCATTTTCTTTTACACCCGACCTTGCCACTTAGGACTTTTTTTTTTTCTTTCCCTGGATGAAAAATTTTTTTAAAGGGAAACGGTTTGCCGATGTGGAAGAAGTGAAACAAGAGGTGACAGAAGCACCAAAAGGCATCAAAATCAACGGGTTTACAGGCTATTATGAGCACTAAAAGAAACGTCTCGACAAGTGCAGTGCATTAGGCGAAGAGTACTTTGAAGGGAACTGAAATTTTAGCCTGTAAAAATAAATACACAATCTCGTAAAAATAAATTCCGGTTTTTTTTTGGTCCCCCCTTGTATGTATTGCGAAGGAGAGACTGAAAAACAATGCTCACTCTTATCGTTGAAGTTACGCGGCGACAAAGAAGCTTTTCGGTCAGTGGCGTTGTGTGCAAGTATAGTTCGGTCCCACTAGCACCGGTAAGCTTGTGTAAAGTGAGAAACATTTCTACCCAATATCGTAGCACAGCCCCTTTAAAGGGCCCCTGAAAGGAAATAAATGTGTTTTTTTTTTTTTAAACCGCCTGATTGGGACGCGCGTGTCAAAAAATTAATTTTACGCGGAAAAAATTTTTTTTAAGGCAATATTGACGGCGCGAGACGCGATTTAGTTGGTAATCACCTCGTTTCCACTTGTTTTCTCACTCGGCATTTCGGGCGCTTGGAGAAGAGGTGAATCGGCTTCGCCTTCACGTTGGGGTAGAAAGAGCGAATGACCATACCGTGCCGTCATGGACTTTGCACGCAGAATTTCAAATAAATCTCTCGCCGTCAATATTGCTCTGAAAATTTTTTTCCCGTGTAAAATTTCTTTTTTTAACATGCGTGTCCCAAACAGGCTGTTTTAAAAAAATGTTTTTTTTCTTTTCAGGGGCTCTTTAGCACTAGTTCATGCACTTGCAACCACTTACAACAAAGTGCCTTAGAACCTATTGCTATCTCTCATGACGAGAGAACAGACTTGCACTCTCTATTGAGTAGCCTATTACCTATTACCTCTGTATAAGTAGTTTTTTGTTTGCAAATTATTCTTTTTTCTTTGCTTCAAAATTTTTTTGATTATGGTATAAACGACCATTTCTCAGAGAAAGTATGTACATTTGATCTCGTAAAATGAGCATGGGTGTCCAGAGGGAGGCAGCACCATTCGATCTACTGGCCTCGAGCTTAGTTCGGTATCGCTCCGTCGTATAAGGCGACACCAGCGCTGCCGCGGCAAACGAACGAACGAAACAAAGAACGGCGTGCGGCCCACCTCGAGCAGTTCCTCTGGAGAGAAGACGACGGTGGATCCCCCGTCGTCCCCGATGGCCCAGGGGTCCCCCGCCGCTTCGGGGGCCGGGGGTGCCTCCTCGTCCCGCTCCACCAGGGCGTGGGGGGCCAGGGACGCCTCCAGGGAGCAGGGCATCGACACCCGGCCTGCCCCGCGACGACGGTCCACGTATTCTTGCACCTGGGCGCCCAGGGGCAAAAGTGACTTTGGCGCACGGGGACTACGCTCCCGTAAGTGCAGTGTCACATATTGACAGACCGTTCCAGTGATCGGGACTGTCTCGGTTATGGTGCACGGAACGCACCTCCAACTGGTGTTCAACGTGCCACTAATTTGTACCCCGTACTGTCGGCCGGTAGCGCAGCAATGCCAATAAATGCGACCTTCGGATTCGTCATCCGGCGAGATTGGCCGACTTCCGAGACCTTGCACCTCGACATTAACTCTCAGCAATTCTCGCTTCGTTGAGCTGCACCAAAACAATTTTTACCCGCCAGGTCGCTACCCTTAATCCTCAATTGCAAATCATTTATGCACAGACGTTCGGTGCCTGACCAGTTTCAATATGGTGCGAATCATTCAGTCATTCCCCAAAAATACAGTAAAATTTTCATTGTCAAGAACAACTTACCAATCTAGAAAACTGTGGTTTTCTCCCGTTTCTCCCACAAACTTTCACGCATTTGCCGGCATTGAGCAACAGCTGCTGGCAGTGACACAACCCCAGCAAGATGAGCTTCTACCCACGATGTGGCCCACTACTACAGACGTCGGCGGAGCGTGTGCCGCGATAGTGCATGGAGTGCGTCTCCAACGGGTATGTTTACCACAACCCTAAATGTGGCCCTTCGATTCCCGCCCAACGACGTCATGAAAGTGCCACACCGTCGTCGACCGCGAGCCTGGCGGTGGCACGTCGGCGGAGGTGAACAAGGCAGACATCAGTTCCACAGTAGCTTGCTCTCGGCACGATGGTCCACCAAAGCTTCTGCAGCAACAAACTGGGACGCTGTGACGACGGCAACGCTCGAGTTCGCTCGCGCTTTTTTTTCCGGAACTTCTACCACCGACCATTGGGATCGTGACATCCGATTGCACGACGCGCCGGTTGTTGCGACGTAAGTTGTTGCCACTTTGGGACCACTCTCTATGCATGGGTAGAGCGGGGCATTGAACAGACCCGTCAAAGACAGGTACCGGGCGGCGTAATGCAACTTCCCGTGGCTCACCTGCCCCAGCAGCCTCTCAATGCCGAGCACCTCGATGGTGTCCGAGGGCCTGGCCAGCCCGGCCCGGGCACCGTCCCAGCTGGGGGCTTCCACCGAGGCGAGGGCTGGCTCCTCCGCAGGCTCCTCCACAGGCTCCTCCGCAGGTTCCTCCCCTCCGTCCCCCTCTTCCCCGTCTTCCTCCAGCAGCAGCGTGTCCAGCAGGCTTCGGCCGGACTGCTGCTCCCATAGGTGCACCCGGTCCCAGTGAATCTGGACACGACCGGCCAATCGAGTCACGCCTCTGCGTCACGCGACAGTCACCCGACTGCGCGGGTGTCGACATTGCGGAGCAGTCTCCCTGTCTGCGCGACTGATCGAGCTTCGCCGCAATAAGGTCGTCGACGCACCCGAGCATCCGATTGCGGTGCCCGAACCCGGTGTCAAAGTGCAGATTTGCACCTTGCAACGACTGGGGGGGGTTGCAACGCGGCATCTCGCGGATTTCTACACAATCGTGGTATCTCTCTTTGCCCCGCATAACTGTCATTTTGTCTTCGACGTGTCAACGATGCCTCGGTTAGAACTTCTATAAGCGGCGACAGAAAAAGAGTAAAAGTACAGTAAGGTCTCCACCTCCAGCGCAAACTTTCTACCTTCAACAGCACGTTGGGCATCCGCAGCCAAACTGTTACGCGAGGCAATGAGCAAGTGTGGGAGGCGGAACTTCTACCGGATTTTTTGTACGTCACCTAAAATGGGCATGCACAGCCTTCAGGCATGCATAGTCTTCCACTATATTCATTCTTTTCGCTGCAGTCGACGAGCGTCGAAGGCGAGCGTCGCGCAACAGTGTGGCAAGTGCACCCACCTTCCACTGGTGCTGGGGCTTGAGCTCGACAGCCACCAGGTCCCCGTTCAGGGCCCGGTTGCGGTCATGTAGTCCCCCAATGTAGATGTCCATCTGACTGTCCTGCAACCGCACGCACGCACCGGCGACCCGTTCATGAGCTCTGCCCCGCTCCCACACGTGTCCGTAACCACCCGAGCGAGCCTCGTTTGTACGTTCCACAATGCTACCGCACACCGCAAGTCGTACGACGCACGAGGCATTGCCCAACGGCAATTCCCGAGTCGGAGAAATTTTTCCATTGGTACAGCAATGTCTCGTTAATATGGATACCTCCGTTCCACCGAAATTGTCCGTTATGACTAAACAAATATATTAAGGCTTGTTCTCACATATAGCACGGTGCCACCCCGGCGCTATTAGTTTGCACTAAGAAATAGTGCCGACTTTGCCATATATTAGTGATACAGCACCAATATACTGCGCAGCATCAGTACCAAGTTTCTTTCGAGTCAGCGCTGCATCAGTGCTGTTCTTATGTAGACTTGGTGCTGTGCTCGTCGTTATAATTCAGCGTTAATAAGAAAACACATAAATAGGCCTCAAACAAATCGAGCAGTCTTCTTATAAACCTCCAGCCTAACGGCGAGACTGACGTGCCAGTTGGACTGCACCATGATTTAACAGCAGGACTTGGTTCAAGCATGAGACTGCTACCAAGACAGAAACTTAAGGTGAGTATGCAAGTAAAATTGAACTTACTGGCTGAACTAAGAACCTGCTGAATTTCCATCGTTACTTTCGGAATATAGAGATTCAAGGACACAAGGACAGACAAGGAAAGGACACCGCAAAGATATCGCAAAGAACATAAGGCCACGTATCTGTCCTCATGTCCTTGGTGCTGAATGTCTCAAGGTTATGAACCAACTAACCCAATGAACTGCTTTATGTAAATCGCTACCCGATAAATGGTGTGGTGTAACCTAATAAGCTATCGAACAATCTGCACCGGGGTCGAGAAGACCTACTAGGCTCCAAGTTCTTAGACACCAAAATACAGCAAAAGAGTTCCAATTTGTACACCCCGAATGCACCAGGTGGAGACTAGACGCCGGATCCAAAATGCAGTAGGACCTCATTGACATGTTTTCGTTGAAATGTATTCCCGACTCTTAAAAGGGAAATCAGTCTTAAAAAAAACGAGCCTGGCTGTTGGATTCGTCTTTACGGTTCTTATGTCCAAAACCTGCCACCCGACGGGACGTACTGGGATGGTCAGCTACGGCTGCCCCCCCTCCCCTCTCTTTCTCTCCCTCTCTTTGCCTCTGCTGTGCATTTTGCCCAGGCGAGCATGACCCTGGAGCGGGTTCGAAAGGGACTTGGGCTTTCACAACTGTCCCTTCATCTTTCAATTTTTGTTCTCTGACACACATTTCTGTTGTGGCTCAGTTGCCTTGGTCTTGAAAGTTTCATTTCGCATAAAGTTGAGTTAGCGATCAGGAACTGCACGCAGCCCGCTCACTGTGCAGAGCTTCACTCCAGCGCACTAAGAGCAGCGGCTGATGCGGATGAGCACCTGGGTTAGCTCAATGGGTTTGGAAAGGTTGCTCACCCTTATTGACATCCTTTGGTTACCTCCAATCACAGATAGACCCCTAACTCTAAGAAACAGGACAAAAAAACATGCCTATCTATATATGAATAAATATAGTACTCTTCCACAGCCACGAGAGTCCCTATAAAATAAATTACTGCCTGAGAGTTGCTCCCTGCCCCATCTATGGCCCCCAAAAGCATTATAGGTTATTATGTTTTCCTGGATCATATTTTTTTTACCGCATTTCTTTGAAAAACATATCAACAGGGTTTTACTGTATTTCCATATGTCAACTTATCTCGACCCCGCAAAAGTAATGCGCAATGAAGCAGTAACCAAAATCGAAAGGTGTGCTAAATTTATCGTACAACTTCCTTTTTTTAGACGTGGCTTACAAATGGTACTCTTTTTTCCTAGGGCTGATGGTAGCCAATGCCTTGGGGGATGCTTATGCCCTCTTTCCACAGAATCAGTTTCAACCACCTGCCTACTGCAAATGCTATAATCTTTTGCAACACAAAATATACAAGAGAAGTTTCGTGTCTGGAACGCAGATGTTGCTTTGCGTCGTGTGTAGCTGCGCATGCGTCGACGTGTCATAGAAGACGCAAAGCTTGCAATAAAGACAGAGCTTCTACTGCAGATCTTATGTTGCAACAGACTACAGACCCTAAAGTTATTCTTAGGCAGACGTGGACAATTACTACCATACCCAGTTCCCCAAAGTCCATGCCCCATGAATTGCTTGAAACATATCACGCGCCTGCTAAACTGTTACCACTACCTAAAAGCTAGGCCTTGTCCAACCCGCATGCAAAACACTAATAAATAACTAGCTCCACTTCTATGCAATCCTGAAACTTCCTGCTCAGAAAGTTGAACACAAAACACAACAAAAACTACTTCAACGAAAATACAACTTTTACGACTTCGGTTGAAAAACACCTCATCTGCCAAATGTGGTTGCAGTACGTGTAACCTTAATATACCCAGCCATGCTGTTAATACCACTATGCACGGCCAAGGCAGGCACATATTTCCGTTGGTCAGTACAAGATGTGATTTGGCAAGTACATTCAAGTCTAACCTAACTGGGTACCGCTACACTCTTGTGCCGTTCCAATGCACCAGCAAGCTACCACAAACAAGCACACACAGGAACGTAGCTCCCTTTTTACTGGTCAACTTATTGAACAGGGAGATCAAGACTAGTGCAGTCACTAAGAGACGCACCGCCCTGTTGCCAGCAAGGCCCATGTTGGTAGATTCTCTCTGCCTAAACTCACCTAAATTTGCTAATCCAGGCACCTCACCTTGTGCAGTACACATGTCTGCTGTCACCTCGAAATAATGTAGCATCCATTCTAAGGTTACCTCAGTAGACTGAAAGTTAAGCAAGCGTGCTATACACGCACGACAAAACATAGTTGCTGAGAGGACAAAAGGTGCAGGGCATCTCTTTCGTATGTCCAACCTGCAGCATGTGTGCCTTCCACGGCACTTCGGCTGCACAGGCACACTCGAAGCACTTGTGCTGGAGGTGGGACAAGTGAAAAGCCTCCCGCTTATCCTGTCAGTGACCATAGTTTCTTGTCCATGGTATGAATAATTTGACTCTGATTTGCTAGCAAGATGAGAGTAGAAAAAAACTACCATCAAAACTGCCCCGTGTCACGGAAGGAAAGATATCTAATATTGGTTCATCCTACTACAACCAAAGCCTATTTCAAACATGCAAAACATAGCAATGCATGCTTTCAACCAAACAAACCAAAGATGACATGCAAGACCAAAGGGCCAACATGGGGTCTACCTCGCGCATGCATAGCCCAGTGATGTGCTGCCAAAAAGTCATAGCTCCAGGGCTTTTGGGCCTCAAGTTAGAAATGGTTGAACATTGGTACAGTGGTGCACAGATAAGATCCAGTGGGAACAAATCAAACAAAAAAGAGCATAGAAAGGCCAATGCCAGAGAGCCAAGGAAACAGGAAAAGAAAATTTTCTCAAACTGGCAACATTCCTTCCTCCTCTCTCCACCCCAAAGCAGAAATAAAAAAACAAAATTAAAAAAAATGCAACCGAGCTTCCCCCTTACACTACGGGTTTTGTTAGGACTCGAGCGTCTTGACCTCTCTTCTTCAGCATCACTAACTGTGTGCAGAGGCAACTAATTGCAGCGGCAAATCGGAGCCATGGCCGCCTTCGTGCCATTGGTCGTGGTGTTTTCTGAGTGATGTGGTCGTGGTGCTTTCTGAAGAAAGGCTTTGAAAGTTGAATGTGATGAAGTGTGGGCACGCTGCGATAGCATGTGCTAGAGGTGTAATATCGCTCTAAGCTTTGTGTTGTAAATGCGTGCCATGTGGCAGCTGTGCTTCGTGCTGTATAAACATTTAGCTGATCGAAAAGAGAAAATGCCACACATTATGAAAGGAGAAAAGGCAACTGACCGTAAAAATATCATATTTGAAATCAGTCGTACAAAAATGCTTTAATCAGGCACTGAGAAAAATAATTCTGTGCAAGCATTTCCCACGAGGAATTAGACCACAGAGGGGAAAAGATTCAGTTATATTTTATTTAAACCTGCATTGTCAGAACCGCACAGCAGTAAGTAGTAATGACGAGGTCTAAACAATTCCCTGGTCTTTTGCCAGGACGGGAGTCAACGCTTGGCTGCTTTACACAAGTTAATTCCAACTTTTGACTTTATATTCACGCATACAAAAGTGCAGCATATATTACGCTAGAACCTCGATGGTACGTTGTTTGAAGGAGTCTCCCAGCAGCTACGCTCACAAAGGCAGGTCCCGCTGAACTCCCGTAGGGTGCGTGTGTAATAATTTCCTGTTTGTTGCGTTCGTTTTCCCTTCTGTCAAGTCCCAAAAATGCATGGAGGTAGGAAGCTTCTGGAGGCAACATGAAGCAACCAGGGGTGAAGCTGGTCAAGACTTGAGGATTCAGGCTTTTGGAATGGTCAGTTTTACTTTTTACCTTTTAGTCCAGTACAAGCGTAAACACTTTGTTCCTGACATTTAGAGTGGAGTTTGCAATTGTGCGTCGTGTGTGTCATGCTTCGCTGTTTTGCACTGGTACGTTTATCAAGCTTCACCGCCTCCCCGGCGTGCCAGGAACAACGGCTAATGTGGGTGAACATCTTGGTTAGTTTGATGGGCTCAGAAATTTCACTCTTTCTTATAGGTCGGCATTCTTTCATTTTGATTACAGATTGACCCTTAGTTAAAATGAACAGTTAAGAGAAAAAGAAGTTGACCTATATCTGAATATATATGGTAGTTCTCCCATAGCTCTTAAGAATAAATTGCTGCACGAGAGTTACTTCTAAGAATAAATTGCTGCACGAGAGTTACTTCCCGTCTCATTTATAAGCCTCAAAAAATGTCATTGGTTTGTCTGCGGCCCTCTCAAAAATGTATCAATGCAGTTCTACTGTACCTCCATGCATCCCATGCAAAAGGAATGCAATAGTTCCACCGATAGTGACTGACTTAAAGAAATAGTTTTGCATTTGGCTACTCTTCCTCCAGCATGACCTCCCTACCTTCAATAGTACCTCGTAGGTGCATGTACAACTGAAACTTGCACAATACTAATGCACCACCAAAGGTAACGGACTTGCAGCTGAAGAAACACAAATGAAGGGCTCTTCCTAGCATTTCTGAAATGCCCGAGATTCTTGCGCAGCAACTGATTTCAACTCGATTTTACAGAGCTCACTACCATTATTTTTCTTTTCATTCTTGCCTACGAACGACTGCTTTCTATTATGCACAAGCAAATTGCAGAAATCGAAGCCGGTGGGAACAGCTTAAGAAAGACCTTTCTAGACGTCCCAGATCCCACAGTGCCCGAAGACTTTAACCAAAACACTGGCTGGCGCTCCCCAAAGAAACAAGGTCCCTCGATGAAACTTCTCGAAGCTTCCTTTTCACGTTCATCAGGCACAGTTATCTCCTTTGCTGCTGCATGACTGAAATCTTTTTACTCCTGCTTGGTCCAATGCTATAAAAAATGCCACGCTACGGCTCGCATGTGTCTGTACAGTGTAACCACGGTGGTGTATGACTAGACCCCAGCATGCCCTCTCTCGAAACATGCGTGCTATGGCCCTCATGCAAATTGTGACTCGTTACAACTGCTCCTCCATACGATGGCCTAACCGATCACATGGCGATTGCCGTTTTTGGCGCTGAAGGTGGCGCTGCCACGCCCTCTCTGACAGGGACAGGCCCTGCTGGCAACAGGGGGTGGAGGAGGAGGGAGAGGGGAAGGAGCCAGCAAGACAGGACTACCGAGGATTACCGGCGCACTGATAAACGAGTCCTCGTAGTTGCGGGGGTTGATGCGCAGCACGCCCTGCAGAGAGACGGAGAAGGGACACGGTCACTGCCCGTTGTCGGCGCTTCGCACGTTTCGGGGAAAACGAGAGCCCCGATTGTCAAAAGGCTGAGGCCTCATCGGTGAGGCGTCTTTACCAGAGTCGAAAAGTAACCCGGTATAAGTAATTTAAGTTACTGCAACTAGTCACGATTACTTCCCGAGTTAGATTTGGAATTTCGGTAACTCTAAAGGCTGGTTCATGCACTTGCGACTGCTTGCTGGGGACCTAAAAGATTTGAAAACTGGTTTTAAACTCCTCGCGAGTGCTTACGACTGGCTACAGTGTTGCGCGGCTGGTCGCAAGAGGCTTAAAGAGCGATCGTGTTGCAGTCGGTTGTAGTTCAACGCAAGTGTGCAAACCAGCCCTAATTGTAACCTTGTTACAACTTGTAATCTGGTTCAGTTACAATTACTTGTCAGGATTATAATGATAACAAATACATATCAGCACTACTTGTAGCAAATGCTTCAAACTTTGTCGTGAGCAGAATGCCGAATCAAAATGGTCGCTACAGTGGCTTAAAGGGGGTAGTGTAACGGACGAAACCGGAGAAGCGGCACCGCGTTGGAAGACGGACGCGGGTGGCGCTGGCGCTTGCAGCACCGTCGTTCCGGCTATGGCTCTGGCTTGGCCGCTTGGTCAGCTTGGCTCCAGCCAGCTCCGGCCGATTCGCGCAGCTGTCCACTACACTGTCGTCTGCAAGTTTCACATTTTTTATTCATCTTCAAACACAAATCATGTCGTTGGAAGTTCACTGGAAACAAATAATTGTTTTTGATGTATTTATATTAGTTGTGTAGCGTGTTAGGGTGCCTCTATCTTCCGGCCGTTTGAGGCACCCAACGGAGCTGCGGATCGAAGCGCCACCTACATCGTCTTCCAAGGAGCGGCCGTTCCCGATGCATGGTGGAGGCTACGCGATAACCACACTACCCCCTCTGTAGCGTCACAATATCTTTCAAGATCGAACATTGACTTCTACTTTCTGTGAGTAACCATAGCTGCACATAAATATATTTCTAAAGTAACTTAACTACCTTAAAATCATGAGATGCCCCACCCCCAAGATATAGCCCACCCCTATTTTAGAGCACAGCTCTTAGGCACCCGTTTCCGGCTTGAGCGACGCCGCCGTTGGCGTTGCCGTCACCATCGGTGTAATTGCGCGGTGCATTATGGGACGCTTCCCGTGATGACGTCACGAGGGTCACCGCGTGTTGCATTATGGGTAAATTTCCCCGCTAAATTTAGCGGAAAAATTTCCCTGCTAAATTTAGCGGGAAAATTTCCCCGCTAAAGTTAGCGAAAAAAATTCCCCGCTAAATTTAGAGAAAAAAAATCCCGCTAAATTTAGCGGGAAAATTTCCCCACTAAATTTAGCAGGGAATTTTTTCCGCTAAATTTAGCTGAAAAAATTTTCCGCTAAATTTAGAAAGAAATTTAGCCAAAAATTTCTCACTAAATGGGAGGCAAGCAGGAGAGGAAGAGGGGAGGGTACGAATGAGGAGGAGGGGTATACCCTCCTCTCCGTATTTTCCCATTCTCCTCCTCAAGAACTGCGCTCTAATTCAGCGTTACAGGGATTGTAAACGTCTTTCATTTTATGGCTTGATTTGCTACATCTATTTTAAGCACCGAAAGATAGACCACTCCTAGAAACAGTAGCGTGGGGATCAATGATGGCCTCGGCATAAATGAGGCTAGTCAGCTATGGCGGGATATAAGCGAACATTGCTGACTGGGAAATACAATCATCTTTGCTTCGTTGTCCCTCGCCACCATAACAAGCTTGGGAGGGACACAACCTAAAAATAGCAATTTTTTTAACTTTTCTTGATTGTACACCGAAAGTTAGCCCACTTCCTACTTTCAGGCGATTTTCTCTCAATGTTAAGTGGACTATCTCTCGGGATTTTACGGTATGCTTCAGCTGAAGTCACCATCAGCGTCTTTTATTTTTCCTCGGGAGGCCCGTACTGGCATTGCAGTAGAGTCTTTTCAATATGGACACCTTTGTTTTCCCTAACAGTGATTTTCAAAAGTAGCTAGACTTGGAGCTAAAATTCCCAAAGTGGGTGAGTAACTAAATTCGGAGCTAAAGAAAAATAACAACAAAGAGCCAATTAATTTAGGGGCAGCTACAAATTGGCCGCCCAAGAATTCTGCCGCCCTACGCAGCTGTCTACTCTGCCTCTTGGTAAGTCCGCCCCTGGGCTCAAATATATATCTTCAAAATAAGAAAACTTGGCAGATAAAGAAAAAAGAAATAGCTGCAAATTTAAAAAGTAACAATTTCCAAAACACAGTTTTTAAGAGATTTTTCAGCTCGAAAAACCCATGTCTCCCCTTAAAATAATAATGAGACAAAAATGCACATACTGTATTAACGCGGTTTGCCCCCGAAAATTCTCTATATAGTGGGGCATGATTGAACACAAGTCGAACATGTCAGTCTTGAACGCACAGCCCCCAAAGCAAGTTTCCGAAATGTCCCCGGCACTCACCTCAACCACCTGGCCCTTCTTCAATGCCTGCTGCACCTCACACAGAGGCATGTAGGCCTCATACTGAAACAAGAAAAAGAATGAAAAAGTCACTTCCTATTAGGCGTCACAGACAGTATAGAAATCAAAGCCCGCTCCAGAGAACAAAGACTACGCCACAAAGCCAACTTGGCGAAAACAAGGCGGAGCTCACCTTGGGACGCTCCTTGTTCTTCTGCCTCGGGGTCAACGAGGGGGAAGTCAGGTGGGTCTCTGGAAAGACAATGTTGCCGTTCACCTCAAAGGCAAGCACTGTCAACTCTCGAGATTCAAAAGACTGGGAATAAAACACCACACAGGCCCAATGGAGTGTTGAGTCTTTGACAGGACTGCATAAATCAAACTTTTGAAGTATTGCACTACAGTTTTCTACAGAGGTGCCTCTAAGTGGTGCATATATTAGGTATTAAGTATGAAAATATGAGCTTGCTTAAAGGGGTGCTAAAGAGGCTTGCTTCTGAGATTTTCTATTTATGGTTATAACTCAACCTACAGGCTCTAAGCTTTTTATAAAACTCGAGATTAGAGTGGTACATGTCAGATTTCGCTATAAAAAATTGGATCCAAGATCAAGACATGTCCGTATTTCTGTGATTAGGCACAGAAACTAGAGGGTGCCGCCACACGTGCAACAGTCAATCGCAGGCGATCACTTCCTGAGCAGTAAGGGGGCCGACCAATGGCGAACTGATTTCCAAATGTGTGCAACTTGTGTGCGAGAAGAGATTGCTCACAATTAGCCATCTCATGCCTGATGGCACCCTCTGGTTTCCGTGCAGAATCGCAGAAAAACTGGCGTGTCACGATCCTTGATTTAGTTTTTATAAGGAAAATCAAATGCATATCAATCTAATCTTTTTTTTTTTTTTAGAATGCTTAGAGTTCATAGACTGAGTTATGACAATAAATAGACAATTTTAGAAGCTACTCTAATAGCTCTTTAAGTAAAAAAAAAAAGAGGAAAGAGAAGTTTTTTTTTTAATTGAATGATTAGCCAAATTTTTATTTTGGGAAATTATCAGGTAACGTTGTAGGTCATTGTGGCATTTAATATGACAGAAAAACAAGTGGAAGAAAAAGGAAACAGATCAGGCAAACATTTTAATCCCCTTCCGTTCACCGAAATAAATGCATTAGGAGCCTGCACACCAGACTTAGCCCACGGGAAACAGATGATTCTTCTTTTGATTATAATGAAATTAAAGGCAAGGGTGCAAGTGAGCTGGACAAGAATGACGAAAAGAATCCCAGGCGGATGTTTTCGGTCACGCACCAGTCACTTAGCTGTGTCTGGAGATTTGTGCTTGTCCTTTGTTTCTCTTGTTCCCCTCACTTAGGGGTTATATTCGTCATTCTTCTTTGTCATTTTTTTCATTCGAAAGAACTCATTCCTCCAAAGTTTTACTGAAAACATGCACCCTTTACTTATACCTCTGCGCTAAATTACACCGCAATATGTTGAAAAGAAGTGATTTATGCAGCCCCTTCAAAGGGCCAATGCATCAAAGGGTCCACCTTGATTTCATAAAAGTATTAGTATGCCGAACCGGCTTCGAGAGTCTTGCTCGTCTCTGGAGGATATTGAAGGTAGCTCCAGAAATGGTGCTCTTGTTACATGGGGCCCAGTGTGCACATCGAATGTGTGTTCAAGGTTCACAACTACTAGACGGTGCACGCGTTTGCATGGCATCTACTTCTGCTCAAAATTGTTGAATAAGCATTTTTTACCGTAAAACAGAGCGTGCGAAAACTGGTGGCAAGCATAGAAACAAAAGCTATCCCTTCATAATCTGTGCATGTTTGTATGTGCACGTGAAAGAGGAAAAAGCAGAGAGACAAAGTGACATTTTGATCAACGTCCCCAGATGACTATGGAGGACGGAAATGCCACATGTATGTTTACATTTTTCGCAGCGACATGCGTTGCGCCACTGCTAATAGGCTAACATTTGGTTTTCATTAGCACGTGGGGCGTCGTCTGTCTAGAATTAGACCTCCGTCGGGATTCACATTATACCGTATTGTCGGTCGTCGCTCGCAGCACGCACTCATAGCTTCAAATTATAGCTTACAAAGAACAAGGATGCCAACGGGGAGATATGCATGTCGAAAGTGCTGCATTACTCCGTGTTGAGATATTTGTTCTGGAAAGATGAGCTAGCAGTGAGCATGTGCAATGAACAATGACCAACTATATGGTGTCCCACGAACACCCTAACAGTGCTGGACATCTCACGGCACCACAATTTAACGATAAATGCCATTTGCTCGAGCGATTTCAGGCTGTAGGTTCGCACATTTGCGTTAAAGTGTGATCGACCGCGTTGCACTCATTCACATGGATCGACCTACAATCCATGTGTCCCAGGGCTACCCGACAGACGGCGCCGGGCTCTTCTCACCTTGTAAGCAGACAGAAACGGTTGCAATGTGGTTGACCACACTCAAATAGAAATGTGCGAACTGGCCCTCGTTCGGCGACGCCTTTATGACTGCGGAGTATTAAAACCGGGGCACCGGGGTCTCACCGGAGCTGCGCCTGCTGGAAGGGAAGGAGCCCTCAGAGAGGGTGCTGGAAGGACTGCAGGGGCTGCGCCGCACGCCGGACGCGGACGGACTCGAGCCGCTCTCCGAGCCCCCCCTGTAACCGGGCGAGAGACGGACACTCCCCATCAGGGCCCACTTCCGAGCGGAAGAAAACCCGTGGACCTCTCGCGAAATCTAAGCAGTCCTGGCGGCGGCGTGGTGCCGTGCAAAGCATCTCGGAAACTCCTTGGCCACTGTTTCGGCTTCGATGTGCCAACCTCTTTCCAGCATCCCGTTACGATCAAACACGGTGCTTGCATTTTGGAATGTGTGACTTTTTCTTTAATTTTATAATACTGTAGGTGTTGCCTACCAACAGAGATAAAATGCTGGACCACATTTTTCTTTTGGAGGGTTCACGTACCAAAGTTTGTGCACATGAAAACAGGAATACAAAGACACATATGGAAGAAGAAGTATAGTGGTCTGTAGAGCCCTGCACGGATAACAGTTTGAGTATCCGCATCCGATCTGCATCCGCAGGCTTTGTATCCGCATCCCAACCGCATCCGCAAACTATTTACATTATTGTATCCATATTCAATCTGCAGCCGCATACTTTGTATCCGTATCCGAACCGCATCCGCAAAATGTGGAACCACGTCGAAGTTCTTGCTAACCACCAGAGGTTACGATTGCATTTAGACTAGCAAAATCAGCGGAAATCACGCCGACCGCGTTCTTCCCCGCCGCACGCAGAATCGGAAGCTTTCAACTGTGACCCCTTAACTCTCTTCTGAAGTCTGAACGCCTAAAAAGAATCAGAAAAAAAAAAAAGTTCTGAAAGAGAGGCGGAGAAGCAGTGGTAGAAAGACAAAATCCTTGCTGTGATGTTACCGAGCGTATGCGGCCGCCTCGAGTCTCACGGTGTTTCGTGTCAGCCAGCGGGCAGATGCGCTGGCTGACATCCACATCCCATCCGCAATCCGCCAAAATCCGTCTAATTTTTATCCGCATCCGCCAGTTTACTGCGGATATCTGCGGATATCCACGGATAATCCGCGGATATGCAGGGCTCTACTGGTCTGGTAATCCTGTCCCTTCTCCTCAACAGGCTTTTTAAATTATTCATTTACTGGGAGGGTCATGCTTCATTCCGGACTGGTAGCCAGGCTGCCAGAAAAATATGGAATGCGGCCGGCCGTACCCCTACCCTCATTTAGCCTAGGCAGGTCCTTATGGCCACTGGAGGTTTGCATTTCAACAGTGGCTCTTACGAAGATGAATGGTTGGAATATAAGCGAGCACCGACTTTATTTTCGCGCGGCGCTGAAATGCATTACTTCGTAAACAGAGCAATTAAAACCCAAACCATACCACTCTTCTCTACAACCAAAGAGGTACCATAGATAGATAGATAGATAGTTATTTTATTGATAATGCAACACCCGCCAGTGTTGCAAGCGGGCATTTTTAGAAGTGTTCTATTCCCTGCTGTGGGTCTCGGGAGCCCATATGGCTCCATTTAATTGCAATCGTTTTTTGGGGGTTCTATTTCAATAACATTGTTGGTTACAAGTGCAATTCTTTAAGTCCTTAGCTTTTGCTCTGAGAAGTTGTTCGAGTTTTCCGCCTGACCCACAAGTGTTCCGTGCACATCGTTAAGGTTGGTTCGCGCACTTGCGACTGCTTACGACCGAGTTCTCTTCATCTCTTACGACAAGAGTCTGGACGAGAAGACATGCCGGTGCAATCTATCGAGTGTGAGGCTCAAAATTCCTGTATATCTCCTTTTTTTTTTTTTCGCGCGTCGCTCTTTCTTTGTTGGCTCGAAAATCTTTTGACAAGGTTATAAATGACCATTTCTCATAGGTAGTACATATGTTTGATCTCGCCAATACCTCAAAATTTCAGCTATAGCGAAATGCAGTTCGTGGGTCACTTCATAGACGGCATCAAAGGGCCAGTCTGTTTTCTCATCGTAAGAGATGGCACAAACTAGGTCATAAGCAAACGTGAGCGCGTGAACCGGCCTATACCCTTGAAAGAGACGAAAAGATGCGCTCGCTCGGTACGTTACGGTAACGAACGAAGAGAAAGAGATAATGCTGCCCCACCTGGCGCCAAGACGCCGACACCTGTGCGAGGCGTGCTGTGCCCTGAGGCCCTCGGGCAGCAGGGGCTCCCGGCGGGGGTCTGAGCCGGCCCGGTCACGGGGCACCCACACGCTCGAGGACGGGGAGCTCGGGCCGGAGGCCACGGGGATGCGCGACGACCCGGCCGCCGCGGGGGATCGGCTTGACAGTGCGGGGCACTGGGTGAGGGGTGGGGCACAACGCAGGTTGCCCGGGTCACTCAGCGACAGCCGGCCGCGCTCCTCGGGCTGCTGCTGCTGGCGCTTCCCCTGGGATGGCACAAAGAGCGGCTGAAGAATGCACCCGCGGCAGAAAAGTCGTGCACTGATAAAAGAACTCGGTCGAACACGTTCAATGCGACGCACACACCCTTTTTTCCCAGCGTTCAACGCAGGTTGATTGGATCACCACCTCTCTCGCTCGCTGCGGCGCACTTCTCCACAACAGAATTTCGGAGAGCAGCCACTGCGCACGAGGGAGGTGGAGCTTCGATTGACTGACGACAAACGGTAGTGAGAGGGCGAGAGCTCGACTACCGCGAGCAGACGTCCACGGACGTCTTCCATTTGACGGCACCTAGTGACACCGAATTTTGGACGGACGGTAACGGTTGTGTTCTTTGTACCCACGAGAATGGCAATTCGTGCGGCCAGAACGAATAAAGGGCCGACGGGAGTCGGCAGCTTCCGGCCAGTTATGTGTGCAAGGCTGGTTGTTGCTACTACGGTGCCTGGAATGTGTCTATCATGGTGCATTCAAAAGTCCCACCCTCCAAGATAAGGCCTCGATAGTTTATTTTTTTACATCACCTATCGGAGGCATGGTGGGGCACAGATCGAACATGAGCGCTGCATGAGAATGGCTAGAACGCATGTCATCGCCGATCGAACAAGAGTCCCAGCCGAACGACGGCGCGACACTCCTCTCCAATCTGTACCCCGCAGTGGCCTCCGCTAGGTGACGGCAACAATCCAGCTCTCCGACCGTGTAGTCTAGGAGGTGTTGCATGCAGGCACAGAGTGGAAGAGAGGGTGTTGCGAGGGGGCTCACCTTGTTCTTTGCCCGAGGGTTCTTGGCGTCCCTCCGGGCTCCCTTGGCCCCGGGTGTCTCGAGGGTAAGCTGCCCGAGCCCCTGCTTCACCTGCGCCGCCCCTGGGCTCTCCTGCTCCGCGGCCCCGTCGACTGCTGGCTCACGCTCCATGCAACACTCATGGGCCCTGGGTAGTCCCAACACAGGAGCGCTCACGAGCCGAGGCCTCAAAGAGGGCCTTGCTAATACCAGTGGTACTCCGTTCGTCTCTATACATCTCCTGCGACCGCCGAGTAACTCGGAGAGGGACCGAAAGTTAGATGAAACCACCAATGATCGTTCTCTCTAACGAGTAGAATAGCGCACGCAAAAGATGACCGCGAAAGAAGGGAACACACGTGCAGCACTGACCAGCAACTGCTGCAAGTCAGCGATGTGTGTGCTCTCTTCATTCATGGTCATCTCTCGTGCGTGCACTTCTCATCGTTTGAAATATGTTCCACCAACTAGCCAAAGCTTCAGTCCTAAAGACCGACCTACAGGGTCATCGTCTGCCAGGAAATAAACCGGTTTCCATTTTCCTTCTCTCCATTCCGGGTTGCACTCTCAAATGAAAAGGAGAAATTGAGAGAGTTTTCTCCTTTCTGGCTGCTCTTTGGCCTTTAAGGAGACTTTTTTAATGCGAAAGCATTAACTGTCTCATGGAGCAAGCCGACGTCATCAGCTTTGAAACCACGCCAAACGGCTCTTAAATCCTTCTCCCAAGTCAAGCCAGCTCCCATTCGCCGGTTAGCCACGGCACCTTTTATACCGCTTCGATCTCATTGGCTAGCGTGCACCAACCAGGCTCCTATTCACTGGACATGCAGAACCCTGGGGGTGGCTGGTCGTTGAAACTGATGCTGCACATCAGTTTCAACGACCGGCCACCTCATGGCGCTGCGTGTCCGTCAGCGCCAGGTCAACCGCCAGTCAGTGCGCCAACACGCGTAGAGCAAGTATGATGTACATGCTTTCGCATTCACAACTCATAAGAAATGTTTAGGTGTACCTCGACCTTTTTCCTGTGTTATGACAAGAGCAAGTCCCCCATGCCATTCGACGTCTCAGGGCTGCAGCGGTTTTTCTATAGATCTGTACCTCGTTTGCAAATGTCATCTCAGGAGAATTTAGGAAGACTCCAAACAGCCTTCACTGGCTGATGACCACTAGGAATACCAGTAAAGTGCCAGAGCCCCACAGACGCTGTTAGCTAGCTGCGAACAAACACAAACTGATGCCTCGCTCCCGGGGTTTGCGAGGCATTCTGCTGCGAGTAAACACAGGCACGGGATGTTTCACGGTTGTTGTTGCTTTGTTGGAATGTTTCACAGACTTCCAGTGGCGGCAAACTCTATTTGACGAGTCACGCCTCTCGAGATGGTGCACAATTGGATGGCCATCATCCAATGAGAGGCATCAATAGCACGGTGACAGTCATCGTCGCCCAAGACTTGCCTTTCGGTTTCTTGGGAGAAAGAACCGCAGCTAGCAGAAACGTTGACCTCTGTTCGAATGCCACGTGTTTATCTTCACTACTTACACAAACGCTAAAAATAAATCGTAGGGCATAAATCCATTGTTTGGACAGAACAAGGTCTGAGAACCGAACAATACAATACTATTTTGATCATCGGTCATGATTTCATTTCTTTTTTTTTTTTGTTTGTGTGTGTGTGTGTAAGCAAACAATGCACAACAAGGAGAGAAAGAAAGAAAAAAAAAAGTGCAAACGGGGCTTGCGTTGCGCTGGCCACATTTCTGTCGGCGTCAGCGCCGAAAGCAAAAACGCACCCCCTTGCCCCCTTTTCCACATCATCTAGAGTGCACCGTACCAAGTGGCACCATTGTAGTGCATACATACAGCTGAGCATTGCTTCATCCCACATCACCGGCCGCCGCGATAAGGCTGTTCCCTTCAAACACAATCGCAACCACTGATCCAAGAATCAACGCGCCGTTTATAGAGAGAGAGATACGCTTCCTCCGTCAATCTGCTGTATCCGATATTAATTATATATATATACATATATAAAAAGGAAAGCCCGAGATCAGTCATCAACAAAGCCAAGTCAACAGCCGGTGATATAATGAAGCAGCGGTCAGCAGTTAGCCAGCGCAAGAAACGCCATATCAGCGAGATTTCTTGCCCTGTGCAATTTAGACGAGGCCGCGGTTAGCCTTTGTCGCCGAAATGCTACCGATTGAGCCTCTAGGCTTCCCCAGTGCACCGGCGAGCAGCGATTGATGCAACTCGCTGTGGAACCGGCGCATACGTGATGGTCGACCGCTAGCAGACACAGTGCTGTTCGAAATTCGAATGGGCGATGTCGCTTACCTCGTTCACTACGTCTAAGTTAAGGAAATGATTGCGGGTCCAGTTCCGAAGGAATAAAAACGAGTGCTTTTTAAAGACCAACAATTAAATGGCCGACAGCCAAGCTGACATTCACGCTGTTCTGTCCGTTCGCGTTCCTGTGCACGGATAGACGGGTAAACAACCAGAGCGGCCAGAGCCGTAAACGACAAAGAAAGTGGCATCTTTTTCGTAATGGGCGGTATGTAGCGTTACCTAGCCCACACTATTAATTTTTTTTTTTTGTGGTTGCGTTTTACGCTAAAAAATATATAATTAATGTTTTCAATGGTACATGTAAAATGCTGCATGCTCCGATTCCCAAGGCCGTGTTTCAAAGCGAACACGCGTAACTTTGTGCCTGCTGCTTTTACCGTCTTTTTTTTTTTGTGTGTGTGTGTGTGTGTGTGTGTGTGGTTTTTTTGACATGTTTTATCCTCTTCCGATCTCAGCTGTTTAGCGATTTGCCGTTCATCCCAGTCTCTGCTCAAAGTAGGTCGTTGACATCAGCCATTCGGCCTGGCGACGTTGGTGACAGTAACAGCTGTTTTACCCTTCCTCTGTTGTTTCTGTTTTCTTTCCCAACCTCGTTCTTACCAACGTTGGTTCTCCCGCTACCCGTGCAGAATGTCCGTAGATCGCTGTTTGAGCGCGAACTTGGAAAACAGCCTTTGGCTACACTGTAAAGCAAGTAAATTTTCGGCTTTTTTGTTTTGATTTTTTCGTGTTTATTGGGTCCTTGTCTCCTCAGGCTTAGGGCGCTCTTTGTACTTTTCCTTTTGTTCAAAGTTCGGCTTGTCTTTTCATTGCTGAAAAAAATTGTGCTAACTGTGCAACTTTAACCGCGAAGCCGCCAGTTCCGACGATTTTTATTGCAACTAAAAAAAAAAAAAAAAAAAAAAACGGTTATTTTACAATTTTTTTTTTTTTTTTTTTTTTTTGCAGATGATTTTAACCACAATCTAGACACTTTTATCAATTCTGCAGAGCGATGCATTACAGAAGGCTTTGTAGTTGTAGTTTAGAAGCCTGTGAACGAAGCACATCTTGGCAGTGTTGTGTTCGCATTGCTGGTTCCACTTCGTCATATACTTCTATAGCTAGCACAACTTGGGCACATACAATTCAGGCCGTGCATCCGGCATCTCTTGGACTATACGGGTCACGCCTTGTGTCTGGCAAGAAAAATATCCCCCCACTCTTTGGGACTGCCTCTTCATCTTAGTGCTTATAGGCCACCCTCTACCTGGCCACCCTCTACCTTTGAAATTTTCTTCGAGTCCTGACTCAAGCCTGACCTAGGCTCCTCCTTCAAGTCCCGAGACTCCTAACCTGCAGGCTCCTTTTTCAAGTTCCAACCTACCGACTCGTTTCTCAAGTATCGACCCCTGACTTGCACTTTCCTCGCAGGATGCTACGAGGGACATGGCACTCTGCTGGCATTGCTGCCAGTGTTGTGCGTCGCTTGGTTCGCTCGCTGTCTTCTGCACACACTCCCCGGGTGTCGGAGAAGCGGGGTCCCTACGCCCAGCTCGAGGACTTTGACCTGTCCATGTTCGAGCGGCTGCTGGGCACTTCGGCCGTGCTGACGGACCCCAGCGATGTGGAACCCTACAATGAAGATTGGCTGCGCACGTGCAAGGGTTCGTTGCCTCCTTCATTTGCTCGCTCTTGCTTAGTATGCTGCCGCCTGCTTTCCCCATCTAATCTTCCGAGGAAACTTTCTGAGCTCGCCGTGTCCACAAACCTAGCTCTAGCTGCGCTTAAAATATTTTGGTACGTGCGACAGCGGACGAAGTATTTAGAAATTATTCGTCGATGTGCACTCCACATTTATATAAATTTGCAGGCTCTGTAGCTAACAACGATAACTTAAGGTGGAACCTTTTTATAACTTCTGTTCTACTCTAGGAACTACTCATTGCACCTATATACCTTATTAGATATTCCAAGTGCAGTGCCATGTGGTATCAGCCTGTAAAAAAGAGTGAAGTAACAAAAACCGAGGGCTCGTTAAATCCCCTTGCTAGGTGGGCTGGCTGCGTACACAAGCTTCACACATAATTCGGGCCGAGTTACTCTGAGGCTTGCAACATCTTCCAATTGCAGTCACCTTTTTTTCACTGTCAGCGCCGCCGACTTTATTGGTGTAGGCCGAGCACTCATGACGGACGCTTGCAGACACCCAGAACCTCGTATGACGAAGCTTCAAACAACAGGTTCCTTTTAGTTACTACCCTATGCACGATCCCCTCGAATGATGGCAAGCAAAAGCTCTGTGGTGCTGGTACGATGCCTGGAGCGCGTCTTCGACCGACGTGTTCACCATCCAATCTCGCCCATATGCATCGAAAGTGGTCCCAAAGTAGCAGCAATTTACGTCGCAGAAGCCGGCTTGTCACGCTGTCGGACGTCGCGATCTCGGTATCGTAGAAATGCTGGCAAAAAAGAAGAGTGAATGCAAAGGTCGCCGTCGTCGCGGCTTTCCAACTCGCGTCTGCTTTAGTTTCCACCGATTGCCTGGCTGCAGAGCGACCTGCAGCTGAACCGGCTTGTGCCGCATTTGCCTCCGCCGCTGTGTCGCCACCAGGATCACTGTAGAATAGCGTGACACTTCTACGATGTCGTTAGGCAGAAACCGAGGGACCGCTTTTAACGATGCGGTAAACACACCAGTCGAAGACATGCTCCTGGCATTGTGGCGTTGGTGTTTAACGTCCATCGTGGTGCCTTGCAGGCTCCAGCCAGCTAGTGCTCCTGCCACGCAGCACGGAAGAGGTGTCGGCGGTACTGTCCCACTGTCACGCCCGGCGCCTGGCGGTCTGCCCGCAAGGTGGCAACACCGGGCTGGTCGGTGGCAGCGTCCCGGTGTTCGACGAAATCGTGCTCTCGACTACCCGCATGAGGGAGCTCTCTGCCCTCGACTCTTTGTCAGGTGCGGGCTCTCCCGAGACTCGGTACCGCGACGCTGCCGGACGCGATAGTTTCGTAGCGGCAGAGGGCACGAGTTGCTGGATGAAGGCAGTAACGCCGACGGTCAAGGCCCGAAACTGGGCTGGAGCGGAGACGTTTATATCGAAAGGGTTTGGCAGTCTTTTGAAGATGCCGACAGGGCTAGCATCCGTTGCAGGATGTCTGGCAACTGGCAATGGGTGTGTTCACTCTGCTATTTCATGTTTTTTGATGCGTAAGAAACTGCCCGTCCCCCAATAAGATGGTAAGCCATTTTATGTTTTCACGAAGTCGGCTGGTTGTAGTTGACCGCAAGCCCCACCTATTGGCCATTAAATAAGAGAAGACTGAATGTCCCGAAAAATGGCCCACCGTCATGGACTTTGTTTAGTTGCCGGAAATAGAGCCGAAGATTGGCCTCCCTAGAAATCGTTACCTGGGTTTGGATGATTGGCACAATGGCATTGACAGGCCAAGTTTGTGCAGCGATACTGATCACAGTGATGGAAGTGCTGCGCCATTTGCGCCAAATTGCACCATGAACGAAGGTCTGCTACATCTTCCGCAAAAATGCCATTTTTGCTAAGAGTTGTGCCACACCTGCGCCGAGATGGGCTTAAAGCAAAAGAATTAATATTTTATTATTGGTCGACAAATATAAATTTCACAGCGTCTCTACTCACCGTATAGTTCGTTTCGTCTTACATCAGAGGACAGTTGAAGGCTTGAACACATAAAACCACAAACACACATACCAGAAGCGCAAGTCACGGAACATTCCCTGCACTTGATTGGTTTAGCCGATGAAAGAACACGTGCAAGGAGATGACAAATGCCATGATGTTGCGCTCTGATGCTGCGAATCAACCAGTGAGAGCTGTTTATGCTGGACTTCAATCGCTCTGGGTGGTTGATGTGCCAGCTGGTTGATCATCAGCTAAATTTCCTGACGATGTCGTCAATGTCAGGAACTAAAAGTCCCAAGAAAACTTTGCCAATAGTATTGCCGATTGAGACTAGTGTGATAAAACAGAACTAGGGTCTTGTACTCCTGATAAGATCACTCGATTACCATGTCTGCCATATGCCTTCGTTCCATGGCTGCTGAATACCGTGGCACTTGTGCCACTTGCGTCAACCTTTACCGCCTCTCACCAGCATGCGCGCGTCAAGCTTCACCGCTTTGCACCAGAGTACTAGGAGAAGCGGCTGACCTGGGGGAGTGTCTGGCTTGCCAAGCACCGGCGCACTGCGGAGAAGCAACACCTACGGAGCTTGCTTCCGCGAGTATTGCTTCTCCGCAGTGCATTGGTGCTCGGTAAGAAGCACACTCAACGGGGCTAACAGCCCACTAGGATCATCACTTTAAAATACAAATATTGCAGCTTCATACTCAGGAGGACGCACACTTTCAAAACGGGATAATGCACACACGCACTTAGTGTATTTATAAAGAAACGAAAAAAAAAAAGTGAAAGCCACTTACAACTCCCTGTAACATTGAATTAGAGCGCAGCTCTTGAGGAGGAGGAGGGAAGGGTACTGAGGGGAGCGTATTCGCGACTCCAGCGAACTATAGAGGGCGCGCTGCTCAGGCGAAATGGCGGACGAAAGGAGGTTGTTTTCGCCGTTCAGTACGCGGACCACCACAAATTCCTGCGTTGCAGCATAAAATCAGTGTTACATTTGAAAGCAAAGCGATTTTTTGATGGTAGAAACCTTCTAGTCAGTGCATAGGAATGACACGGCAAAATCATAAAAATAATTACTGGAAACTATGTTTGTTTCTATGCTACCTACGAGAACCAAGCAGCGATAGCAGACGACAGAGTCGAAACAACCTGTTTTCCTGAGCTTCTTGGCGCTGCCGCTACGCAGCGTCATTTCGCTGGGGTCGCGAATACCCCTCCTCCCTTCTCCTCACCTCCTCATCCTGCCTGCTACTCCTCCCTCTGAGCGGCGTCACCGTCGGTGTAACCGTGAGGTCACGTGACCCTCGTGACGTCACCTGACCCTTGTGACCTCACGGGGGTCACATGACATCAGCGGGGTTATGTGACCTCACGGTTACGCCAACGGTGACGCCGCTCAAGCCGGAAACAGGCGCCTAAGAGCTGCGCTCTAAAACTTTGTGTATCTACACTACAGTAAAATTTTCAAAAGTGCACTGGCTAATATGCAAGAATATATATATATATCTGTGTTAGGCAGAGCTGTCCTTACAACCCCTGTTCATTATTCATGATTGCCTTTTTTTCTTTTCTTAAATTTGAGATTTAAGAAATATTTTCTTGTAGCAGGAGTGTATAAATTTACTAAAGTGGCGAAGCGTGCGAGTTGGTTCATGATATAAAATTTAAAAGTGCTAACAAAGACGAGGACAAAACGGAAGGCGAACAGGACGAGCACTTACTCTCAACTGAACATTTATTTAAAAACGGCTAAAGCAAACAACCTCCGACAAAATTACACTGAATCACTCAGTGGCATCAGTCATCACCACGTGTCGATAAAATCACTCTCTTTTTGGTGCAGAAAAGTTTGGTGTACAGAATACCGCTGTGATATTTCGTACACCATATTCTGTAGTGTACAGAATACCGCTGACACGCGGTAGGGTGTATATCGGCCAAACAGGACGGTGTGTAAATGAGAGGATGCGCGAGCATGACCTGGCTTTGCGCTCAACACCTGGAGGACACTTGCCTCTTCAGCGCAGAGACTGTCTGTGCCAGCCCAACTTTCAAAATACCACGATCGTGGGGAGGGCTCGTGAAAAAGCTGCGAGGGAAGTGCTTGAAGCGCATGCTATAAAGAAGGAGGGCACTGAAGGCTGCGTCAGCCAGCCGTCAATTTTTCTGCACCAAAAAGAGAGTGATTTTATCGACACGTGGTGATGACTGACGCCACTGAGTGATTCAGTGTATTTTTGTCGGGGGTTGTTTGCTTTAGCTGTTTTAAATAAATGTTCAGTTGAGAGTAAGCGCTTGTCCTGTTCGCCTTCCTTTTTGTCCTCGTCTTTGTTAGCGCTTTTAAATTTTGTATATAAATTTCCTCAATTAAACAAAATAGTATAGCTTCAAATTGGACAAGTGGAAGCTTGAGAATAACGTTTGTGAGTTCAGCTGGCTTTTCATTATGGTGCTGTAGTTAAAAGCTTCGAGAAACTATGCAATATTCAATTAAAAATATTTAGCGAAAATGACTAGCGTAAAATCCCGAGATACCCCACTTAACATCTAGAGCAAATTGGGTGAAAATATGGAGTGGGCTGACTTTCAATGTACAATCAAGAAAAGTTTAAAAAATTCTTACAAGCTTGTTACGGTGGCGAGGGGCAACGAAGCAAAGATGACTGTACTTCCCAGTCAGCAGCGTTCGTTTATATCCTGCCATAGCTATAACTAGCCGCATTTACGCCGAGGCCATCATTGATCCCAACATTACTATTACTAGGAGTGTTCTCTAGCCACATTTACACCGAGACCATCATTGATCCCAACACTACTATTGCTTGGAGTGGGCTCGAGCCGTATTTTTGCCAAGGTCATCATTGATCCCAACACTACTATTACTTGGAGTGGGCTATCTTTCGGTGTTTACAAAATATAGCCAGTCAAGCCAAAAATAGAGGTGGGCTATCTTTCGGGGGTGGGGCATCTCTCAGGATTTTACGGTATATGCTTTGAATTAACTTCAAACTCAAAATCTACTATTCGCACATTCCTCCGGACAAGCCATCTATGCATGCCCAGATTTGTATGGGAACACAGCCTGTAAGGGGTCAGCAATTTCGAAAAAAATATCTGAGTCTCAGAATCTGGCCTTTTCCCGCAAGTCAGCTGTCATTAATCAAAAATGGACCACCTGGGGCTTTCCCACTCTCTTTTCTTTGGTCATGTGTATGAATGACGCAGAATTAAGAAAATTTGGCAGGCAATTAGCCATGCCAGGTGCACCTTCCATGATAAAATTAATAGAATACACAAAACATAATTTCTGTGGCAGCCGAAAGGCAGAAAACATGTTGACGTAAACCTACGGATGGTCCAGAGGAGTGAAACAATTCAAGGGACTTGCACAGTCTCAGAGTCATCGTTTAGGATCTCGGGCGGTGTTCCAGGAACGCTGGTGTGCCAGGCGGGCTGCGTGCTGGAGTCCCTGGAAGAGCGGGCATCCCAAGAGGGTCTCACCCTGCCCCTAGATCTCGGGGCCAAGGGGTCGTGCCAGATCGGCGGCAACGTGGCCACCAACGCCGGGGGGCTGCGCCTGCTCCGCTACGGGTCCCTCCACGGCAACGTCCTGGGCCTGGAAGCTGTAAGCAGCCTCTAATGTTGCACACGAACGCTCCTCGCTACTTTTGAGTGAATTGATGGAGTGAGGAGTGAATCCCCAGAGGGTGTTCATAAAATATCCCCCCCCCCCCCCCCCCCCCAATTCACTCGCCTTTCAGCATGGCATAATGATGCTTTCAGATAATTCATAGCCTATGCATAGTTTTCCCAAGCACCCCAGCACAATTGATTAATTTAGTGCTCCATGGGGAAGGAGTAGCCTTTTCACACTGTTCAAAGCATTATGTTGGTTAAGTTTTAGTAGATTGTTTTCCTAGAGCAATGCTGGGATTTTGGAGCTTGCAGTGCCACTTATAGGGCCAATGCCAGAACTGCCTTTTTTCCAATGTACACTGAGTGCCCCCTTCGAATGGTCAATTCTAAAAGAATTGGTGAATCTGCCCGATAATGAGGGAAAAAGCAAAGACAAGGTGGGTGGGCCATCTTGTGATCTGCAATTAAAGAATTTGAAAAATGGTATGAGGGTTAGCGACATTGCTCTGGCAACATGGACTCCAATTTAAAGACTGCATCACTAAGGGCCTAGGGGGTGATATTCCATTCAGCAAGTATTGCATGCACTAATAACAAACCTATGTGCATGCAGGATAATTATTATGGATGCAGTAGGCTCGCAATAATTCATTATGCGATTTCAGACTTCTAGTTAATTCAAAGAAATTTCAAAATTTTTGGTTATCCTGCTGTGTTTTTAATGTATATACTATAAGCCACTTAATTTGAACAGTGTTTTTAAGTAATTCATACGTTTTTCGCTGCCCGGTTGAACATGCTTCTTACCGAGCACCGGTGCATTGTGGAGAAGCAACACCTGCGGACCTCGCTCTTGGGGGTGTTGCTTCACAATGCACCGGTGCTCGGTAAGAAGTGCACCTAATGAGCTATTAGTCCACAATGGACAACTTTTTTTGCTGGATGAACAAACTTAATTTTGCTTTGAGGTGTCATGTGCGCATGAACAGTTTATGATAGACAACATTTTTGGGGGATGAATAAACTTATTTCATACATTGCACCAATGTTTCATATGTGGCATACCTGTTTATGATAAGTAGGCCTGTGTGGGGTAAATCCTAAAACACCTGCTTCGTATCTGTAGTCATCGATATGACAAATCATAATTTTATCTTGTATCATATTTAGATGAATTACTGGTAATTCAAACTTTTGATAATTCAAACAAAATTTGTGGTTTCCTGCATGGAGTTTGAATTAATGAGAGTCTACTGTACAACCAGCTAACCAAAGGAATGCTCACTCTGCTCTTGCATAACCACAGAACTGCAGTTGCATTACGAACATGCCAGTCTTTTCGATGCAATGATTAGAAAGTGCTAGCCAGTGGCGTAGCCAGGAATTATTTTCGGGGGGGGGGCGGGGGCGGGGGCGGGGGCGGGGGCGGAGGGGCGGAGGCGGAGGGGCGGAGGCGGAGGGGCGGTTCTTTGTCCCACCTTTGCGTGTAGTAGTCGATGAACTGTACAATTCTTGGGTACAGCATCCCAAACCCCCCCGGCTGGCTGGAACAATTCGGCAGTCATGCACTATTTGTCTTCCTTTGCTAAAAGAAAAAAAAAAAGTTATGATTTGGGGAGGAGGGTTGGTTTTGACCAGGGTTGTATAAGTTACCTCAAAAATGTACCTAAGATACAGTTACAGTTACTCATAAGAAAAGGTACCTAGGTACATACATAGGTACTCACTTAAAACTTGACCTAGGTACAGGTACATACTTCAAAGATACTTTGTTTATTTATTTTCCTAAAATCTGTCAGAATACATTGGAATTAAAGCTTTTTATACAAAGGATACACACAAAAAGGGCTTTGATAAATGTGCTTTATTGGTGCCAATGCGAGAAATAAGGAAAACCGCATTCACATGGGCCGGTGCTGACGTCGACGGGCCCAGAAGACGTCAACCGCATAAAGAAATGCATGAGTTGAGTGCATATGCACCTAGCCTTAGCGATGACGAGTGAAAAACTTCAAGCTTCCTCGTTTTTTTTTCTTTTCTTTCGTTAATCAAAAGAAAAATAAGTTTTTATTTTTATTTCTGTACTTTTTAGTTTTGATAACTGAAATATTTCAGTCTTATTTATTGAGTGGAAACTGTATTCTATACGCGATGTTACATTGCTTTACTATTGTAATTATAATTTATATTTAATTATATTTTATATTGTATTTATGACAGAAGAGAGCCACCACCAGGACACGATACAGACACAGAAACTGCACATATCTTTCAAGTTATCTTCTCCCTTGTATAAATGTCAGAGGAGCTTCAAACACGCAATGAAGTCGATTTCGGTTTGAGATGAAGGAAGCAGGTCACTATTTTTCCTAAACAAAGTTCCGAAACAATTTGTTAAATTTCTGTCGCTAGAACGGCATTGCTAATCGACCGTTCACTCAAATAAACACCACCATTCACTAAAGCGTTGTTCGATGAAACATCATGGGCGGGGCTTCGTTCGCTAAGACATTGTTCGATCAAGTCAGTGCCTCCCAGGTAGTACGCAACTCAGCGTTAATCGAGGCACATGGTAGTGTGTTAATACTTTAAAGGGGCCCACCAACAATTTTTTGACCGGTTCGAAGTTCGCGCTGAAACGGAGCTCCATGAAAGCAGGAACACCGAGGAAAAAAAATATTACAGAAATTCGCAATATTTTGTGAGTTATTTGCAAAATAAATATTGCAGAAATTTGACGAAGTGAATAGAAAGGTACCTGTAAAAAGTAACTTCAGTTAGTTACAAGTTACTGGAAAATGTAGAAAGATACAAATACAGATACCGAGAAATGAAACTACGGTACCTAGATTTGTACCTCAGGTACAACGAAAGTACCTAGATACCAATTCCAGTTACTTGTACCCGGGTACTTTACAACCCTGGTTTTGACCCCCCAAACCACCCCCCTGCCTATGCTACTGGTGCTAGCTACTAACGGGTGAAGTGGAGAAAGCCCAAAATAGTTGGGGGAACTTGGCAAAAACACTGCCTAAGTAAGTAAGAGGTCTAAGATGTTAATAAAACAAGATTGTAGAAATTAACTTTTATGTAAATGCCAAGCACCTTCTGTTAAGCTTGCGAGGCGCTTGCAAATGGCTCTTGCCATGCCATCGTCGGTTGACATATCTTTTTTGCCCAGTAAGTTACGAAATTTTTCTGCGATGCTTAGGGAAACATATGAATGGGTTATGAAGTGTGAGAACGTCACTATGAAGGAGACACAAACGAGAGAATCACCGGCGTTTTAAAATGCCAAAACGCGTGGATGAAGGTTCTTGCAGATGGCACGGTGCTAGACAGTCTGCGCACGCTGCGCAAGGACAATGCGGGCTACGACCTCAAGCAACTCTTCATCGGCTCCGAGGGGACCCTGGGCCTGGTCACCCAGGTGGCGCTGCAGTGCGCCCCCCGGCCCAGGGCCCTGGGCGTCGCTTTCCTCGGTGAGCCCATGATGCCAGTCACGCCTGAAACTGGGCCGAAGTGAACCGCTTTTACCCACCCAGTATGCGGGGCTTGCCCAACACCTTCTACCAGGTGTCCCAAATAGCGACCAGGCTCTTTAAATTGATCACAAAATTCGGTTTTTTAACCGAATTTTGCGCTACAATTTTTTGCAGCGTTGCCCACAGGTGGTGCATTTTTTCTATAAAATTTGCGAAGAGCGAACTTACCCAAGAAAAGAAGTAAAGAAAGAAAAAGGCTTAACTCCTATGGAAATGCAGCGAAGCCACCGGTCTTCAATCAATAGGGCGCCCTACTGTTTAAAGAGCGGTGACTTTGCTGCATTTCCATAGGAGCTAAGCCTTTTTCTTTCTTTATTTTTTCCTCAGGTAAGTTTGCTCTTTGCAAATTTTACAAAAAATATGCACCATTTGTGGGCAACGCTGCACAAAATCGTAGTGGTCGATTTAAAGAGCCCGGCCACCATTTGGGACACACGGTATATAAGAGACTCGTAGTATTGTGCCTAGAACGCATCTTGGACTGGTTTGTGTAGCCGTCAGATATCGAGATCCTGGCAGTCGGCGCTAGAGGTCCCGGGAAAAAGTATGAGCGAGTGTCGCCTGTCGCCGCGGTTTCCCAACTCCTGAGCCCCGGCTCTGAAATCTTCCGTGGACTGTCGAGCTGGAAAGCGATCTACAGCCGAACAGGCGTCTGCAATATCCACCACCGCTGCTGCAAGACCGCCAAGATCACGGCCGGCGACAAGGTGACACTTCTATGACGTTGTTAGGCGGAAATTGAGGGACCACTTTTTACGACACGGTAAACGCACCGGTAAGAGATGCGTTCCAGGCACCATAGCTGTAGCGCTGAATTTCTTATCTCATCTACCGGAGGCTGGCGCGGGGCACAGATTGGAGATGAGTGCTGCTTCGGCATTCAGCTGGGACCCGCGTTCGCTCGACAAAAACATGTGTTCCAGATGAATGCAGTTGCAGCACTCTTCTCCATGCCCCCGCCTCCCCCCTCCCTCTGGTAGGCAACACAGAAAATTATGCAAGCTTGATCATGCTGACAGACACATGGGAGCATGGAATGCATACTGCACAAACCCCACGCTTATTCTTAATTTATTTCTTGTATAACGCTTTTTTTTTGGTATTTATTTCCTAGAAAACGACCCATAAGACACATTGCGCATTAAAATCCAGCACTGTGGCCTCGTTCTGAAGCGGGTCTGTCGTCAGATGGGAGTGAGCTCGAAGTGCCGGCCGTGCAGGCTGCCGGCAGTTCGAAGACGTCCTGGCCACCTTCCGGGCCGCCAGGGCCGCCCTGCCGGAGCTCCTGTCGTCCTTCGAGCTGATGGACCTGGAGTCTGTGCGCTGCGTGTGGGAGAACATGGGCCTGCGCTCCCCCATCGGAGAGCACGCCTTCTACGTCCTCGTGGAGCTCGCCGGTTGGTGGTGGCTCTTTCGCGGGACTTCCCAGCTGCATTTGTGGCATCGCTGTTGCACTAGGCAGAAAACTCTGTCACATTGTCAAATAATGTGACCAGATTTAACCAGATGGATTGAAGGAAAAGTGACAACCATTGCCTTCCCTTCTTTGCACACTGGCAAAAAGCTGCGGAATATTTTACCTCTGCACCGGTGGATCGGTCGACGTGCTACACGTTGTGCTTCGCGACCTACGACGGTCTGCGGATTGGGTAGCTCTTGCCACGCGTGGCGCTCCTTACTGCTCCTGGTGTATTTACTTTTAGTAAAATATGAATGCTTGTGTAATGTGGGGGAACCTCGCTAATGTAAAGTCAGTGTTTTTTTTTCCTGGAAAATAAGAAAGGAGCAGGAGGAGGCAAAAATCGGAAGACAAGCTGGGGCACGTGCAACGTCGGCGAAGCGAATTTTCTGCACGGCGCTACATTGTTTGCTTCTCATGTGATCGATCTCGGCGGCGGAGCGGCATGTGGAAAGCAGACGCCCAACTCTAGCTCCCCTACGAAGCCTATACAGGAACTCTAATCGAGACTGCTCATGTGGTCTGTTAAAATGAACATAGTCTTTTTATCGCTTTGGCTTAGAAATAAATGCAAACAATAAAAACAAAAACATGAAAAAACAGTTTAAAAAATTGTGTCTACACAATGACGGCGCCATTGCTCCCAACGGATTTCGTCCGCGTGTCGTCTGCTTTCTTTTGCTGTTCTGCTACACGTTCCGACGCCGCTCCCGACACCATCTATCAATATGCACGCCAAACGCGCCCTGCCACTCTACTCGGTTGTCTGCGTCACCGTCCACCATTGACCCTGGCAAAGTTTTTGGCCCTATATATTACAATAAAGGGAGGTACGCTTTGCGATTTTGCATGATAAAACCGACCTGTGAAATACACCTTTGCAAAAAGTTTAGATTGCTACGTGCAGGTGCCGATTTTTATGGCCCATTTTAGATTGGGCCCGGTTATTTCAGACACCCTATACTTTAGAATATGTACAATGCAACTTCTAGGTTTGAATAGAACATTTATTTTTTTATATTTATGAAAAATTTAGGAAACATCTGTTAGCCCCTTGAAATGGCATTTTTGTTATTTTTAATTATTTTAAAATGAAAGAAGCATTGCAGACATTACATATGTTGTTCATTAAACTCGGTGGTTAAATAGGAGCAAATTAATTTATTTTACTAGGCTTTTTTAAGTGTGTTGCCATGCCTCACATGTGCACAAGAACATGTTTTTTTCTTTTACAAAGAAGGTTAAGCACTATAAACTAAAAATTGCATTTTAGTATCTTAAATAATAAAAGATTTCCTTTGGTGCATGCCCCCTTAAAGGGCAACTCCGCTTCTTTTCCAGTAGTGCAAAACTATACAGTTCTCTTTGTTATCATCTACAACACCCCCATGGCAAATATTATGACGAAATTCCGCCTAGAAGTTCATTAAAATCGCTGTCAAAGTTTGACAAGCACGAATCCGCTGGTTTTGGTTGAGACGTGCGGGCCAGACAACACTGCCCGGCTGCATTTCCGCTTCCTCCAAATTCCTTCTCCCGGCACGTCCGCGACGTCATCAAACATGTACAGCTTCTTTTTTTTTCAATTTTGTTTTCGTTCCCGGGGAGAGCACGGGTGGCGCCAGCGCCGTGAAAGACGTGAGTGACGCGCTCGGCCGGCCCGGCGCTCGACTATTGATACTACTGATAAGCCGATCGCCTCGTTGAGCGCGGCTTGTGTTAGATCGCATACTTTTGAACACCAAGTAAAAGGAGGAGAGGGAAGCTGCTTTTGTAAGAATTTTGAGTGACAGGTTAATCTTCTATAATCTTCTGGGAGGAGAATAGCGACGCCTGTGCTAATCCAGGAGGCACAAAGGAGGATCCTGATAAGAGGGGAGCTTCTTCTTCCCCTTGTATATCACGTGGGTGTACATGCTTAGTGATGCCGAATATACAATGTTGTCCGGCTTTGCCACCGTTTCGGTTTCGGTTTGTGATCATGGCTAGGGTAAAATTACACGAAAAATAATTTATTTTTTGCGAAACAAAGGATTGGGGATTGTTTTTGAGTGCTTCAAAAAACAAAATCGGCCACTATCTCAAAATTTTTGAAATTAAGCCGAGTTGCCCTTTAAAGGGGTACTCCACTGGTTTTTTCATTGTCTCAGATTTGCTTGAAATTTTGCTAAACTAACCAACAAACATCGCGAAAATAGTATCCCAAATATTAGGTCAAAATATTGTTTTTTCGCGAAGTTATTGAATTTACAGTTTTGGTCCTCACCGTGTTTTTCAAGCTCGAAGTCTCTACTGGCAACAATGAAAAAGTGACGTCAGTGGAAGGCAGGGGTTCACTCTTTGGGCTGTAGATTTTGTTTTAAACTGATTCGAAACAGTTTCATGGTGTCAAATGAATGCTTAGGAAGCTCGCTGCAGTACCCGCGCTCCAGCACGGAACAAATGATTGGCATAATCTATTTTTTGGCTGCTTGCTCGACTGGCAAGCTTGCCTGCCACTGACGTCACGGCACTGAAAAGAGTGCGAATATTTGAATATTGGTTTTTGCACCATTTTCATTTGCCGATTTCACAATACCTATTATGAATTTCGCGATTCTAAATAGCATACCGGATAGAGTAAAGGCCGGGGAGTCAGAAAATAGTTAGTTAAGGTAGCTCAAAAAATCGGTGGAGTACCCCTTTAAATAAAGAAATATGTGCAAGAAATATGTATCTGTGGTAGCCAGTGTGCATGCTTATTTATGGTTGCCAGCTTTTTCCTTCACACCCTCTTGCAAATGCCACACACCCTGGTTATCCAAAACAAAATTTAATGTTTGTGTTTAGACAGCAGAGTGGCGGTCTGCCTTTGAGGTGTGGCAACACTGGTTTACGCCAAATAATGAGAAATTTTTCCAGTGCAGTATCACTGCTGGCCTGGGGTCTTTGACGTGCATCACGCAGTAGTGATACACGACCGCACGCTGGTTCCATGCTCATGCAGATTGAAACGGACAGGGGTGGGGATTGAACCCAGGATCCCTGCGTCTGCTCCACGTGTGCCGAGATACCGCAACGAAATTCTAGCGCCTATTTTATTGTCTAAATGTCAACCATGTCCTGGCCACACCATGAAGAAACCAATATTTCGTATAAAAAAAACATCAACAGTATTTTTAAAAAAAAGTGATTACCGGTTTGCGCATGGTGGATGTTCCCAAAGCTACTTTGAATGTCCTTACATCCCCCTTTTCATAAAAGTAGCGCCTCTTCGTGGAAATAGGGCAGCAAGCTGCGTGCACGCGATCCCTGTCAAACTTGGCCGAACCGGAATTTTCTTCTCTCCTGCGCCTATTCAACTCCTACAGGGAGCGGGGAGAAGGGAGCTTGAAGAGGAGTAACTTTTTCGCCTCTGCTGGCATTGCTGAACTAGAAATCGGGCGTTTCAAATGGCCAGGTTGTAACGCATTGTGGCCACCAAGTGGCGGAGCTCACAACCATGTCAGCCTCCCTGTAGGCTTGCTTGTGAAGTTAAACATGACGTCACGAACACGCTGGAGGCGCCGTATCTCCCGAGACACATCACACTCTCCGATAGCTGCTATTCGAACGCTCGCTGGAAACGGCCGTTTGGAACGGAAAGTGTGGCCATACATTCAAAATACAAACATGCAATTGTTATTTGCAGGTTTTGTTGATCATTTTCAGGTTATTTCTGAATGTGAGAAGTATATATTTCAATCTTCACTTCTGTATCCCTTTTAACACACTCGGCCATCGATCCCCCGCCGTTATCCATGTTTGCACAACTCCTGTGGACGAAAAGTTAGCACTATAGCGCAATTCTAAAATTATCCCGCAGTCTGTCATTTGCACTGCTCCGTATTCCGGCACCAGACCCGTTTTGTTTCTTGGGACCCTTGGGTTTTCGCAGGCCACTCTAAGCGAGGCCATTGTTTCAGGGTCTGACGAGAGCGTCTTGGAGGACAGCCTCCTCAAGTTCGTTGAAGAAGCCATGAAGCAGCAGTGGGTCTCCGATGGCACCATGGCCCAAAGCACCACACACATGAAGGTTAGCACGGGGACCGTGTCCGGCGTGGCCAGGAGGGACGGAACATATTTTGCACAGATTGCACTTATCATTTTCTTGAGGTTCAAGGCTGTAATCTGCCACCCCAGTGTGCTTCACAGCTGTAATAGTCATCATCATCGAGTACTCTAGTTAATTACATTGGCCAATACGTAATTAGGCACAATTCTGTTTTGACAGAGCATATGGTAACTGATGTAGCCTTGATGCCATGGCAAAACAAGTGCGAATACACTAAAACCTCGTTATAACAAAATGGGATATAACAAATTAATGGATATAACGAAGCAATCATAATTTCCCTTGCTTGCTAATAGTAAAAAGAAATGGACATTGGCTATAACAAACTAATGGTTATAACGAAATAATTACAAACGCTCCTTCAACTTTGTTATAACGAGGTTTTACTGTACCTGTTATATTTTTAGGGGCGAAGCTCCTTAGGGGCTAGCCATGTCCGTATGTCCGCCGTCGGGTGTACGTGCTCGTGTAGGGCAAAAAAACAACAACCGCATCTCCTCGCAGTGAATGATGTTGATTGGGGCGAAGCTCTGGTGGTGCTTGTCTGCGTAGACGGTGAGCCGCAGCATGCCGAGCCTTTCGTTCGTTTTCATCCATGTCAGAAAGAGAATGTGTGGTATGGAACGTGGTTATATACGCATTTGAGCATTTGACCGCAGCGGGACATGGATGAAAACGAACGAAAGGCTCGGCATGCTGCAGCTCTGCGTCTACGCAGACAAGCACCACCAGAGCTTCGCCCCAATCAACATCATTCACCACGTGGAGATGCGGTTGTTTTTTTATCATTTTGGTAAGTACTTACAGTACTTATAGTTGCAAATTTCTTAAAAAATGTAACTACTGTTGAGACCGGTTATAACAAAGTCGGTTATAACAAAATAGTGGCTACAGCAAAGCGATCACGATTTCCCATTCCCGTTTGCACTTTTTCAATGCATTTGGGTCTGTTTTTAGCAAAAAAAAAATTAAGTGGCTCCCGCGGATATAGCGAAGAGATATTTTGTGATAATTTAAAAAACAATAAAATTCGGAAAGTTCACCAAGTCTTGGAGTGCCGCACTTTGCTGCCGCGGCCAAGAAGCCACCCAGAACAGGCTGCAGAAGATGCTGGAAAGGCCGCTGGCGGCAGTTTCTGCAACGTCGTCTGCTTCCTGCTCCTTACCTGGGAAGCGGTTTTGCTGCATCGCACATGGAAAAGCCCTTGTGGCATGCCGATAGGGGCGTTCGGAGCACTAGCGACATCGTACCGGCGGAGATGACTGAGAGAGCCCAGATTTAAGAGAGGGGGCATTAAGTACGCCTGCATTTGATTGTTGCGTGGCCGGTGTAGCAGGAAACTGAGATAAGAGGCGGACACGTTTGCAGAAGGTGAACGCTTTTGAGTTTTGACTCCTTGCATGCTGCAGCTCGTTTTGCAAACATGGCCCACAAACCACGTGACCCCGATCAAGCAGTTGCCCCATCTCTTAAATCTAGGCTCTCTACACCGATGACAGACGAGCTTGAGCGCAAACTCGGTGTCGTGCGCGCTTCTTTTTCTGCTTCCTGATCCGTGTCGGCGTCTGGTTGGTGAGGTCGCTCTTGCGCGAAAGTCTCCTTCGCTCATGCACCGATTTGGTGAATCATCGGCACTCAACGATGGAGAATCTCGGCACCGCCGGTACCTCGATGGGGACGACGAAGGCAATCTCCTTGAATCAAAAGCGTGTTGTCCTCGACAGAGTGTGCATAAACGTAAAGAATGCCGTCCACTGCCGCCGTCCTCCGCGGAGCCGCCGCAGCTGTCGACACGGTCCGTATGTAGCAAAATTTTTTTGTTGATCGGAGCTTCTTGCCGTTGGCGAGAAGCAGCTCTTCAACTGCTTTCTGCAGGCTCAATAAACATGTGCCCGTGACAACCCGTGTTATCTTTTTTTTTTTTTTTTTTCGTGTTATTTGTACGAGTTAAGATATAATGAAGACGCGGATATAGCGAAGCGATTTCCGATTTTCTTTGACTTTGTTATAACCGTTCTCGACAGTACCGTAAAATACCGCGGAGAAGCGCCCACTTCGTTCAAGCGCAAAACTTGAATATTATACGTTAAGCAGTAGAGTGGAAAGTTGAGCTAGTTGGTAGTTATTCATCTTGGTTTTAAAAGCGCACAAAAGACGAGGACAGAGTAAGAAACACAAAGAAACACAGAGCGCTCGTCCGTCGTTTGTGTTTCTTACTCTGTCCTCGTCTTTTGTGCGCTTTTAAAACCAAGATGTATACGTTAAGCGTCCGATTTGACCGGACAATTAAGCGCCCATGTCTAAATTAACCCAGTTTTCAGTGAAAGTGGGGTGGGCGTTACCCCGGTACTTTACGTTAGGTTACTAAACTTTTATTGTACAACGCAAGATTTACGTATTTGGTTACTGTAAACGTGAGTAATTGCAGTACCTTCATCACTTTAACTAGTTTACAACCCCTCTAGCTAGGTGGTACACACCGTTGTTGAAGACAATGAGCAGCACTCTATATTCGATGAACTCGGGGTGAGCTAGCAAAACCAGGGCACCATGCACTCTCCCGTGTTGGTCAACCGGGACGCCGCTGCGGTGGCTCATTACAAAAATGTGAACTCACTTGGCCCACCCGAAAACGCCGTTTCGCGGCGTCCCACTATTCGCTAAAGTGTCATTCGGTGAAACGTGGGTGTTCGCTAAAACGTCATTCGATCAAGTGAGTGCCTCCCCAATGCAGTCGGTTCCTTTCATTTCCGTGCAGGAGCTGTGGCAAATCCGGGAGATGATTGCCGAGTCGCTACGCTTGGACGGTTACGTGTACAAGTACGACATCTCGGTGCCGCTGTGCTCTTACATGAAAGCCGTCGAGCTGGTGCGCGAGCGCGTGGGAGACGGCGCGACCCGCGTCTGCGGCTTCGGCCACATGGGGGACTCCAACCTGCACCTCAACGTGACCTCGCGCACCTACAGCGCGGCCGTGCTTGCACGCATCGAGCCCTTCATCTACGAGTGGACCGCGCAGCAGAAAGGCAGCATCAGCGCCGAGCATGGCATCGGCCTTCTCAAGAAGAAGTTCCTGCGCTTGAACAAGAGCGCTGCGGCTGTGGAGCTGATGCGCAGTGTCAAGCAATGCCTGGATCCCCGTGGCATTCTCAACCCTTACAAGGTGATCCCCGACGAACTATGACGCCCGTTTCTTTATAGCTGCAGCCGTTTCAGAAGGCAACGGCCAAGGTGCCGTTGGAAATTATCTTCGGTGGAGCGAAGAAGTTTTATTCTGCAACAACAGCAATTTGTGCGCTGTACTTGCGATGTGAGCGGGAAGTGCCCGTCGCAAACGATAGCTGCCTCCCCGAGTTGTTGGAAGTGCGATAAATCGAGCCAAACCAACTCTGGCTGACTGCCCCGTTTTGTGAGGAAACAGTGCCACAGCCAGAGTTTTAACCATCTTCTGCCTTTTCGTGCAAGCCTGCCCTTGACCCTGGCACTGCTGTGCTCACCCTTTGCCAGACCCACCTTAGAAGAGTGAGCCTCACACAAGCCGAGATAGAAGTACAGAGATATGGAGTTCCCATTGAAGTTTGCACACCTTGCGAATGCCAAATGAGCAGGCCATTGCTTTTTGGGGACTGCGGATATATGGGTTAGTGGCGTGCTACCAAGGGCTCCGATTCAAGAGCTGAAAGCACGCTGCAAAGCCTGTCTGCTCGAAATTTTGAAACGGCAGTTCAATACTGCTCTGCTATCCTCCAGACAGATTACCTTATGGAGGTAAGCATCTTTTAGCCATGAAATACCAATATTTCGTAGTGTTTTGTAACATTTCCGCCTTGTAACTGGTTGTTCTGGTGCAGGGCCAGAGAGAAGACAGTCAGCTAGGCATGTGCTTGGTCGGGATCAGTTTTATAGCAAATGATACACTGACCTGTGCGGGACACTTTGAAGTGATCCTTGAAGTTGTGCGATCACCTCAATTGAACAGTCTTGTCACGTGGTCTTTTGGTATGAGCTGGTGGTCTACAGTTCCTTCATGAAGCATGATGGAAATTAATGCGAAGAGCAAGTCGCCTGCTTCTTGCGCAGGGGTCACAGTGACATCGGAACGACACCGAGTTCCGATTGGCTTTGATTGGAAAAATCGTGTGTAGACCTTAATGCCAGATGCCTCGAGGTCTATCTAATATTTTTTTTTCAATCGGCCAGTAAGAGCTCAGCGTTCTGACATCGTTGCAACCCCTGTGCAAGAACCAGACGAACTTGTGCTCCGCATTATTTTATACTGATAATTTCTTTGCCATATTCTAATTAGACTTTCGGACAGTGGGTACACTAGGTGCACACTGCTACTTCCAAGGGTTCAAAGGACTTTGTCAACATAGACCAATAGGTACTTCCATTCCTTCAAATAGTGATCTCCCAATACCACATACGTGATCTCTGGATGGTTGCTTGTAATTTAAAGAAAAGGGGTTAGCCGAGAAGGGTTGCATAATAAACATGTTTATATATTGGAGACATTATTTTTCTGCGTTTTCCTTCATCACAAGTTTCAAGACGCAGTTTTAGCCAGCCCCGAGTATGAACTAGTTCAGTTGCATGAAATTTGTTTTCCCTCAGCTCTCAAGATACATGCTGAATATGAATGAATTACTACAGTAATAAGCAGTAACATAGGTATTAGTAGTACTCTCGCTGCCAAGCTTGTTTCTATACTTTCTTTAGTGCTGTTTTCTAGTCATAAACTGAGGGAGAGAGAAAGGTTAGTTAATCCAACCAGTAAATTAGGCGAGTCCAAGGACATAGGTAGTCTTCCTGTCCTGAATGGCATACTGGGGGTAACTACAATACTTCCTAAAAATGGAAGGCTCCTTCGAGTCGAGTCCACATTACAAACTTGCACAAGGAAGCATTCTGGGACCCCGGTACTGACATATTAACATCTGCAGTTAAAGCGATTCAACATAGATCTTTTTGCTTCATACTTACTATCATCACACTGCCAGCATAACATCTGTGAAATCTAGTTTGAACTTGCCTAGCCTTACATCATGTAGAGAACTTTCCCATTTGTGTTTGCTTTACAAAATTTATCCATCTTGTTCAACACAAAACTAGGCATACCATCGTGTCAAATCAACTTTTCACAGTTCATTCATACCCCTAACCACACTTCCGTGAAACCACCTTCAAGTGTCTGCGGTAACTTTGTCTGAAGCCATTGTCTTTTAAAACTGTCTCAATAATGTCAATATTTTATTAAGAGTTAATTATTGACATTCTTAGAACTTGTGGTTATTCATTTCTGTTTGATGTAACTGTAACCCACCCCCCTCTGCAATGCCCTCATGGCCCTGAGGGTATCTGAAATGAATGAATAGGGAATTTACATGTATAGGGGGATACTCAGCCACCCTTTCCGTGCAGCGCAGCTCCACCGTGCGTACACTTGCGACCACTGTATATTTCCCATTTTTTCAACCATCATTCTTTCACTATTGGCATAAAAAAAAAAAAAAAACTTTTGGCAATGTCATAAACAATCATGCAGTTCCAGGGCCACCTTATTGGCAGAGCCTGCGTGTTCTCTAGTCTTAAGATATCGCTAGAGGTCCTCATGCACTTGGTCTTAAGTTGTCGCAACTGTGTGAACCAGCGGCACAGCGTCGTGTGCTCGGACATCCCTACGTGACCAGGTTGCTGACAAGCTAGTGCTACAGTTCTGGCAGGGTACAAGACGGGAAGTATAGAGGGACAAGAAATGCTTGGTAGATAACATAATACAGAGGAATCCGAACAGCATCAGGAATATGCAAATGATTGTACTCTAGAACACGATTCCAGTGTTGCAAGCTGGCAAAACGAATCGGCAGCTGGTGGACTGAGTGAGGAAGACAAGTTTCGGTGACTGTTGTCGAATGAAGCCGGAAACAGCCTGCAACATTGTCCAAAGCATGTCTTTATTCTTGAAACTGCACGCAGAAATTGAGAAAACACTATACAAGATGGCAAGTTTTACACTCCTAGAATTTCTAGCTGCCCTAGGAAGGTTGGACAGGATGGCGACAAGTGCCGCACATAACTGTCGTAAGTACAAGGGCTCGTTGAACCAACCTTAGTGCAGCAAATTGTGCTAAACCAACTCCCGTTTTTTGCCTATGTGCAAACAATGAGCGATTCCTACTTGCCAAGGAAGTATGCGATTTGCTCTAAGGCATGGTTCTCAAATGGGGGTCTGTGGACCCTTTGGGATCCCTGAAGGTCTTCTTCAGGTCCCTGAAGACTTAGACCAGTTGTTCTCAAATGGGGGTCCGCAAAGGCATTTTAGGAAGGGTGACCAGATGTCCCGTTTTGGCCAGGACAGTCCCATTTTTGAGGTCCGCTTCTGCCGTCCCGTCTTTTTGTCCCAATAAAAATCATGTCCCACTTTTGCAGGAGTGCATAGTTTCGAAATCGGCAGCAAGCGAGTTGAAGTCAACCGAAACTACGCCTACTCGTTACAAGTATATTTTACAAAAATAACCATAGGTATTTTAAATTATTTCCCAGAGAGTAAAATTTAGACCTGTTCTTGCCCACAAACACTTTTTCTCTCGCAAAGACGCGTTTGTAGAAATTTTTTTGAGTTACTGGATATAGCACTCGTGTAGAATCTCTGTTGGCTACACTTTAGTGAGGGTGGGAGCAACTCAAAACCTGGAGGGTTTGCAATTTAATGGCGGCGCCTGAGGGAGAGGATATGTGCCACTGTTGCTTGCACGAGAGCAGACGCCCATTCTGTTGCAACTCTGCTGCTCCATTCGCCTTTCCTCCTCTCGCCTCCCATTGCAAGCAACGAACGCCTTGGCGTATCCTTTATCGCTCTGGGAATTGCAAACGTTGAAAGGAGAAAGCAGGGTTGCCAGACAAGCAGTGACGTCCAAGATGGCGGAATTGACCATTTTTCGCGTTGAACAAATACTTAACCTATCGGAACAAAACTGGTGGCTATGGAAAAGTAATCATTTACACCTTGCATAAATTATTCAAACGCATTAATGGGCTCTTAATACCTGAGCTAGGAAATAAAGCGGCCCTTTGCCCTGTAGACTCCCAGCAAAATTTAGCAATCAAATGGCATCCATATCCTGTGACCCCTGATCTAGCAATTGCACCCACCCTCACTTGAGCCTCCCTATTTTTCTAAAATGGCGAAAAAATGCACGTGTGTGCTAACGAAGATCTTCACAATGAGTATGTTTCGAAGTTCAACAATCTTTTGTATGCACCCCCCTTCCTGAAATGTCTCGTTTTCTACCTTGAGGAGTATGGTCACCCCAATTCTAGGGGTCCGCCAAGCCCTGCTTCATCGGTCAAGCACGGCAAGAAAGTTTTCTTATTTCAGATGGAGAAAAACATTCCAATTTTCAGGTGACTTTTCTCGTGTGTACGTCAATGAGCGAAGCCTACTTCACACTAGCCCTTAGTTATATCCATTTATTAAATAATTAACGTAATTACCAAACAAGGTCCTCCATCATCTCCGCTGATCCACAAGGGGTCCACAAACCATCAATGGTTGAGAGCCACTGAATTAGACCATCAGTCAAGCAGAGCACTAAAACATTTTTCTTTTTTTTTATTGTTGCTGGCTGTCTTGCAAAGCTAAATAGACAAAATTATATGCACTGAGTAAGTAGGGTTGGTTTTCTATTTCAGGACTGCGAAGTTGGTTTGCATGCATCAATTTCCTTCAATTTACTCTTTTCCCCTTTTCCATTGCAATGTGAAATACCGCCCTCTCCCCCCAGTAAATGGGGTCCCCCATCACTTCCGCTGATCCAGACGGGGTCCTCGAAACATCAGTGGTTGAAACCACTGCTCTAACTAGAGACGAGTCTCGATAGCCAAAATACCTATTGTCTTGATATCATCGCAATGTTTTTGCAAGTGCCTCCATTCTAGTGGCTGGGACACAAAAAATATGAGGCCTATCTTCACACGAGGACGCTTAGCTGCAACTTAATATACCACAACTCTTGCAACTTTCGGCAAAAACTGGGTAGACCCGTGCGCCACAGAAACGTCGTTGTGGAGAGATATTGTTGGCACGGGTGCCCTGCATGATGCAATTGTACCACTGAATCTAATGTTAAGCAAGAGAGAAAAAGGGCTTCAACTTGGTGCAGGGCTGGTACTACCGAGTCGGAACGCACAGCGAAGAAATTAATTGTGCATTACGATCGTTAACGAGGAGTTTCTGGCGAATCTGGGGGTTTCTCTAATGAAGACGGACGCTGCCGGAAAGGCGCGCTCTCGTAAGTATGGCCGTTTGTACAGCGAAAGATTGTGCGACAATGTCAGCTTGGTCGTGTTGTGCATACCTACCTAACCCACGCTTGGAGACGAAAAAGGGGTTGGTGAAAGGAACGATCCGAACTGTTTCCCCTCCTTCCTTTTCGCCCTCCGCCTGCACGCCCGTGCTTCCCCGTGGCTGCGTCGCTTGCATAGACACTTCCCAACAAGAATCCCATTGCGTAGACCTAGTTGCCCGGCTAATACGCTGGCTCCGACGCTTTGCATAACGTATTGCTCGGCGAATGCACACACAGTCGAAACCGAGACAGATCCAAATCGTCCCATTGGCTGCCGCGCAATGCGCACTGACCTAACGGCACTCCGTCTCGCGAACAAAACATGTCCCCTTCGCACACATTCTTCTGGCTCTCTCGCTTGGAAGACGAGGGAGTCGAAGGAATGCGTCAAGGCCGCGAGAGATGAATGGGAAGCCAACAAGGTCCTGCCCCAGCGATGAAAGAGAAAAGAGAAGGAACGGTGCGGTTCCATAACCGGGCCAATCGAAGTCGCGCGAGGGCCGTTCGTGTCGCACGCTGCTACGGCGTGCGTCTGCCTCACTGTGCCTTTTCCTCAGACTTCTTCCTGGGCAGGGCTTTGAAGACGAAGGGGGCCAGGGGGAACCAGCCCAGGTACACGATGTGCCCTAGCCAGTAGATGCGGCCGTAAGCCTGCGAGAGACGGAGGAATGTGAAGTGACTCTGTTCTGTCTAGAGCCACTAAACGAGCCAACGTTCTCACGGGTGCCACCATTTTGGTGTGAAGCGACCGGTGATCAATACGATTAGAAAATGCGACGTTTTGGGCTTCAGCATGGGATACACATCAACTATTCCACTAAAAGCAAACAGTGTCCCAAAGCAGAAAGAGCAAGTAAACAGGCAAGCTGGTTAATGTTACACATATTTGAAAAAAAAAAAAAAAAAAAAAAACGGAGACGACGGACGAAAAAGGGGACAAACACAAAACATTTCAATTAAGACGTTTTCAGTTTGTCCCCTTTTTCATTCGTCGTCTCTGGCTTTTTCAAGTAATCCTAAAACACGTCGAATAAAAGCAAACCTCCTAAAGTACATCTTTCAACAACGCAGCACACTTCGTGCAGTCATTTGCAATATTTGAGTGCCTAATGTATTCTACCATGTTACACTGTCATTGCTGAACTGAGTGGGGTACATTTGAGGCAGCGACTGCACTCACCTGGGTGTACCGGTCAAAGGAGAGCAGCGCAAAAGGCACGATGCAGTAGCCGAACATACAGAGCACATACAGCTTGAGCAGGATGAAGCGGGGCACCTGGAGGTACCGGTGGTAGACTAGGCGCTTCAGCCAGTCCACCCGCTCTATCACCTCCACCATCTGCAACGACACAGCAGCAAGGGTTCACACAACCTCTCCCTGAGGCTGCAGGTGCCTTCACTGGCCCGGGTAGCTTTACTGGAAAGCTATAGACAGACACCCATTTTGGCAGACAGCTTAAAGCGGTGGTTTCTAATTAAGTGTTTGCAAAGCCCTCAACCTTTAGTCAAGATGAGCAAGAAAAACCTTTTTTTTTTTTATGCTCTCTATCCCACACAGCTAAATAACTTGAACAATTAAATGAATCTCCAGTAAAACTAATGCAATTAATGAATCTTTCCTTTCTCATGCCATCGTTGAACGGAACCAGCTTCCATCGTTAGCGTCACTGATGCAGCAGAGTTTTATAATCCACTAGCCCACTTAAATTGAGCACACGTATAACCTCTGCTGTTTTTATTTGTTTTTGTATATTTTGTTACAGTCCTGTGTCAGTATTGCATCCTTCAATTCATTCAAGTTTCTGTTCAAATTAAAACTGCAGCGAATTCAGGTAACTTGGACACTTCAATCCTTTCAAACGCCACTTGCCATTTATCATGAAAAAATTTCTTCACAATTTTCGTTTGTGAAGAAAGTTTCCACTAAATTTTTCTTTACAAATTTTGGTTGCCAGAGTACAGAATTCGGCTAAAATTGTTCAAATGACTCAATATGCAATATATTCCCAAAAAATAGCGGGGGTTTTAGATGTACATATTTGTGTATATGGCGTTTAAAACGGTTAATTTGCCAGCCCTCTTCGTTTTTGGGTAGAACCCAATCTTATCCGACTTTTGGCCCCCGATCTGGTTTTATAAAAACCGGGTTGAACATGATTTCTCCTTGAAAACCAGCTTTGAAATCGGATGAATTTATGAAAAATAGATACAATTCAGAATCTGTTCCAAATGCGTTTACTCAAGTCACTCGTTTGATTGTCAAAAGCTTCTTCAATTGACTTCTTCCAAAACTGACGCGCCCCATCATGGCGAAATACCACGCAGTGCACTCTGGGAACTAGTTGGCCACTCCGTTTCGGTTTCGACTGAGCAGCTTCATCTCATGCTATCACGCCGCAACCGAACGCGCTGCTTGCGTTTTCGATTTGACTTTTTACGAAACTACAATACACTCATTCTCGAGCGATACAAAACAAAAACCGAGGCACTTTCCTTGGTTCCCGAAACATTGGATATTGTGCGTGCGTATGCAAACGTAGTAAGACGTGGCTTCGTCACCTCACCCCACGAGTGCATCTTTGAGCTCAATATCAGTAATCCCGTCTAGTACTAGTGAACTACAACTGAAATTTGGTCACCCTGAGCCCTACACGTATTTTGTTTGCTAAACGTCCGCTTCTTGTTACTTCATTGGGCGAAAAGAAAGCCGCATCCTCACAGGAGTCTCAAACTTGAGCCCAGCGTTGGCGCATGAACTTTTAAGGAAACGCAATAAATTCGACCTCACTACTGCACAAAAGCTACTATGATGTCTTCCTCGTGTCATCCCATATCTCACACTCATATTTTATGCTGAGAGAAGATTTAGTTTTCGCAAACACTGAGATCGGCTAGCTACGACGAAGGCCCTAGGCCTATAACAAGGGTCCCCTACTCCTCGCTAAACCTTTTTGGACGAGCTTTTACTGACGCCCAAGATCTGTGCCTGAAAGGTGTGTCTGAAATTATCTCGGCATACTCAGTCAGGAAGAAAGCAAACACATAACAAATATTATGGCCATTAGCAACCGCCAAATACGCTTTGAATAACTTCGTTCGTCCGGCGCATTTCCGGCGAACGGTGCGACATTCTTCACACAAGTGCTCGACTTTTGCTTTCTTAAAACGGTTTGTATGTGCGAATGTGCCTATATGATTGCAAGATAACTTTATGCGCATACGCGATGTTGAATATTAGTGGAATGCAAGCGGGTAAGGGACTTCACTTCGTGCAGTGCTGTGGGGCAGTACAGATAAGAGGTGAAAAGTGTGTTCAAATGCAGCTTTTCAATGGCGACTGTGAGTTCTACCTCGCGTTCTCAGGCGTATTAAAAAAAACTAACTGGCAAAAAGTTATATTTCGTCTATAGATGCACGACACAAACGAACTTCCTGATCAACAACACTAATGTAAAGGCGCGAGCTCGATGCATGCATACTTATTGCTTGCTACAGCTTGTTGGTTCGTACACAAGCAAGATCCCCGAGCTTGGCTGCGTCAACATTCCCAGCACTGGCTCGTTCACATACCTCGAAACGCTAACAGAAAGGCTCGAGTAAAAAAATACAACAAGCATGCGTTAAAACAAGCTATACGTCTCGGGCTTGTGCTAAAGCTTCGAGGTCTGACCATTTAGGTTAGTTTAGAGACCACAAATGACGCTCTCGGGACCAGAAAACATGAGATAACGGACGTTTATGGTCCACGCTCTGTGTATAATCTCTTGTCAATGTGTTGATTGAAACCGAAACTATGCCACTCTCCTCCCTAGCCAACTAGTTCCCAGAGCAACGCGCGTCGTGTTGCATGCAGGGATTTATGGAAGTAGTCTATTTGCATAAACTCAACATAGATTCGCTTCAGAATCATTCCTATACCATAGACTTTGTTGATGTTTGTTTGAGTAGAAAGCTATTTTATGTATTTCCCCAATAAGTAGAATCCGATAAAACCCGAATTCCGGAATGGTTTCCCGAAAAACCTGACTTCGCCCCAATTAGATGCCTGGAAAATAGCATCCGATTTTTACCCCCCGATTTTTTAAAAAATATAAAGTCCTCCAACGAGGACGTTGCAGGCAAAGGCACGCACGTCTTTCTCGAACTTCATGACGATGAACTCGTTGAAGAAGCAGACGTAGTAGCCCGAGTGCAGGCCGTGCCACACGGCCAGGAACAGGAGGGCCAGGAGCTGCGACAGCTGCTTGTTGCCCAGGAAGCGGAGGCGCTTGAACACATACCTGCCGTGCACAGACGCCAAACGCAATTGGTGAAGGCCCTCGAAACGGGACGCTGAGCCCTTCTTGGGCTTGAGCTTTATGTAAACAACAGATATTGTGTATACACTTTGTATAACACATTGAGTGGACTGATACACACTGTACAACACATTGCATAGTACTGTGAAACATGTGCATTAACTTGCGATGCCGATCAGCTGGGACAGTGTTTTCGAATAGGGGCCTGCAGACCTTCTAGGGTCCCCGAAGGTCTTCTCGAGGACTTCAAACTCTTCAACCATCGATAAAGCTTTTTTCTTTTTTTTTTTTTATTGATGCTGGCTGTTTTAGAAAGCTAAATAGACCAAGCCATGTGTGCCAAGTGAGTAGGGTTGATTGTTCTTTGTTTCAGAGCTTCAAAATTAGTTCGCACGCATTTAGTTTTCCTTATTTACCCGTTTGTCGCTGTAATCGCCCAATATATGACGAGGGACCCCATTCCCCTTGTCACGTTTACTGATCCAGAAGGGGTTCCCCCAAAACGTCAGTGGTTCAGAACCACTGAGCTAGGACAACCAGAGGCACCGCGAAATGTGAATTCACTTGGAACTTAGAGAGCTGGCCCACACAGTTTCGTAAGGCTTGACAACGATTACAGCGAAACAAATGATACGGTGTTATTTCCTAGTGCAATCCAGGTGCAGCACGCTTAAATGCGACTTAAACAGGACACCACCCGGGAGACACAGCTAAAAACGGGCTTCATCCGTCTGCCTCCGCAACTGGACAGTCTCCCTGGTAAGCAAATGCAGTTCTGTGCCTCAAACTTTTGGTTCGGTATGTACAGTTGCAAAAACCTTGGCATCTTATCCCAACTGCCAGCGGGAATTGGCTATGTACAGATTACCCTTTATGGTACAAAAAACATGAGTAGTTTTAACACAAAACGTGTTTTACGAGTCATTCTCTACATTATTGTCACAAACGAGTGGCATGAACGACCGATGTGGAGAAGCGTCGTGACAACTGATACACTGGGAGCGTTTTGCAACATTCAGGTTATATATAAAGTTTGAGCCTTGTACGGGGCTCGAACCTGGGTCGATGCAGTGACAGTTGGGTACTATAGCCACTGGGCTGCCTAGCACAGCTTGTCTGGAAGTATTGGGCTGCCAGCAAAATGTGCCAGCAAGAGCGGTGTGACGTCGTACTACATTTTACGGCAGGAGCCATATAAAGTAGCGCCTATGCGAAATGCTCGTTTGCTCGGACTCGCCTCGATTGACATCTGTGGTATGCAATAAAAAAGCAAGCAAAAACCACACATGGAGTGTGGTTTGTGCTAGCGTCCCGCGCACCTGCGCAGAGTATGTCCCACGCGCCTGCGCGGCGCACGGAACACATTCTGTGCTTTCTGATCTTCGTCGACGTCGAATGAGAGTTCTTTTAGCTTTCTTCTGGAGGGGAGCAAGGCAGACTTACTGGGCAACCCAAAGGTTGGTGTTGATGTTGAATGTTTTAATGATGCCATCAAAGGTGGTTGTGGTCTCGAACTTCCAGACGGAAATGTTGACGCAGCCGTTCCACAAATCGTTGCCGTTCTCGTCTTTCCCATTGTGTGTCAGGCCGGCCATGATGCAGCTGCCCTCCTGCAATCGCCCCAGATGATGGCAATGACGCTTTGCGCCTCACGAGGAGTGCCCTGCCCCGTTTGGGACTCGTGAAACGTTTCGTGCAAAGGACTTTGATTGTGATGTACCACTTAGATGCTTCTTAGAAACCAGTAACCTATGCATATGAAACCAGGAGGTACTGCTATGCCCAACTTCATTAGCTGTAATGCAGAAGCACTGGCCACTCACTATAGCACCACAAAGCGAGTGTTCCCCCAAAATCGTGCAGAATACTGGTGCGACAAAATTTGCCCCCTCAGGTCGGCTTAGGGCCCCTGACCCTCATCTCTCGGGCGGAGTTTCCGGCAACGCCTGCTACAGTGGTTGGTGCTCCTGTGTCACAGCTAACAAAGTTTCGCAGAGTACTGTAGTTAGCTGTCACAAAACATATATCTAGTTTGAAAAGGCAGCACACCGTTGGCTTAGAAATCTTGTTTTGTTCGTCACTTGGGACAATTGCCGTGCTTGCCGCAGGTGGTGAGTCATCCCCAATTAGGGGGTTGTAATGGTCCATAAAAAATTAATAAATAATCACAAAAAAAAAAAAAACTGCAACAAAAAAAATTTATTTTTGGCAAATTGTGTTTCTTGAAACAATTTTAAAGAGTGTCTTTCTACTCCAAACCTCTTCTGCAATTAAGAGAAAACCAAACGACCAAAGTATGCCGCAGCCCTAGTCAGCACACCATGCACCGCCACCCCGCGTCGAGATAAAAAGAGAACTCACGGCCAGCAGCCAGCAGGCGACATACTTGTGCAGCGTCACAACCTGCCACAGCCCCATGAAGAGGTACCGCCCAGCCAGGTTGTGGGTCTGCAAGCAAGAAGACGCTGCATCCATGTCCTCACCCTCACGTCATTCAAAGCGTTGCAACGTAGAACTCCAAGATCATTCTCAACAAGAAATATTCATAGGCTAGTCCAGTGGTTCTCAACCATGATTTTGTGGGGACCCCATGCCAGCGGGGGAAGGGAGAGAGGGTATAAAACGAGACAACTAATTGCACTGTGAAAAGGGCATCCTTTACTTTTATAGACAGGGGAAGTGAGAAGCATCAAGAAGTAAAAGGATGAATGAATGGATAGATGGTAACAGCTGTACCTTTTATAACGGGTGGCAGCTTGTACCACCCTAGCCAGGGTCAACAAACAAAGCAACTATTCTTTTTAAGAGGAAGGGGGGGGGGGGGGGGGTTGCTTGAGGGTTGATGGCAGGGTTTTATAGACTCCAAAATCCACGAAACCTCATTTGAAGACCACTGGGCTAGTCGATGCACACGCTTACGTTTCATGACTTTAGGGCTCTCGTTATAGTACAAAAACACATTTTCAGGTATTCGAAATCCTCACCTCGCGACCATGATAGAATTAAACATAAGAAAGATATATTAAAAGGGGGGGACGGACAATGCTGTCCGTCCCCCCCCCTTTTTATGTATCTTCCTCATGTTTAATTACTGTTACCAACACACTCGTTTTGTACTTAACCATGACAGAGTTGACTATAAAGCTAGTCACTCGGTCCCTTTCTCATTTGCTCTTTGCGATTGAGTAGCGCACCTGTGTGGCCCATTTCGTGCATTGGTTTCCAGCAAGAAAGAAAATGGACAAGTGGAGAAGGCCAGTAAAAAAGCAAAGTAATGATATTTTCAAGGATGGCTGCATCACCAGATAGGGAAAAAAAAAAAAGTCCACAACTGAACAGAGCTTGTAAAACTTGCAGCTCGCTCACAACGCAAACCTAGGAAACATACAGTCACACAATAGATTCTACCAGCAGAGGTACATCATATTTGATTCTTTACTCGACATGACCTCCCAAGCTCTTTGGACCATGGCACAGTAGGAGAAGTGATTTAGGGGTCTGCTCTCAATGACCTCTCGTGACATGTCTACAAAGCGTCAACGGAACACCACTACGCGAGCCCAAAGAATCTATAGTAATTTTTAAAAAACAAAAATATCAACCTCGCATGCTACACTCCACAGTTATGTACGAAGGTGCAAAACTGCAGCGTTGCGGTGCACTTGTGTAGGAAAACTTTGTACCTACAGCTCCACCTAAACAAAAACTAATACAAACCATATTTTTTAAAGGGACCAAAATGAAGTTAAGCATCTTCTAGTAAAGTGAGCATTTTATTGTATGAAAGAGGAATGACATCAAAGTCAGAGCAATTTTCTTCCCAGCCTTCCTGGTTCTGAATATGTAGATATCCTATTGGGCCACAAATTTTTTTTTTTCCACTCTAACAATACGCCTTACAAGTGGGCTCATTTTCGTCTTCTGCGCATGAGAAAGGGAAGTAGCGGTGACGTCAGAACGCCGAGCCCTGATTGGCTGATCGCGACCCTCTATCTCAGCGTCCTCTGCTCCTTTGCAACGTCGTCTGCTCGCAACATCGTCTGCGTCTGTCTTACTACAGTGGCTTAAAGGGGGTAGTGTGGTTATCACGTAGCCTCCACCATGCATCGGGAACGGCTGCTCCTTGGAAGACGATGTAGGTGGTGCTGCGATCCGCAGCTCCGTTGGCTGCCTCAATCGGCCGGCAGATAGAGGCACCCCTAACACACTTCATCTAATAAATAACATCTAATAAATACATCAAAAACAATTATTTGTTTCCAGTGAACTTCCAACGACATGATTTGCGTTTGAAGGTGAATAAAAAAATGTGAAACTAGCAGACGACAGTGTAGTCGACAGCTGCGAATCGGCCGGAGCTGGCCGGAGCCAAGCTGACCAAGCTGGAGCCATAGCCGGAACGACGGTGCTGCAAGCGCCAGCGCCACCCGCGGCCGTCTTTCAACGCTGTGCCGCTTCTCCGGTTTCGTTCGTTACACTACCCCCTTTAAGCCACTGTAGTCTTACCTTTCCTGCGACTTTTGGAAGTCGAGCGAGCTCGACTTCGCCTTTCAGAGAGGGCAGACGAAATAACTCGAGCGGTACGTTGTTTTTGTCTAACAACTAGCCGACGCGCATCAAGGAGGGAAGTCAAAGGACTCACTGGCGAGGTGTCCCGAGGCGCCGAGGTTTGTTTGCTAAGAACCATGAGGTGAGCGTGTTAGTGTTCGCAAGTTCCCTCCCAAATACTTTTTCCCTCCTTTCGTGTGCGGCGAGACCCCTCATTCTTTAACGGCGTCGGCGGGTTGGCGCAGTTAACGTCGTCTGCTTTACATCTAGTCAAAGCGATGGCTGCTTTACCTTTCCTGCGGTAGTCGGAAATTCACCGCTTTTTTACCGGCGAGAGTCACCGTTGCCTCGGGAAACAAGGAGATAACAAGAGGAAGAAAATGACCTCTTAATCTAAAATTGAGGTCAGCGATCAAAGTATAATACGGGAAGGGTTCACAAGGGTCGCGCAGGCATATTCCATCCAGCACGCCAGCCGGTCGTGGGCAGACGGTCGCCGAGTCGCGGAGTGCCGCTGGGCCTAACTGGCGAACTCGCTTGGTCGCGTTTGGTGGAATCGTGGCCGTTGGAGCTCTTCCCGGGTGTTTGTGGATCCATCGTTCTTGTTCGTCGTGGTCTGTTTCAAGTACTTTTTACTTTTTTTCTTGCTGCTTGAAGTCGGGACGCATGAGAAGCGCAAGTGGAACAATAAACATCTGTGGGTCGTCGCGGCCGTGATGCTGTCGACCATGCTGATTTGATCGTAAGAAGCGCGTCAGACAGCTTCGGATCTGTCGTAGGATTTCGTCGTAAACTGCACAAAACTTACGAAAATTTCGTTTCGTGAATACATATTTGTTCTTAAGTTTTGTTTTACGCACATTTTTGGCGCAAAATTGTTTCGTTAATCTGGCCTCTGCACTTCCGAAAGTCGCAGGAAAGGTAAGACAGACGTAGAAGACGTTGCGAGCAGACGACGTTGCAAAGGAGCAGACGACGCTCAGATAGGGGGTCGCGATCAGCCAATCAGGGCTCGGCGTTCTGATGTCACCGCTACCCACTGCGCAAGAAGCAGACAAACTTGCCCTCCGCATAAAAAGGTTGCCACAAGATTGTTATGAAAATACTAGCTTTAGTTTAAAAACTTCGATTGTGGCAAGTTTTACATAGAATATTTGCTTTTCATGAAACGAAGGAATCACCTATAGTGGCACCTTTGCAGTGAAATACGGTGTTTCCATCCAACCGATTCATTCTTCGAATTAAGTTCGATCTCCGCTTCTGGCCGGAAGCAGGCACTACTCACCATGTACTCGTCGGAGAGCATGTACTTCTCGTCTAACCAGAGGGAGCCCAACTGGCTGAAGAGCAGGCAGAGCAGGCCCAGCCCCATCCGCATCAGGGCCGGCACTATGCTGCACGGGAAGAGCGAGAGGCACCTTTCAAGGGTGTGGACGCAGGGGCGTACCAAAGACTACTGCAGCTTTGAAGGGAATTGTTGAAGGCTGGTTCCCACGGTGGCGTTCGAGTGGGCATGAGTGTGTTGCATTCCCTCGTAACTGCTCATGGCGAGAGAACACACTGCTGCCATCTACCAGGGGGTCCTGGAAGTACTTCCGACAACACCGACAGTTTTTGCAGTCCAGTGCAATACACTTATAACGATACCACATAACGATGTACCGCTTATAACGATCAGTTTCTAGAGTTTCTAGACTGGAAATGATCCCATTCTAGTCCAGATACAACGATAACCGGTTATAACGATTGAAATTTTGGGTTCTCTCATTATCGCTATAAGTGGTTTGCACTGTATTTGCGAGATCAAATTTACTAGAAATGGTCACTTATAATCGTCCAAGTAAATTGCCTAGACATGGGGACAGAAGAAACTAGATGCTAACAGGATATGGCAAACACTGAATTTTTATTTTGAAAATACACAAGCGAAAGAACAAAAAACATAAAACATATGTGCTAAAAACAGTAAAGATGAAAAGGCTATGTCCCCTAACGCGCGACTTACTCAGTGCGGATATACACAAACTCCTTATCAGAAAGTGCTAGTGAATGGGCGCTGACAGACATCATTGCCATGCGATATAGTAAGGAAGGCTTCGCGAATGTCGCACGCAACTCATGTTGTTTCACTGGTCTGCTTTCGAAATAAAAATTCAATTTAAAGTATGCCGTGCTCTGTTAGCACCTATTTTCTTCTGTCCCCGTCTTTAGGCATTTTACTTCGGGGATCTACAACGAACTAGCCCAACATACCGTCTTAAACGGGTACAGAAACGAAACGACGTGAGCACGAGCTCTCTACCCTTCGCTTCAAAACCGGTTAGTGAGAAGCGCAATGCGTATCGCGCTTGTGATGTCAATAGTTCAAGCATGGCCAAGGGTACTGTGATTGTGAGCGTTGCCATAGTACAGTCAAACCAGCTTATAACGAACAGCAGGGAACTCAACGATCAGTTCGATATAGCAAGTAGTTCGATCTAGCAAAAAAACATTTACAACAAACTTTCATGATGCGTTCGTTGTAAGGTGAAAACTTCTCTTTCTTTTTCATCTCTTCGCTTCCGCCTTGTAACAATGCGCTAAAAATTTTTTTTTTTTTTTTGCATGCGTGCACAATTTTTTTTTAGCCTATTTTCTCTTTTGAATTGCTACTTTCGTGGGCAACCGCTTTGGGATGAAAAGTTCTTTTTTCTCAGCGCGTGTGTGCAGTGTTTTTTTTTTTTAGCCTTCTACCTTCTGAATTGCTCCTCTTCGCTCAATTTTGTCCGCGGCTTGAGCTTTTGGAATTTTCTTTCTTTCCTACTCTTTTTTTGGGGGGAAGGGACAGGCTAGAAAAAGATTGTTTGCGCGTTTTTGGAAGCCGTCCCGGGGAAAAAAATTTGATATAGCCAATATGTTGTTCGTTATAAAAAGTGCTTTTTACATGCATTTTTTTTAAACTTTTCCGTGAGTTCAATATCAACAATAATTCGCTGTTTGCGGATTCGTTCTAAACGGGTTTCACTGTAGTAATATCCAAGGAATATACACCCTATGGTCTATACAGTGCAACCCACTTATAACAATACCACATATAACAATGTACCACATATAACAATGTACCGCTTATTACGATCAGTTTCTAGAGTTTCTAGAGTGGAAATGATTAGTTTCTAGTCCAGATACAACGATAATCGGTTATAACGATTGAAATTTCGGGTTTTCACATTATCGTTATACAAGGGTTGCACTGTACATAACTTGCCCATACCTCATTCGCGGCCATGCCGGGATTTTATGTGCCACGAGCATTAGTTCACCAAGTTAGCTTCCCACCGCAGAGGTAGTAGCTCAAGGGAACCAGTAAGTAGGAATAACCGTCAGCACCTGCCAATGGCGACACCTGCAAGCTGTGTATATAAGGTATGCACTGGGTGCCATATGTGAGCAAGCTATTCATGGTGCATCGGGGGGGGGGGGGAGAGTGGTATGGCTGGCCTGGCAGAGGTCTCCACATCCTCAGATCAGTGCTTTGCTTAAATAATTTGGGAGCTGGTGTCTCGACCTTTCTGAAGTAAACAACAAAAAACTGCTTTTGCCTGCATGTCCTAGTTTTTATTTTAAAAGTGAACAAAGATTGAGGTTTTCGGCACCTCTCAACTCCTTCACCATCTTCTGAGTCACGTGCGCTGTGACGTCAATCGGGGTTGCGCGGGGTTCCGGTGAAGCTTTCTCTCTAGAACCATCAGTGAGCAGCGAGAACTCATCCGCTCGCGACCGCGTGCTGGCGGGCGCAGCGCGAACGATATGGTGAAAGGAGGAAAGTCTCATCCCGGGCTGGCAATCCCTGTCCGGCCCTGTCCCCCTCCCCCTCCGGCGGCTGTTCGCGGTAGCAGATAGAGCTGACGGTTTTGTGGACCTAGGATAGATGGCGCCACTAAAATTCCGTATAATAAAAGTTTTGTCGATGATACCAGGTTTTTGACGCATTTATATTTATGTTGGAACGACAAGATTTATAGAAAAGTTACCTTTTATCAAGCGGATATTTGCGCAACTTGCTATTTTTCTACAAGACCCCCATTGATGTCATGCCACGTGTTTCTCATGGCCGCCGCTCGCGGCTGCAGGTCGGGAAATATTCTGATTTTTGTCTCGCGATTATGCGGCGGAATCTCAACATTTGAAAGGAAGGAGGTGTGTTTTCTGTCATTTGTGACAAGGTGAACAATGTCAAAAGTATAAGATGCCAATCCTTTCAACGTTAAAATCATTGCACAGCTCCTTTAAGGATTGGATTGGGGTCTACGGCTTTCCCATTTGTTACTAAATCTAATAGCTCTAACTGGGTCTAGCCTAGTGTTGTGCCCTCATCTAATCCAAGGCTTGGACTGGATTTGCCGGCTGTTCCCTTTCCATCGGGCAGCACACCCTACATCGGGTGAGCAGAGCCCGCGCTTCGCTCTAAGCAGAATTTATTGCCCATTTTTGTGCCCCAAAGTTCTCAAGTCCTTGCTCAGGGCACTCGATGGCGTTTCTTGGTCATTTTCCCTGACAGGGGCTCGCTTTTTACAATTTCTCTGACCCTTCCCCAATTTTTCCAGGTAATTAAAATTTCCCTGACGATTCCCGGTCGCTGGACACCCTGCTTGACTTTTCTGCCGGCAGCCCAGAAACACTAGTCCAGGCTAGTGTTTCCGGCCGCCGGCACAGCATAGACCACATCTAAATAAAGAAATACCTAAGTGCAAACATTTAGTTTCCGTACCCCTTTAATACAGTTTACTTATACGATTGTCAGAATTATTTAAAGCCCACAATGATAGAATGATGGAAAAAAAGATTAGACATATATTCGAGTCGAAAGCGTTCCAGGGGTACCTGTAGATAGACGATGCCAGAGCGTTCTCTCGTCGTAAGCCTGGCCCCCACGGTTGGTCACAGAAGCACTCTCTCGAAAACGCTTGGCCACCCTTTGTGGCCACCGAGGCACTCACCAGGATGGCTTCTCGCCCTTCTTGGTGAAGAAGGTGCCTTGCACAAAGTCCAGGTACCGCTTCATGGGGAACTGCGGCCAGACATGCTCAGTCACCCTAAAGGCACCACGAAAATCCCCCAAAACAGAGTTTCTCTCAGAATGGTTCACAAACTTCACCAACGCACACTGAAATGTGTGTGTTAGCCCCCATAAGGCGTCGATCAACGACTAGGATAAGTTGGAGAAAGAAAGCCTACAAAAGGAAGGCACCACCCCAAGAATGTTAACACCTTATTTTCCGCCTCGTGTAGTGGTACCATTGTTAAAAATGTCCTGAAGCTTCCGAACTGCTTCGTGAGCACCAGTTGTATTGATAATGCTTTGGACGGTTTAAACCAAATTAAGGCGAACCTCCAAACTCTCGAAAGACAACCTTAATATCATATGGTCGTAGATTGCTACGAGCCAGTGTGACCCTGGTGATTTAAGAAGAGCCCTGCTTACCTGTGGACCCACCAGGAATCCCCCAAAGAAGTATGAGTGTCCCATCACTTCCAGCAGTGAAGGAACGCCCTGCAGGGCCGTCCGCTTCTGATCATAGGGTAGAGTCGCCTGAGGGCAGCGGGACGCAAAGCACGTTAGAAAGAAGTGGGCTGTACACAGCCTACAAAAGTCTCTCTAAATGCTGCTAAGAGTATGGTGACTGGTACGAGTCTTTGACAGGTTAGTCTATACCTTGTCTCACCCTACGACGGGCTAAAGGTAAAGCTAGGGACCACCAAGTCCACTTACGAGTCAGTTAGAACCCGTGTGGTATAATTTCTCCGACGTGCACACGGTGAAAGCAGTATATGCGTGAACCTTATCAAGCTTGTGTCTGCCGTGTCCACCACCATTGCAGTGCCAGCATTAGGAGTGTGGCAAGACGCGGCATTATACCACTGGGACGTCACATGGCAGAACACACCTCGCTGGCGTGTAAAATGCAAGAGGTTTGAGGGCATATCCTGCTGGGTGTGAGAGACGATGTCTCCACTTTTTAACGCTGCGAGATATACAGAAGTGGAGAGAGGGCACAAGAGAAAGAAGCGACTAATCGCCAGCGTCGGGCTCGGGTCGGGAAAGCACCACCAAGACAGAGACGCGCAATGTGTTACTCCCTGTACTCACGGGGTCCTTCTTGCCATCGTAGACGTCGAACACCAGACCTGTGGTAGAAACAAAACATCGGTGTTGAGGGTCACGTAAGCAAATAGTCAATGTAAGAAGCCATCAGTTTATATGTTCAACTTGCATGCTAATGCAACCTTTTCTTTGAGTGGACTTCTTGCTTTCAGATGGTCTCTGACCTAATTACATCCTCAAGTTCCCCGACCAATACCCCAAGAAAGGAGTAAAGTTGCCAAACAAGCAAGCGCCCACCAGCTCCCAAAGGACAAGGTAGGTGCATGGCACCTCCAGTAATGCAACTATCGCCGAAGATTTCCATCCGAGACCTTCGAAAACACGAGCAAACGAAAGCGTACAGCAAGAGTGGTTCCACTCACCATTCCGACTGTCAAACTGCTTTCCTCAAAATACCCATCAACTTCCACATTTTTCCATTGATAAACAACCTACTTTGCTGTGAACAGTGGTGTATTGCTTGCTGGTCTTATTTGTCTCTTTTCCTTATAGAGTATGATCTCTTTTGACATCAAACTCCACTAAGTGAACCTTCCAGATTTGTAGAAAATCGCAAAAACAGTCACCTAAATTTGATTGCACTCTTCGGCAAAACTACCTCGCACACACACCTTCCGTTAATGCTTAAGAAAAGTGCAGGCCATCCACTCTTTTAATGGAAGTTATATGGCTAACAACTAGCAAACGCCTGTTGCTGCCCTAACACAACCAGTTGCCGTCTCGATGTAACTGGCCAGCCCGGTCCCATTGAAGCCACTCACCGACGAGCCTGAGGGCCAGGATGCAGTGAGGCATGGTCCACGTGATGTCGTACTCCTTGGTCGCTGTGAAGTAGTAGCCGAGCACCAAGTAGCCCTGTGGCAACAGCACATGAAACAGCGCCACAGAGTCAGTGGTGGTGCACCAGAACCTGACCACATAAGCAAATGGGAGAGTCTGGCATCAAGTGCTTCAGCATGCAATACAACGTCTTTGAAACAATCCCAGTTTATATATTCTTCCGACCGCCACATTTCTGATCATCCGAGCTCCCATAGAGGCATCTGTATGAATTCCCCATTTCTCATACTTGCCTTCCCAGTTGTTACATCCAAATACTGCCACCCGACACGATGCGTTGGGCTATGGCCACCTCCTTCCCGTTGCTCCACTCCCACTCTTTGACCCTCTGCACTGCGCTTCTTGCGCGGGCAGGTGTGACCTAGCTCGAACGAGGCTTGGAAGAGCCTCGTTCGAGCAATTTTCTCAATTGACAAAAAGTCGGTGTTCAAGGACTGTTTTTCTTTTTTTTTATAAGACCCATCACCGGGACCTTGGACCAGCTTGTTCAGACAGGGGAAGAAGCTGCTGCTCCAAGGGGGTCAAGATGACGACCCTTTTGCTACTTTCCCGGGGTCTGGTGACTTCAATTCATACTATCCCAAAGACCACCATAGACTGCTCTATCTGTCCTAATCATACCTTTTTTATTTTTTATTTTTTCTTACTGCAGTCGTTGCATATTTTGCATCCCCAATACACAAAAGAGATGACAACCATTATACCAATTCACCCCTCAGCTGACGGTGCGGTGGGAGCTATGCGCTTGCCAAACCAATCAACTGCCTTTTTTTCATCAGCAAATCCCATTCACTGCTTGGGGATATGGGCGAAAGCGTGATCATGTGACGAAAGGTGGACGTATGACTGGTCCGATGGAAATATAGCTTCCACCGTAGCGTCAGCTTAGGGTTAAGTGGAGTTTTAATGCATGGTTTATGTAGCCATTGTAATGTGGAGTCCTGCCTGAGGCTCCAAGTATTTTGACGTTATGGCAACACGCATGTTGGATGACGACCCTGCTCAGCTTGCCAACCCAACGTAAGTCTCCTTCTCCCCACCACTCTATCGAGAACAAAAATGAAATGTTTTCATCAGGATAAAGCATTGACACTCCTTTTTCTTTCTTTTTTTCAGGTCAGAGGAAGATTTAGTCACCGCACTTCCATGGAGCATTTAACTGAGTGCAACATAAATCAAGAGTGAAAAGCAAGCCATTGTGTGACTTTCAGAATTCACGCAAGTCTGTACTCCATCTTTTGAATAAATTGGAAATGGGCAAATGTATGGCCCTTGTGAGTCAATAGGCAAGCGGCATTTGGCAACTTCCGGTGCTTTAGAACATTTTATGCAGGTTTCAGAATTATGCTTGCACAGGCTCGCAGCTCATTGTCGTCGTTTGTCAAGAGTGAAACAAAATTTACTAAGGAACCGGAAGTTGCCAAACGCCGCTCACCTATTGTAGTGAAAGAGCACATACTTCACCGTTTGTCAAGTAACTATTAATAAAGAAAAATATAAAAAAAAAAAAAATCAATTAGCCCACACTATTTTTTTTAACAAAAGCACAAACTTCGCAACATGAACTCGTCGAATTGGACCGTTCAGCTGGGCCAGGGGGCGCGCTGGAGCGATACCCGTGGCACAAATTTGCCCTAATTAGCCGTTCGCTCATCCCACCTCGCTGCCAGTCGCAACGGCGAGCACCGCGTTGAGGCTGTCTGTCTGTTGAAAAACTGATCATTTTTTAGGGAGGCAAACATCCGCAAAGAAAGATTGCCCGTGTGTCAGGTCTTCGGCGTGGAGGAAATAATCCAGGCATAAGGACATCTGCCGGTTGCGAAGTGCTCACAAGTGCAAGACAGCGTCGACTGTAACATCCGTTTCAAGATAAATGCTCTTTTCCTTTATGGTTTCGCTTGCTCTTCAAAGTTAGAGCTATCCGGTCTAAGATGATGATGCAATATTGTTTAAATTGTCTTTTCGCGCACAGTTACACTGTCGCATACACTCCTTCACCTCAGGTCGGTGTTCTTAGAATTTCAGAGTTCCCGGCTGCTGAAAGCATGCCGTGCCTGTTCTAATTCATCCGCATGAAGTTAATGACGAGGCATGCACAGCCTGATCACAACACTGGGTCAAGTTCTAATAAAGAAACCTAAATGAGACGACAATAACGCCACTGCTCATCTGTTCCCAGGTATTTCAAGCAACACAAACAACAAAAAATAAACAAAATAATTTTAATATACGCCGTGAGACCTTGCTCTCTTTGTGCGCATCTGGCACTGCTGCCAAAGTGGTAGAATGGCAATTCATGTATCTGCGTCAGTAACCCACTTATAATTTTATTAGTGAAGAGAGTGATCTCCAAGTGACTTGCATTTGCGTCGTAAAGCGTCGCCTTTTGTCAATGTATGTATTTTTAATGTGACCGCAGAACGACAATTTTGAACACTGTTGCGGTTGACTACATATATGATTTTTTGCGTCACTATTTGTTTTGTTTGCTGTTTAGGTGCAATTAAATTTTATATGTCTCGAGTCTTTGTGCCACAAAAGGATTGTCAATATTACTTCACTCTCTCTGCAAAAAAAGTTTATTTAATTTTAAATTTCAGCCCTGAATGCTTAGTTATTGGCCTTTGTGATGTGCCCTGTCCTCGTTCTCTTTATGTAGCTTTCAATTTATATGTCTAACATTGCCAACCCACTCTTATTGGTCGGCCGAGGAATGAGGGTCTGTTTTAGAGTTCTTTGGAAAGTAATTATGCCTGTTGTAGGTTAACTACATCCTTTTAATAATATTAAAAAAAATCTAGAGTACAGACGTCAGTGTAAATCTCTTTCCAAATATGTGCTCAAGTCAGTGCGTAACATGGGCTATGATTATCTGCCTCATTAGCTACTTACTTGCCTTCTCTTGTAAGCATCAGGGAACGAAACTGGTAGAAACTACTGTGAGAGCACAGGAGAGCTGGGGTGTACAGTAAAACCTCGTTATAACAAAGTTGAAGGAGCGGTCGTAATTATTTCGTTATAACCATTAGTTTGTTATAGCCAATGTCCATTTCTTCCCACTATTAGCAAGCAAGGGGAATTATGATTGCTTTGTTATATCCATTAGTTTGTTATATCCCATTTTGTTATAACGAGGTTTTTCTGTATATCAACAATTTGGATGAATTGCCCGAGACTGCCCGAGAGAGATACTTCACTTCTTTCTGTCTCTTCCACGTTTGATGTTTCTAGTTTTCTCTACCCAGTCTCCAGTAATTCATCAAAATGGAAAATTGGTAGGGTGAGTTGGGTTTTAAAATTTAAAGTTGTTTAAAAAACAATATTTACATAATCGGGTTTATTTTGTCGACAGCCACTGAGAACCATTGTAGCTATTACACTAGGAACATATAACATTGCCAACACGCTCCAATTGGTCGACCCAGGGATGTTCTAGCGTCTACTTTCGAGAGTCCCCTGGAAAGTAATTATACCTGCTGAGGGCTAACAATACATCATTTTAATAGTATATAAAAAAACCAGGATGGAGCCGTAAATTCTTATTCAATTATGTGTTCAAGTCAGTACGTAATAGGGGCTACAATTATCTGCCGAATTTTTCTGAAGTCTTTTGCCGCTTACACGCTTTCTTTTGTTAAAGGTGGGCGCTCAAATATTCTTTCAGCTTGGCAGATAATTTCTTCTCTTTTCTTTTTTTTCCTTTTCCTCCTCGCTTTTCATGTCCTTCTCGCACGAGTGCTAGTGGGCTTAATGGCCCGTGGACAAAATCTTTGTAACCCTTCAAGGTTCTCTGCTTCAATCCCAAACAACAGGGATTAGTTAGGCACGCCGGATATTAGCTCGAAAAAGGACTGGCACACTTTTCTCCTTTTATCATTTTAACTCTCCCCCCGCCCCCTCTTTTTCTGGAGCTTTTAAACACACTCAGGTACTTCCACATGTGGTCACATACGCTACAACACCGAACTTGAACATCATAGCAGAAGGCAAAAGAGATGGGTATTTTTCTTAACTCTGAGCTCTACCCAGAGAGCTCAAAAATTGGTCGTTCTAAAAACGGCCCGCTGAAGTGTGATTGTGTCGATATTTTGTTTTCTTGTTCAAAGTAATAATCATGAGTAAATACAAGTTGAAAATATTTCAGTCAGGGGGCAAAGAATGTAAAATGAGTTGCATTTTGAAAATATAGTCATGAAACAAAATGGACACAGCCTGAACATTTCTTGCGCATAATATGTATGTTACTACTACAGGTGTTTTCTAGAGCAACAGCCACCTCAATGAAGCAACTAAGAAGAGTAAAAACAAACTTAATCGGTTTATGGTATATTTCATGCATCTTCAGCCTTTGAAAAAATTTCTTCGTGGCCAAACTTGCATTTAGTTTCTGTCAACAAATGTAACTGAAAACTCCACAGCCGACAAATATCTTGCATTTCAGCAAAGAGAGCAGGAAAGACAGAGATTGAATCGCAAAATCACAATTTATATCACAAGAAAACTGCGGTCTGTTTTATATACAGCATTTTTTTTTCTTAGGTTCAAGAAAGAACACAACAAAAAACCGCGTGATTACCTCAAATTTGCTCATTAACTTTTTAATTATTAAAGAGAATGGCATAGTTTATTTAGAAAGTTGTTGGGCATAATCGAAAGCCGCCAAATTGTCTAGTGGAAATTAATGCAATTGCGGTTTGTGTAGGTGAGCCATACGGCCAGGCGAGCATTAGGTCCAAAAAAGAATGCAACTAAAAATCAGAGTTGGGAAGTACTTTGAAGGGCAACTCCGCTTCATTTTTGATATTTAGAAAACTATGTAGCCCTCTTCAGTATCATATAGGAAGACCCCATGTCAAATATTACGATCTAATTCCGTTTATATATTTAATAAACTGGCCAGCAAACCTTCAAGCAAGCCAAATCGCCGAAATCTGCCAACTCTAGCGTGCGGCGCGAGGCGCAATCACCAGCGCAGTCAATGCCACGGAGATGGAGCGGCCAACGTTGAGTCTCTATGTCAGAGGCATGCATACATCATTCTCACGTTTTGTTTGTTTTTGCTTCTCAGAGCGAAATTGAACAATGACGTCATGAGTTTCTCCTCCCGGTGTTGGCTGACTGGGCGTTCACGTGATCACCGTAACACGGATGCGCCTGGGATGCACTACCCTGCGCGCTTATCGGTCTGTTTCTCCGCTCCTTTTCTCCTCTTTCGTCTTCTCCCCTTCTCCCTTGCCCCCAGGCCATCACCGTTTACGCCATGCGGAGCAACCTGCTTGCGTCCAATAATAATAAAAAAAAAAAAAAAAAAAGACCTTGTTTGGTTTTTTGCTTCCTTCCGAACGTCACAAGACCACTTGGTTCGACGTGACGTGCCATGACTCTGACGACCCAAGACCAATGTTGCCTGCCGCAACCGAAGTTTCGGTTTCGGTATTTGCTGATGTTTAAATTAGGATTACACAAATAATATTCCACATTTCGCGAATCGGAAGACGTAGAGTTGTTTAGTAGTGCTTTGTGAATGTGAATCACATGGAAGCCTAAATTTTGCGGAATTGAGCGAAGTTGCCCTTTAAGTACATTGTACTTAAAGTACTACTGCAAGTGGGTTTAGGAAACTTGTACTTTACTTGAAGCACATTCTCCGAGTATGTACTTGTACTTTATTTAAAGTATTTTTTTGGTACTTTCCGAGGGAAGTATTATTCCCGATTTCAAAGTACATTCCCCAAATTTGATTTTGTTAAATTTGTGTCATGAAATGATGCTTTGTCAACTCCGAAGAAATACTGAGAGGGATATTCTACTCTCACCAGAAACGAGAGCAGACGACGCATCGCTCCCTTTGTTCTGGGGGCGGCTTTCCCATAGCTTTTTGAACTCTAGCTTCTTCTCAGTTGGTCAGCCCAAGGAAGGAGGTTTAAGATATGAGGAGAGTAAAATTAATCATAATCTAGCGCCTGAGACTGTAGTACGGAAAAAATTAAAATTTCAAGTCGAAGTAAAAGACAACCGAGGAGAACGTCACTATGTTTTGAGACATTCTCTTTTGTCTTTTCCTTCTATTTGAAAGTTTCTTAATTTTTTCACACCCCAATCTCAGGTGTCACATTATGATTAAACGTCACGAGCTCGCTTGCACACTCACTATTTTTTTCATTAAAGAGAGGACACTCCTTTATGAGAAGATTGCTTGCGAAAGCTACGGGGCTGACGTCATGGTTTCTCCTAGTATGTTTAACCCCCTTGGGTGCAACAATCCAGTACAAAGAATGCCAAATTCAGAAGACGGACTTCTGAATTCAGCTCCATTCCAGAAAATAACTACTCTGTGGCCACTTGACTTTATCAAATATTCGCCTCTGTTTTTGAAAATATAGGTCATGCACCCCTGATTACCCCTGGGCAATGCATACCAGTTAAAAAAAAATCACTGTATAGGGGAATGAAAGGGCATCATGAAAGATTGTGTTAAAATACTTTACTTTGAAAGTACCTTGTATTTATAGTACTTTGCTTCAAGCACATTGCACCCAGTGTACTTACTACTTTACTTAAAGTACATCACGTCTCATATACTTTGTACTTTACTTGAAGTACCGTTTAGATGTACTTTACCCAACACTGCTAAAAACCGATTGATTGCCTAAAACTCGCTAATTAACCTTTTAATTATAAAAAAAAAAATGGCATAGCTTCTTTAGAAAGTTGTTGGGCATAATCGAAAGCCACCAAATCGTCTATTCTTAAAAAGATGTAACACTAATATACGGCGTCCTGAAAAACCGCCTAACTGGGGCACGAAAATATAGTTCTGATTTGATGTCGCCTCCGTCTTCGGGTGGCACGGCCCAACGCCATGAAGCCAAAGCGATAAATCATACCCATCGCCGTGACAACGCCACTGCAGAAGGGGCAAGATAAGAAGGCTCAGCTCCCTTTGCGAGGAGCGCGGTGGCCAAAAAGATTGCGGCAACACGATTCACATCCAAATGAAGTTTTTTAGGACGCTGTAGAATACTTCACGTGCATTACATCTCTTTAAAAATGAATGATTTGGTGTTTCTGATGACTACAAATAAGGCACAAACCGCAATTGTGTAAATCTGATGCCTTTTTAAAAAAATATGTAGTCGTTAAAAAAATCACCCCTTATAACCACGATTGTAAGGCACTTTTTTTTACAGCCGGCAACATCATTACGTCATTAAAAAAGAGACATTGACCACAGATCATGCACAGCCACTGCTCTTTTTCGTACGAGAATTAGCAAACATTTGATCTCAAATAAAATAGATGTAGCATTCAACCAATACGGGTTGTTTACTTGATTCAAATCAATATTTGATTTGATTACAATTATTTTGTACCCGCACACGCCTACTTCATTCCCTAATGAGCCAAGTGATAATTAAAATGTTTTTCATCATGTGAGGTTAAGAATTTGTTGTTAACGAATTATTAACGATCGAAGCTATACAATTACGCAGTGGAGGCAGATCTAAAGATATTCAAAATTGTTCTGAGCTATCATACACAAAGAACTTCTCAAGCTTCTTGCTGTTTGGGGCCTTTCCTACATGCAGTACCAATAATAAAGCCAAAACCTTATAGAGGAGACCACCTCTATCGACACAACATTTTAACACAATCTGAAGCGTGTAGTGCGTACGGTGGAAAAGAGATACCGGCGAGCAAACCATAGCGTCTAAGGTCTCCGAGCCTCATGCAGGATAATGCTGCGCCTAACAAAGTCACTTAGGTCGTATATCAGTAAGTGAGCGTAGATGAAAGACAAAGCCTACAAAATTATGAAGAAAATTAATTTCTAGCTAAAATAGTGCTTATTACGTTTGAGAAAAATTTTTAAAAATTTGATTGTCTACGCACCAACATGTCCGTGCACCGAAAAGTCTCTGCAGCAAAAAGTCCATACACCAAAATGTCTGTGAACCAAAACGCCCTACAGCGAAACGCTCTACACCGAAAAGTGCTAGACCCACTACGAATGGGATCCTCCGTCACCTCTGCCGGTCCCCGAACCATAATGATTCAGAACCACTGGTCTATGGAACGCGATCCCCGAGATACTGAAAAACGCCACTTGTACTCCTGCTGTCACCATGAATTTGCCTAAACAACGAAAGATGCCAAATCGGAGGTTTATAACAGAATTGATACTGCAATGACTACTTCTTTGAACAGAACAAGTTATTTGTGTTCTCATCACAGCAAGAATCGTTCTCTAAACCCATGCGAAAAACAGCCTGTGTTCTCACCACAGTAAGAATCGTTCTCCAAACCCATGCGAAAAACAGCCAATCGAACTCGTTGGGAAGAGCAAGTGCCAAGCTTGCTCAAAGCAGCTCCTCGGGTGGTTCAGCTCCTTGTCGCGGGTGTGCCGGCTGGCTTCTGGATAACTGTTTCAAATCCTTCAAGTTTTCATTGCCACCCGCCCCCCCCCCCCTCCCAACCTCAAACTTGCACAAAAGAGATCAGAAAGCCGGCCAAAAAAAAAAAATAGGTCGGAAGATGGCAGGGAGGAAACAAGAGGTGATTTCCTCTTTTCACATTGTGGCGATAAAGGAAGTGAGGGTTGGGTTCCTTCTCCCTCCTGGCGGGCCGGCCTTTAACATGGGAGAACGAAACTGGCGGGTATGCAAAGTGAGCTTGGTTCTCAACTTTAGTTGTGTATAAAAAATGGTAACTGCATATTCGGGTTTATTTTGTCGAAAGTCATGTGGAACTATGGTAGCTATTACATTAGGGACTTATCGTAGGACGTCAATGTCGGATTGCAGGCCCCGCGCAAGCTCAGTCCACCCTCAAAGTGACGGCTCCCCCAAGCAACACAAAACTCTTGCATACTCTCGTGTGTGAAATACGAAAAGTTCCTATTAACGTGACAAGTAAGCATAGCTGCATTACTGAATCATGCAACAAGATAGAGAAACAATAATTAAACCTGTCCTCCACACACCTGCGACTCATGCTTCTCGCGATCTTTCATGAATCACCCCCCAGGAACCAAATAAAACTTTTCGGGAGACAGATACCTTTCTGTTTACTATGATGCTGTGGCATTTGAGTACCTCTTGCATTCGGTACATGACTTTACAAAACATGAGGCCAGCACGACAAGCGCACCAGCCTCCCGCATCGTCTGCTCCTCGTGCTGCTAACAAGTATGGGCGTGCTTCGGCAGGGGGGGGGGCGGCGCTGCGTATGCGCAGCAAAACTTCAGCCGCACAGCCTTATAGCTCCCACAAAGTACTTTTCCCCATTTGTTCCCGTCATGAGCGCTCAACGTTTTCACCAAACATACTCCGAACTCTGGCAAAGGATGGTACCCGACGTTCGTTGCTTGCACGCATAATTGGTACAAGTATTGCGTAACTGCTGGTGCCTCGTTCGAAGTCTTCCACACTGGAACACGGCGCCCACAGAGGGCCCCTGTACTACTTGCCATGCAAAAGATGAAGCTGAAGGCGACCGAGGCCAGGGTGCCACCAATGAGCCTGAGCACGGCGTAAACGACCAGGATGTTGAGCAGCGAGTGGTAGACGTTGAACCCTGAAAAGCCGAGCCAACAATGACATTCTGCCCAAACCCTTTGCAAACTAAAACCTCTGAATGAAAGCCATGCTTCTCATTCTTATCGGTCAAGGCGACAATTATAATTTGTTGCCAAAAAAACAATGCGGCTGCACGGGCACGCACCGTGTGCATTTGGCGCATTTCTCACAGCTCGCAAGAGAGATACATAGAGGGGCTTTAGTGCAAACTGCTCAGCCATAAGGTTTGTGAGAGGGGGCGGCTGAGAAAGAAATCAATGCGAAGCGCAAGTTTGCTTCCTTTGCAGGGATTGTGAGAACATCAGAACGCCGAGCTCTGATTGGCTCTGATTGAAGGATGGCGGGTAGACCTCAAGGTGTTATTGCTTTGAGGTCTACTTACTATCCTTCAGTCAGAGCAAATCAGAGCTGGCCGTTCTGACGTTCTCACAATCCCTGCAAAAGAAGCAGACAAACTTGCACCCTCCACTGCTCCAAATGTGCCAATGCGCTCCTTTAAAGGGTAACTACAAAGAAAAAAATGTACTTTTTTAAAAAGCCTAATCGGGACAAGCATCACAAAACAAATGTTCCGCGAAAAAAATATTTTTTTTATCAATATTTACGCCACAGGACGTAATTTAGTCGGAGTTAGAACCTCTCTACATTTGAAACTCCCGCTCTTTCGACCCCCGCGGAAGAGGAGTACGCCCCGCCCCTCACTCTCCTCGCGTTGCGGAGTTGAACGACGCAGCGTCTCGACTTCCGGTAAGATCTGGCAACAACGCACGGCGGCGGTATTGTTTTGGTTTGACGCGGTTTGCGAGCACATGTAGCGAAGACGTGACCGGAGAAGTGCCCCTGTGATGTTCCCGGAAGATGGAAAGTATCATTCGTAATCGTCGTGCGTGCTTTGAAAGCGAAGGGAGTCACAGAATCCACGAGTGCGCAACCACAAGCCAAGGTTCACGACAGCGCTGCGTTGGTTTCAGCGATCTCGATCTGTTTGGTGCAACACGGCGGTGCAACAAAGAGCTGAAACGTTTGTGGTGTGTGTAATGCGGTGCTAACAAGGAGCGCAAATTGGTTGTTGTGGGGTTGACGTTCAACCAGTTCAGTCCCGTCGTCGTCAGCTGATCCAGTCAAACTGGTCCGGGGGGACGCAGCGAGCGTTTTTAAAAGTAAATCTCCTTCGTTCTGTTTCAAAATGTGGAAGTTTCCCGACGCATACCGTGAGTAAAAAGCTGCGGGCGTTTTCAACAAAATTACGTCGTTTTAATTGAACAATCAACTCCGAATTGTTGTCCTAAATCTGCCGTTTTTATGCTTCGTGTTGGACTGCGTTTGCACAGCGACGTGTTGCATCGTGCGGTGTGAATAAATTTGGGCACGATTTCGTACCTGCCTACAGATGCATGAACTGAGACCACTTTTTACACGGACGTTAGGTGCACACGGGGCGAATCTCAACGGCCTCCAGAGCGATAAAACGAGAACGTAACTGGACACGTTTGTCGCTACGCGAACGCGCGATTGCCTTCAGCCAATAGCATTCCTTTCGGGGCGAAATGGCTGCTGGAAGGCTCGCTGTCGGGATCACTCATCTGACATCTCCGAAAAGTCGGTATTTGCACGCGCAAGCAAACAAACAAACAAAAAAGCACGCTAACCCAGCAAAGAGGAAAACGAAAGAACCGCGCTATGAAAGTCAAAACCCCGCGTCGCTTCCTATCACTAACACCTGCGACAGCTACTAAACACACACTACTTCACTTCAAGAAGTCTCACTCAAGCACCTGGGTCAGCTCGTAACACTTGTCATTTCAGCGAAACGGTTAGTCGAGGTAGGCGAGACAGGCGGGAGCAGAGACTTCGGCGGCCATGAAAGAATGGCGAAGCTTTTGTTTGTTATGGTATGAATCCAAACGGAAGTGCCCGTCTTGTAAACATTTTGTAAAGATTAATAACTCTCATCACATGGGCTATTCTTTAAACGTAAAAGTATGCCTTTCAAAAGAAAATTGCAACATATAACAAAGGTTTAACAACCAAGATCTAAGCTGTCAATCAAACTCTTAGCCAATGAGAAGTATAGCAGCCGATTGGTATTCAACGTCACGGAATATCAACTTCGTGGCGCGCGATTCAAAACGGACGAAATAGCCGCAAACTAAAATCGGTCTCGCACAATAAATATTGCTCTAAAAAATTTTTTTTTCTCGCAAAAAAAATTGTTTTTTGACATGCCTGACCCAATTAGGCTGCTTACAAAGAAACTTTTTTTTCTTTGCAGTTACCTTTTAAGGGGGGGGGGGGGGGGGGGCAATGGTTACTACCTCAAAAAAAAAAAAAAAAAGATTCCTTTAAAAAGAGAAGTTTCTTTTGAAAAAAATATTTTGTTTACATCTAGAGACTATTCCTAAAAAAATTTATTTATTTACAATGCACAGTTATTTTTTTATAAATTATTTTCGGTCCACTGATGCTAAAGAACAGGTAGAGGTTCGAGCACTTTGAACGTGTTTTTCTCTGTTCCACTTTTTATAAATTTCACTTTAGGAAAACTACTGTCTGGTAACAAGACAAAAGGAAAGGCCCACTCATTGCTTTTCTTTACTGGAATTTAATCGGAAATGCAACGGTGGCATTTTTTTTTTTTTTTACTATGTGAATGTCTTTTCTAAAAGATGTTAAGATTTTGTCGACAACATAAAAGGCAAAAAATGTATTCGATTTTTCCATGCGATGTTAGCATAAAATAAATTACTTTTAGGAATTTTGCTTTCATCGTTGCACTCTCCAGGCATTCTGCTGCATATCTAGTGAAGAAAAACGTTGGGAATTACATAAGTTTTCTAACGATAGTTTTCCTAAACAATATCAAAACGACTATAATTTCTCTCACAATTCATGTGCACAAATGAAACTTTGCACTGCATTCTGCCTCACAACGGCAAGTACATCCAGTAAATTGTATCCACATTAAGCCAGATGTTCAACAGTTGACCCTTTGGTAGCATCCTCCCTTAAAGGGGGGTACAACGATTTTAAGATTGAAAGAATTTGCATCTCATCATTTTTACGTTGTTTATCGTGTCCCGGAGGATAGAGAAAACATCTCCTCCATTAAAAAACGTCACGATTCCGCTGCATAATTGCAAAGCAAAAGTCTAGCTTTTCCCCTACCAGCAGCCGCAAGCGGCAGTTGAAGGAACTACGGTGAGAAGATTATGTAACGTTGCTCGGCTCCAAGCTGCAACATAACGCCTGCTAGTGTGTGCAGAGAGAGGGAGAGGAAACGTCCTCGGAGAGAGCACACGGGAACCTACGCGGCACACCGAATTACGTCACAAGGTGTGCAACCAGGTGTGACCCCGAAGACTGGGAGGGAGCTGAGGGGTGCCAGAAATGCCAATATTTATCTTTTTTTTACACAAGAACTAGGACACGCAGGCAAAATCGGTTTTCTGTTCTTTACTTCAGAAGTGTCAGAGGGCAACTTCCACATATTTATGACCGAAGTCCTGAAATCGTTGCACCCCCTCTTTAAGTCTGGTAAAAGACAAAGACACAACTAACTAAGTTATAAGTAGTAAAAATGTCAGGGCAAACGCAACTGAAAGAAAGAGGGATTAACTAACTCGTTGTGAGAGGAGGATAGAGGCCCGATGTACTAGAAATGAACTTCAAAATGGTGGATACTTGGGCTAGTTGGTGGTTGCTATACATAATTAAACAGCGCACAAGGAGCTTGCCTGTTCTGTCTTCCTTTTCTGTCCCTCTCCTTGTGCGCTGTTTAATTATGTATAACTCGTTGCCCGTTGTCTTCTGTGAAAGATGTTTTTTGCCCGCTCCCAAGTTCTCGCTGGTGAAAACGGAGATACATTCCCAAAAATGTAGCTACCACCAGAGGTTTATATTCAGATATAGATATTTTGCCCACAAGGTTTTGCTTTACTCACAAATGCGGACGCCAATTACGAAAGGGCTGATTTTGATGCCTCCATTTTGGGATGGCACAATTCTAAAGTCTCCGAAAATTGCAGTCAAGACTCGCTGCTCCCAGAAAACCTTTGCTCAGATAAGCAAAGGCTCTCCGAGGCATTGCCATGGATTCTTCAGCAGCAACTCACAAGAAGACCAGCAGAATGGCTTGTTTACAGTAAAGCTTCTTTCAAGTGATTCCAACTTAAAGCTTTGACAAGGTTCCAACAGATTGCATCCTTCCGAGGCATGTACGCAACCTTCTTTTCTCTCTCTTCCAGCATTAACAATGATCATAACAGTTAACCTGTATAGTTTCTCATCTCCCAAAAAGTACAAACTATATTTGCCAGTTTATTTTTGCTGGGAGAATATTCCTTATATCTGCTGTTGAAAAGTTAAAAAGACATTATTAATCATGACCATCATATGCGAGATCAATTAATGGTGAGCTTTTTTTGGGGCTTCAGCTTTTGAAGTTGTACACCTACTGCTTGCTACCCCTCGCTTGTTGACGGTCGGGCTGTTTTGCCTGCCCACTTGCTCACGTGTGGTACAGCGTGAGACACCGTCAGCATGAACAACGAAGGCCTGTTCCTTATAGTATCATGTACACCGTATTACCACCGCCAGACAGATGAAACAAGCAAGTTGCCGAAGTAAGTTTAAAACTGAAAGAGTGCAGACGTCTGTGTTCCCACCTTCCGGTGTTTTTGTTCTTTCACTTTGAAGGTCACCAAGTAAACCCACTGCAACCTATACAAGCAACATTAGCTCGAAATCAGCTATTTACGAGGTAGTTAGTTAGAGCACTAAAATTTCTACAGAAAGCAAACTAGAACCATCTCTTTGTTTTGTTGTCGTTCCATTTGTGCTAACTCTTCCTTTCACACATTTAGACAAATTAACCTCCATAGCACTTATGTCGTAAGCCTACTTGATAGTAATTGAAATGCTGTGATTGGATTACTGTAATTGAACTGCTTTTCAGGGTAATTTGAAATTGCAACTATTTATGTTTGACTAAAATAATTGTAGTTGGGAGTGAATTAGTTTTCAACCTCAGTAACTCCACATTTTTAAATACAATTATACTACTAATTTCTTCACAATTTCGTCATGCTAAAGCTATGCTCTATGAATTGACTAACAGGCAAAAATACACTAAGCACCTGACTCATGATCCTTCTGCCAAATCGTGAGACTTTGAACTCTGCTGGTGTTGCAAAATAATGACAACTAATTTGTATCCTACCCCAAAGCACAACTTCCACATCACGCAATTTTATTTTATAAAACATTGAAGAAGTAAATACAACAAAAGGGCACAAGATGTGATGAATGTAAAATGCTATATCCTGAATCCAGCCAGACAAATAATGTACAGATTTCTGTGTGGAGAAATGCTACTGCATCAGCATAATTGAATATGTGTCTAGTTCTCATAGAAGAATTAAATTACTTTCAGAATGTAATTTATAAATGTGAATAATTGTGTGCCAGTAATATTAATTGTAATAACTACTTTTGGAGCAAGGTAGTTTAATTGTAATTAAATAACATTATTGAAGTGATCAAATATGGTCACAAGGCACAACCTGACCGCCTGACAAATTAGCCTGTTCTGTTACAAAAACTGACCCTGTGTAGTGCCAGCTCTGAGTAATGCCAACACCCACCATAGTTGAAGCAGCACAGCAGCAAGCCGCAAACAGTGAAGTACAGGTGCTGCGACACAGGATTCTTGTTGAGGAAGAAGTTGCGATGCACCAGGGCCAGTGGATACCCTGAAAATGAGGCACAGAAGAAATTAGTGCTCCATGTCCATTGAGACACATTTCTGCAAAAAGATGTCTTGTTTTTGCAGTGCCAAAATATATTTTTCTTTGGGGGCCTTGTTTGGCCTGATCCTGCCAGCCAAGAGGAGCAGGATCAAACCAAACTTGTGGAAATTTTTTTTTAGAAGAAATTTAAATGATTTGCTGACAAAGCACACAACAAGCCAGAGACTCCGCAAGTTTACTTTGTCAACTTGTTTGTTTTACAATTTGAACCGTTTTTTTCTTCGTCGTAATGTGCCATCGACTAGCCCAACTTCATGTCTTGCTGTGGGAGAGTTTGTAAAAGCTTCAATTTAGTTCCCTTGCTATCAAAACAACAAGGATTGGAAATTTTTCTCTTTCACGCTTGCAAGCAGGATCCGCTAAGGTCATCCATTTTATCAAATAAATTTGCATCAATCATTTAAGGTTTAAATGTTTCAAGTAAAGTTCAAAAGACCCATGCTTTAAATAATGAAAAGGATACAAGCAACCCTGCCCAAAGCCAAGGATGTACTCTCACACATCTGATTTCAAGAGGAGAAAAGATAGGGTCACATCAAGATAGCAAATCGTCAATAGGATATGCAATCATGAGCTAGGCCAGGCTTCTTTCTGCCCACACCGAGATAACCGTCGACTGTGTTCTATGTATTCGTTTGCCAGTTTGTTTCACTGCCTGCTACAACGCACACAAAAATCTATTTAAATACAAATCAGCAAGTTAAAATAAATTATCAGTTAGGTAGACTAAGCTACGCTCAAATGCTTTATATCCAATGGTTTTTGCAATGCATATTCGTCAAAACTAGTCATACTCTATCACAAACAACAGCAGACAAAAAGTTACCAGTGCATAGGAGCTTACAGAGTTTCAGTTTACTAGAAGTGAAGATGCTACATTGAAAGATTTTCTGCAGAGGGGGGAAATTTGATGCTCATAAAACATGGCTGAAAGGACTAATAAAGGTCACATCAACGCAACTTGGCCTTGCAATGTTGAACTAACACTTTAAGAATGAAATGCCACAGTGAAGAAGCTGCCACAATTTACATCTTGTTTGTAGCCTACCATTGATAATCTCCTAACACAAAGAAACAAAATTATGATTACATGCCACAGCTACTGTTGTGAATCAACAATGTTATCAACTGAATTTCTTTTTTTTTTTTTACATTTTGCTTATGTAATTATTTGTACTTTTTTTTTTGCCTGCTGACTGTTGTAAGGAGTCAGTTAGCTCTGACAGTTGGTGTGCTTTGCTATAAAAGGTTAAGGTGTGTTATGTCTGTCTTACGGGGAATTCTGACAGTGGATTTGAAGCCGACAAAAGTGCTCCACACATGCAGCTCTAGTGTGGTAAATGCTACATCGCACATGCACGTGCACAAAGATACCAATGAAAAAGCTCTTCAAAATTGCTCCAAATCCACCAGCATAATTGTGCAAAAAAATAGAAAAAAGAGTCATTATTTTTTTTTCTTTCTGCCCCTAACCCTTCCAAGATAGGCCTAGATATGCGACAAAAACAAACCTTTTAAGCTAATTTGTAGATGTGGAAGTATTTTTCCACATTAAAGCAATATGTACACCATCACTGCAATATTACACTTGTTGCCATGAAACTAATGCAGAGAAAAAACGGCGGAATATCATAATCAACTATCACAGACCGAAAAAAACAAACAAAAAAAACAGCTTTTGGAATTTTTGTTTGTTTGAGCACATGTGTACCCAGAGCTGCAACAAATAATGGGTCCCCCTGGACTGCCGTCGAATGTTAACGACGCGAAGTCACTCACAGGTCTTATTGCAGCTAATACTGACCCTCTTTCATTAAATTCAAAGTGCACTGTTTCTGGCAATGTAATTTTTCATAGTTTCATACTTTGAATCTGCCATGTTACTTTGTCTTCTTTTGTTTGTGATTTGCTGCACATTACTTATCCAATGTTATTCTCTAAATGTTGTACATCAGACATTTTCATGTAGTCCTCTGTCAATTTTATTAACTCCCTTATGTTTTATTTTTCCCCTTATTTTACTGTTAGAGATTTTTTTCATAGCTAATGTCGTTGGTTCTTACCTGCTAGCATTTTGTCAATTCTGCTCTCAGGTCCTTTGAGAGCTTTCTGAAAAGACCTAGTGATCAATGCATTTAAGCATGAACAAACTCGACCTTGAAAATATTCTGCGATTTTAAGAGACCGAAGATTCACTCGTCAGTGCAGTGGTATTTTGTTTAATGTTTTCAAACCTGTTTTCAGCAGACCTTCAAGTCTTTATGCCTGAGGGGCAGCAGATGAATATGCATGCGAGTTTCAGACCAAGTATTCCCGGCCCCAGAACGCTCCTCAGGATATTTTTTCATTTGTTTCATATTTTACGATGAGCTGATTTCACCGTGCTGTGCATAATTAAGTTCTCAAGATACATTGGCAGCTGCAACTGCCCATGTGGAAGGACATGAGGAATGAGGGAGGAGTGGCAGGTAAAGGTCACATTACCGTGATACAAAACAGAAAGCTCTGTCATCGGCAAGAGCACAAGGACAAAAAGTTGAAGGAAAACATGGTGATTTTACTTGAGATTGGGGTGGCACTCTTGTGGAGTGTTCAAGTGCCGTCCAACGGTGCTTTATGCCTGCATTTGAGTGCCGTCCTACAGTGCTCCTACTGAGCACAGACGTCTCTTAGTGAAGAACAGCATGCTTTTGGTGTATGGCAGCCGACATTAGTATGCCTACTTCCGCTGCACTTTCTTTGTGTTAAATTTGCCAATTATGAATATACCCAGTCAAAAGTATTAGATAAAACTTGATAAAAAGATATCTGAAAGCCAAAGGATCATATTCCTAGCTCGTTTCGATAGCGCAACGGTTAGCATGCTTGACTGGTAGTGTTTGGTCTCAATCGGATAGATTGTGCACCTGTACAGTGCAGGTATAAGCATACTAGGTGTACATGCCTTGCACACGACATCCATATTGCATCGTACCAGCCGCAATTACTCCGTACCGTGCTCCTTTTCCCTTACCTTCTGCAACATACATTTCGTGCCACCAAATTTGTTCTCGCCGATCCTTGCAGAAAACAAATTCAATGGTGTCAAATGTATGCTACAGAAAGTATGGGGACAGGCGCATGGTACGGAGAAATAGCAGCTGATGTTACGTAAACGCAAGCTCTGTATACATAGCTTGCACTGACGTTACTTAGACAAAATGGGGGAAGGGTGCATGGGAATGTAACTTCTGCTGCGTTTACGAGGCGCTTCTGGCCACCAGAAAGAAGGCCGGACTGACGTCACGTGCAAGCTATGTATAGAAAGCATGCTGCTCACTACTGCAGCATTTGACTCGCTCGTGCTTGGCGATAATACAAATCGGCGGCGAGTGGTTCGAACGGACGACACAAACACAGACAAGTCTCGGTTTTTCAAACGTCGCTGCGTTTGTGTCGTCCTCTAGAAAAACCCATCTCCGGTGAAGTCACCATGTTTAACGTTCATCAGCTCGCTTGCACACTCATTTCTTTTTGTTGTTGTTTTAGTTACACAAAGGTTTCCCCGCAATTACGGGGCACGAAGAAAAAAGTTGCTTCCCGTCTTGGACTGCATTTCCTCGACATCGGATAATTCCGGCGCGGTTGGAAGGAAGAGCCGAGTCTAGTCAGCCAGCCGTGAGCACCTTCCTTCTGCGCCACATTCGGCCAATGAACCCCGAGGAATACGCCGCGCAGCCAACTGGTTTGTCTGAACGAGGAAAAGAGCCGGCTGCCCGGTTAACAACATGGTCGCTCATTCTTATCTCGAGGTGCGCAGCTTCACACGTTCATCTTCTACGCGAACGCGAAAGAAAAAGTCACTGATGCGATCAGAGAACACAGAACTCGGTGCAAACATCGGTTCGCTGTTCACAGGTTTTGGATGTTGCTAGGTGTAATGTAACAGGCGAGCTCGTTTAGGAACCTCGAACGCTACACCGTCAGACGAGAAGAAATAAAGGGACAACATTTTATTCTTTCTTGTCTTGGGGTCTAGATATTGATGCCACTTCCCGCGCCTACGCAAAAGGCGAAGTGGCCGACGAGCGTAGTTCGGTGTAGAGTGGCCGGTGACGCCTCGCTCAACGACTGGAGGCACCGACACGGCCGCAGGGGGCTTAACATCGGCCGGGTCGAACCGGGGCTCCACAGATAGTCGTATTTGGTATTAGACGACGCACAAAGCGCTTACCTGCGAGGACGGTGAGCAGCAAGCGGAACGCCGGCTCCGATGAGCCCAGGTAGGAGGCGAGCTGCCCAACGATGCCCGGCTCGTCCGATGCCGTGGTCATGGTGGCGATGCTCTCACGAGTCCCAGGCCTTTGAATGGACGGGTGGCACCGGGGCGGTCGTCGAACGTCGATCAACGAGGAATACGAGTCAGCTGAAGCGGAGGGGATAACGCCACAAGAGCATGAAGGAAGACAGCACCAACCGTACGTTCACACTCACACGCACTGCACAAGCGGCGCGTACGACTGGTGTCAGCTGGTGCGACTGGTGACTAAATATATGGATAGGTAAAGCAGCAGAGTTGCGGCTCTTTGGCTCTGCAGTTGGCCAGAGCCGTATATTGGGCGGCAACTTGCGCCACCTAAATGGCAAAATTTAGACCTTTTGTTAAAACGGCTGGATACTAAATCGGTAACTAGAAATTGTATGAATGTGTTAGGCGGCAGCTTGCGCCACCTAGCATAAAATCATTTAGCATGGTTAAAGTTTTGCACAAAAAAGCCAGGAACAAAGGAGAGTGACACGCATACGACAGACAAAGAAAATAAAAAAAAAGTACTTAATTTCCTTAAGAAATAAACGACTTCTTGATTTCCTTCTTCGTTCGAATACATGTGAGTTGTGAGTGTGCGCTTGTTTGTCGTTTACGCGCTTCTCTCCTCTGTCCATCTTTTTGCTCGCCCAACTGGCTACCGTACTAAAATATTTATCCTTTAATTTTTGTACACATTTTGTTTGCTAGTTTTGTGTCTTTTGTAGGGGTGTCGCGAACCGGCCGCGGTTCGAGTTCGACCAGGTTCGACTTTTTCGAACTTTTAGTGAAAAGTTCGGCGACCTTGTATTGAGGTTCGACTCGTGTGCGCATGCGCGACAGGCTGGCCAGTTGGCTTCGGATTGGGTGGTGACGGCTAAGGGATGAATCAAGGGCAGCGCTGATTGGTTCTTTCAGTTAATTGAGTACAAAAAATAAGTTACTAACTTCTTCAGTGATAAGAATTGATTTATTTTAATTGTGACTGTTCATGAAATAAAATAACCCATTGCATATAAAATTTTTTTTTTTCAAACCTAGACATGCATGTATTAAAGGGATACTGAAGCGAAACTTGAAATACACCTATTATGGTCAGAAATAGGTTCAATATGATCAATGGTATTCATAAATCATAATCGCGCGTTTGTATTTTGAACGGATGGCTATATTTTTCACCCTGATGGGCCCGATTGGGCGCGCGCTCAAAAATCGGCCATAGGAGAGCGCGATGCGTCTTGGGATATTGGGCGCATTCGTAACGTCACTTGTGCCGGTCGGGAAAGGCTACGGGGTGAATGTTGTGGTTACGAGCGTTGCCACTTGGTGGCGCGTCGACGATTTACGACCTGTGACAACGTGGCCGTTTGAGATGTGCAAGGGCTGCACGCACGCTGCACCACGGGACCACAGTGATGCCAACCCTAGGGATTTACCCCTAGATCTAGGGGTTTTCGCTCTCACTTAGGGATTTGAAGACTTTTTGCAAAATCTAGGGATTTCTCCAAGATTTTTTTTTTTTTTTATACGTGTGCATTTTTTTTAATTTAATATAAATTGGCGAACAGCAAACCACCCTTTTTACCTTTCGAGCCATCCGGAGCGACGAAGCGGCACAGAGGGAAAGAAGCGTTGTGAGAGAGGTTGGGGGGAAAGGGAGGGCCAATAGTGTATGCGCGGTATGCGCACTGGGCCAACACCACCTGTTGACTGGGCGCTTTTTTCACTGGCTCTCGGGGGGTTGGGGTTTGGGGGAGAAAAGTTGGGGGTGAGAAGGGGGGGGGGGGGGGAGTGGCACAGGCTCGGTCATCTGATCCCCGGATGTAGGTTCAGAAATGAATTTCAAGTGACCGCATTTTTTTTATGTAAATTTTACATTATTTGGAGTTATTGCCGGTTTATCCCGACTCCCTTCTTATCCTTTTAGGAACTCGGTGACGTACGCGCCTCGTTTCCGGCAGGGATGGGCAGTGCGTGGTCTCGCTGAATGCGACGCCAGCAGTTTCCTTTGTATTTATTTTGGTGATCCTTTTGTTGGACGTAAGAAACGTTTCCACTTTTCGAAGCAATCCCGGACGCGAAGACAGTAGGCGGGTCTAGCTTTTTGTGACGGTACTATGTAGCGTCGTGGTGAAGGGTTATATATATATATATATATATATATATATATATATATATTAGTAGGAGGCAGCTTTACGCGCGCATAGCTTGTGACATTATGATTGTGTTATTTTAAGCTTCCCGCCGAAAGTTAGGGATTTTTTGTCCAATCTGGGGATATTTCCGGCATCAACCTAGGGATAAGTCGACATCAGGGGTTGGCAACGCTGGGACCACGGCAAGTCGGGAACCACGGCAGCACTGACAAAACCAGCTCTGAGGCCGGATTCTCAAAGCGAATTCACGACGAAAAAAGTGCGTACGACAAATTTGAGAGAAAACCCGTGCTCTCGAAACGAAATTGTCGTAACCTTTGCGCAGGTTACGACAGAATCCTACGACAGCTCCGAAGCTGTCTTACGCACTTTTTACGATCAAATCAACAAGGCCGACAGCGTCGCTCAGTTACTTGGTATCGGCCACCAACGGACATTTATTTTTCTTCGTGCTCTTCTCGTGCGTCCCGACTTCAACCAGCAAGAAAAAAGGAAGGAGTACTTAAAACAGACCACGATCAAGAACGCAGGATCCACAAACACACGAGAAGAGCTACAACAGCCACGATTCTGCCGACCGAGCGAGCTCGGCAGAATATAGTAGGCCTAGCAGCAACATCGACTCGGCGCACCGTTGCTCCGGCGGTCCTTGGCCAAGACCGTCTGTCCATGGCCGGCTGGCCTGCTGAATGGAATATGCCCGCGCGACCCTTGTGGACCCTTACCGGATGAGTAGTTTGATCCCTGAACTAAATTTCAGAGGTCAATATTTTCCCCTTGTCATCTCGATCTCCTTGTTTTCCGAGACAGCGGTGACGAATGCTGTCGTCGAAAAGGGACTCTCATTGATTCTATCTCCTTGTTTTGTGTGATATAGAGCTCAAATAAACGCCATACGGATTACCTTGGCAACTCGGTATGTACACTCTGTTATTAGAATGCCATTTTTATTCTGACTCGACGCTACGTCAGTGTCGAGCTATAGCAGTTCGTGGGAGCTACGCGATGTCGGTCCAACTTTTCTTTGCCGAGTGTCATGTCAGTATCGAGTTGCAATCGTAAAAGATCGGTCCAGAAGCGCTTACCGAAACGCGGTCTAACAGAGCGAATCCAGCACTTCGATCAAACGCGCGTGTCCGCTCCGAGTGTGAACAGGTATTTGGCATTTGCGTGGCTCTTGCTGACACCCTCGTAGTTCAAACATATCCTTTTTAACGTCGGCTTGCAGCTCGCGACTCGCAGCAACTAATACCGGCCGTGCCAGAAGCATGCTCGGGCCGTGTCGTGCAAAGAGCCGCAACGAGAACGAGCTCACTGTGGCCAACTACGCTTTGGCTTTCTCCGCCAAGGCTTTGCGAACGCGTTCAGGCCTAGGCGAATTCTGCCGGCACGCCGTATTGCCGCAGAACGGCGCTGCTATTTTGGCACAAGTGATGTCACGAGAACTTCCCCCCATCCACCAGATGAGAATTTGAAATCGTTTAATTATGTTTAAAATTAGTTCTCCTGTGTTTTACAGCGCAATATTTATATTTCCGAGGTGGTGCCTGTCCCTAGCCCATATTTATGCAACAAGATCGGCGCTAAAATTTCGTTTCACTACCCCTTTAAGGTCTGGCCACCATGTCCACAAAGTCGACAAATTCGAACCGGTGGAATCTGGTAAAAACATGGAGAATAGAAGGGTAGGAGAGGGCATGACGTCGGCCACGTAGCCTTCACAAGCCATGCTCCCTTGACGCCTCGCCTCTTTCTCATTTTCCTCCTTACTCTCCTCACTTACCACGCCTAGAGCACTATATAGCTCCTACGGAGCAGAGTAGCGCAATCCTTTGAACTCCGTGTTTTGCCGACAACATGGCCGACAGAGCGGCTCGGCGCGAGTCACGTGGTACTCAGGGTTCCAGGAGGCGGCCCGCCCTATGGGAGAATACATGGAGATCGACACAACACGGCTGATTAAAAAATGAACGGCGAGTTCACACTTTTCAAAACTAGTCTGTCGTGAAGTTAGTAAAGCACTAAACACTTTGTCAAAGTTTTAACAATATCGGATACGTGTGCAAATTTTGAGAAGGCAATTTCCAAGGCAATGGCGTTTGAAGCAGACGATTTTTGCTCGCAGCGGAGATGGGCTTTTCGGGTTGGCCGGAGCGGGTCACGTGAATGGTGTGACGTCGCCGTGTCGTCTGCTGCATGATGCCGCTCAGGCAATTTTTAAAAAAAAGTCAGGTCCTTGCGGGGCACAAAACTTAGCGCAAATTATTCTAAAGTGTTCCATTATTATGTCAAAAATGATTGCGATGCCGTACGTTCCCACAACACTGAAGAAACAACGATTTTCTCACGTTCTCCATGCATTTCTGACCGCAGTTGGAACCTCCTGGCGTTCGCCGCTAGTCGCCGAGAGGCGGCGTTCTAGATTGCGCTACTTAGAGCACTATATAGCTCCTACGGAGCAGAGTAGCGCAATCCTTTGAACCTCATGTTTTGCCGACAACATGGCCGACAGAGCGGCTCGGCGCGAGTCACGTGGTACTCAGGGTTCCAGAAGTCGGCCCGCCCTATGGGAGAATACATGGAGATCGACATAACACGGCTGATTAAAAAACTAACGGCGAGTTCACACTTTTCAAAACTAGTCTGTCGTGAAGTTAGTAAAGCACTAAACACTTTATCAAAGTTTTAACAATATCGGATGCGTGTGCATATTTTGAGAAGGCAATTTCCAAGGCAATGGCGTTTGAAGCAGACGATTTTTGCTCGCAGCGGAGATGGGCTTTCCGGGTTGGCCGGAGCGGGTCACGTGAACGGTGTGACGTCGCCGTGTCGTCTGCTGCATGATGCCGCTCAGGCAATTTTAAAAAAAAAGTCAGGTCCTTGCGGGGCACAAAACTCAGCGCAAATTATTCTAAAGTGTTCCATTATTATGTCAAAAATGATTGCGATTTCGTACATTCCCACAATACTGGAGAAACAACGATTTTCTCACGTTCTCCATGCATTTCTGACCGCAGTTGGAACCTCCGGGCGTTCGCCGCTAGTCGCCGAGAGGCGGCGTTCTAGATTGCGCTACTCTGCTCCGAAGG